GGGCAGTCTACTGTTTTAACCACAAGAACTGGCCAAAGAGCTGAAGAAGAATCGTAGAATGAGCCGGGCTACTCTATTACCGGACAAAAGGGAACGTTGACCATCCGTGGGTCTTCTGATATTACTTATGTACTGTTCATCTTTTCTTTTCTCAATTTGACTCAGCTGGAGTGCCCTAGTCCCAATTGGTTGGGTCCGCGGAGATACTTCCCAGCAATGAAGTCTCAGACCATTTAAATCCATCGAGCTTTGCAGAGATATGACAACTGTAAAGACTTCATCTACAATAAGTCCCTCAAAGCGGTTCACTTGAGTCCAATAGACTTTTTAAATTTCTATAATCTGAAAGCTTTCATCCAGTATCTCAGCTTTGCCTACGCATTACTCTTCAAACAGCAAGGTGTTGTGTTCTGATCACAGCGTAAGCGAAATTTAAGTATGATGCAAACTTTTCAAGTGGCTGGCTGAGGCTGAGGGGGTGAGTTCTGGACCGGCCTGCTTATTTGGGCCGACTCTTGTTGGTTGCTGTTGGTTGTTGGTTCCGGTTTTGAGCTCTGATTGGTCTAGTCAAGCGAACTATTGGCGGTGGCTTTCATGCTCCCCTTTCTAATCCGCTCTCGTTTGATGAAACTCCTCCCTGTTAAATGCATGATGCTTACCGACAAATTGAGATCTGTTCCTGTATCGGGTAATGGGGTACTTGCATTTGCTTCTGTAAGCGATGTACCAGGGAAAGCCATCGTGGATCCTGGCTTTGGTGCTTGGGCTTGTCGTGCGCTTCAGTAAGTTGAATCCTTGAAAAGCTCCACTGATGAAAATCACCCCGGGATCATCAGGCATTAATACGAGAGCTGAACTTGCAGAAAGTAACACTGAATTGGTTCTTAATAATGATAATAGCTGGGCAGTTGTTAAGCTCGAGTATTAGATGATTGATTAATGGTCGAACCTTATACCTTAACGGGATAAAACAATTACCTTGTTCTTGTACTGATTCTATGTAGTTGATACAGAGAAACGAATCCTGATATAGGATGACATTGATCTAGGCGGTGAAGATGAGCTCGACATTGCGACGAGTCATGGAAGTATGTCTTATGGTGATGTTGTTGGTGGATGTCAACCTTACAGGTACAGTACGTGGGCCTACCAAAACACTGTGACTTTAAATACTTATTATAGTAAAAAAGAACATCTTAGTAGCCTACCTTAGGTAAGTTTATTAAGAATACTAAAATAGCTTAAGTAGTATATAAGGCTTATTTAAATTAGTTTTATTATCAAATTAAACTTATATATAGCATTTTATTTAATAATGTATTTTATTTCTAAATATTTTATTTATAATAAATAAATACAAAATGTATCATAAGTATTATATAAACTACTATCTTAGTATATTAGTTATATTTGGTTAATATTTATTAATCCTCTTGTAGCATTTTAAAGGTATACCTTGACCTTAGGCTATAAAGGTCCTATTAATCTAACAGCCGTAGATGAAATGTTGCCTAATGGCGGGGCTCGCAAATCTCAGCGCAACCAGGCCCCCTGGCCCTCCCCTTACAGCCCTATTATCCGACCGTAACATGATCAACGTTTGATCAACAGGGTCCAAACCCGACCAGTCGCACTAATGCAGGCATCTCAACCCGCCCCGGCAGTAACACGCGATATTTCCAATACTATTGCCAATAGCTCAAACACCATTGACTACTCAGCCATGATATTTCGAAAAGCATGGAAGCGACCAACACATAAGCTTAAAATGCATGACGATCAAATTTGCGAGGGGCCTGCCATTCGGAAATAGCGTCAGGGTGTAAAGAATCTAGACCTTGGTGGGAGGATGGATATAAGGAGGTTTCTCTTCGTGTTTACTTGGGAATCTTCATCGCGTTTTCATTCTTTTCCGCGTAGTCACTCGTTTGTCTGTCATTCGTTTTGCGATGTTGTTTCACAAGGTGTTTCTAGCCGCGGCCGCGGTTGCTACAACCTACGCTGGGCCATGCAAGCCTGTGAGTTCCAGTGCGTCTGTTTCTTCGTCTGCCGACGCCAGCATTCCCTCTTCAACTGTTTCAGTTGAAGTCTCAGATGCGACCCGTACTGCCACTTCCGAGTCTTCTGGTACAGAGGAAGCCACTTCATCTGTGACTATTGGCTCTGAGACCGTCACGTCTGGGGGTTCCACCACGCTGGCTACGCTACTGTCCAACTCTGGATCTGTTTCTGAGGGTCTCTCCACTTCTGAAACTGGTTCTCGAAGCAGTGATGTGTTGGTCTCAACCAGTGGGACAGAGACCCTTGGACCTTCTACTGATACTGCTGTTACTGATACCATGACCTCGGAGGGTATCACGACTGGTACTACCGACGTGAATCCAACGACTGAGCCTACTACCGCGCCTACCACCGATGATACCACCGATACTGCTGCAACTGGTACTACTACGACTGAACTGACGGGGCAGGCCACAATTGACCCTGCCACTCAATCGTCGACTGAGCCAACCACTGAACCTACTGATGGACCTACTACTGGCACGACTACGACTCTCCTAACGACCGACGACACAACTGAGTCTGCCACGCAGCCAACAACCGATACTATCGAGCCTACCAGTGGTGCCACCACTGACCCTTCAACAACTCAGCATAGCACGACCGAGGGTACAACCACTGAGGCTACAACCGCTGCGCCGACTTCTACCTCTGAGTTCTGCTATGACAATGCATATGTCATCTCAATGCTGGCCTTTGACCCAGTTGCCTCTCCCTTCTGTGTCAGTTACTTGTCCATGACCACGCATACCATGTAAGTTCCCTACTTCAACAAACCTCAAACTCTCACTCATGACGTTCCGTACAGAACCGATTACGCAACAACCGATCCCACAAACGTGTACCAAGTCGATGTCGCCACCATCACCGCCGACGCTCTCACGCGTATTGAGACTGACTACGATGGCGTAACTGCAATCGTGACAGAGTACAAGACGAATACCGAGGTAGGATGCACTGACCATACTTGGAGAGCATGTACTAACCATTGTGATAGTGGTCAGAGGCAACCGTTACTTCAACGCGATCGATCGAAACAATCACATGCCTTGACACCGCATACTCTTACACTGCCCCAGTTCCTACTTTCGACCGAGGCGGCCCGTCTCGAGAGAAACGTGGCCAGGATGAGATTGAGATTCCTGAGGCGATACCATCTGACTGGACTGAGGCTCAAACCTCTGATATCTGCTCGTGTCTTGATCTCGAAGAACCTACGACTCATACAACAATCACTGAGACAGTTGAGCCTACGACTTTCATCACAGCTTCTACAGATGTTGTTACTCCCATTGAAGAATAGTAAGTCTCCTACCATTTGTTTTTCTCATTTCAGAGCTAATTGTAAACAGTACAAAGGTTATCACTACTACGTCAGTCAGTGTCTTTACTTCAACCGTTACTGAGAAGAAGACCTCGACTGTCACCGCTTGGGTTGTCGAGACTACCTTTGCTGATAACAACGACATTGCCTATCGTCGATTCACCTGCCCTTTCAACGCCAACGTCTACGACGATGGTTTCACCACCAATTACTTCAAAGGCAAAACACCGCTGTCGTCAGGAAACACGCAGACCCTCCAATTTAGCACCTGCAGCACTCTCTCCCTCTCCGGCAGTGGAACATTCGATCCTTCTCAAGTAGCACTTCTCTACAACGCATATTTCTACGCCAAAGAGACAGGAATGTATACGTTCTCTGTTCCTGATACCATTGATAACTGGGGTTATCTTTGGGTCAAGGATGCAGCGTATACGTGGAACGTCAACGCCTGGGCTATCCAGGGGACGCGAACGGGACAGAACTCTCAGTTGTGGAAGGGAGGGTCGTATCAGATTCAGTTGAAGAAGGGTGATGCTATTCCGTTTACGTATCTTTGGGCGAATGGAGGTGGTTGCGCTGGAAATGATTTGAGTGTGAGGACACCAAGTGGGAAGTCTATTCCTGGCATGGCTGGGTCGACTGTCAAGGCTTGCCATCTGAACAAGTTCAATTAGGTTTGGTGGTTTTAATTCTTCATCTGTATATTAATTATAATAGACTTACTTCTGTACTTACTCACACCTGAATTGTTGTCTCTAGAGCTCCAGAATGATTATCATGTATGTAGGTTCAAACTACAATTACCTTACCAACGCATAGTCCGCGTCATAGCGATAAGGTTGAACGCCAGTCAATCTCGCCTATAATAAAAGACCATCAATCTGGTTTGAGATAATATCCTCACCGCGTAGTCAAAAGGGACACTAGATTATTGAGAACTAAAGCTACTGTGATATAATCTTACTTACCGACTCTGTTTTGCCTCTTATTTAATAACCTATACCGGATACCAACTTCGGATGCCTAGAGCTATAGTAATAGCGCCGAAGGTAAAACTGGTTTAATAACAAAGACTTGCCATGTCAGCGAGTCAACTAGATTTCCTCAGTTAGAATGTCCCTTGTGACATATAAAACGTAGCTTTACCAACTGCATCATCGCATTTGCTCCAAATTTGACTGGCTCTACCGCTTTTCAATTTCAAACGCATCTGCTGGTCTTGAATCAAGTAGTAGCTAGGTAACCCCTTGCATGTCTCACAACCTGACCACCCTACGCTTGTCGCACCAACCCAGAAACAAACCTCCACATCAAAAGACTGCTCTCTTGCCCAGCAATGCTTCAGCGCTCTGAGGGATGCAACAATCCCTGCATAACGGATACAGGCAATCACTTCAGACTTGTCAGTCCCTTTTTCATGGAGGGTATATACCCCATGCAGCAAGCGAGGATAAGCTGCTCAGCAGGATTGACAACAGCTTAATCTTGATCGCTCTCCGGAGTCACGATGTGGCAAAACCAATCAAGCGCAAAATGATAAAAGTCAATTTCACTAAGAAGACTCAATAAACTGCACCGAGTAGAAAGACAAGGCCGCATCCCTGCAATCCCCTCCCTAGTGCTTCCAGAGCTTGAAAGCCTGGTTGGCACCACCATGACCGTTGTAGGTCAGGAAAGCTGTGCCATTCGTAGTGTTGCCACCCGACAGATCAAGGTACGTCTCGTCCTTAGCATTGCGGAATCTAAATCCCTCATCAGTTTGTAGTTCATACATAAGATGTTGAGTCACTTACCGGACTTGAGTGCTGTCAGTGACGTTCTCGACTGTTGCGCCCTGAAGATCCCACTGAGCTGCAAGGTCAGAGACATCGCGGTTTCTCTCGCACTTGACAGTCTGTCCGTGTCCTATATCCTTCGTAAGTAATCTGGTCTGTTGTGTAGAGTTGTGTACTTACCAGCTGAAAAGAGGACAAAGCTGTTGCCCGCGTTCTTGATGATGACCCGCGTGTTAGAGCCAGGAACTGAAAATATCTCCCAGATCTGGTTGGAGTTCCACTTGTACGATCCATCGGAGCTAACAGAAATTAGTTGTCATCACGATTTGTCGAGGAGGGAAGTACTTACATAGCATGAACAGGAGGGTTCTGGCCACCTGCGCCGTTGAGGTCGAAGAAGACATTCATGTTGCGGCTAGAGCTCTCACTTCGAATGTTGCACTTGAAGCGGAGCTTAGGCTCAGGGGCAGCAGTAGGAGTAGGAGTAGGAGTAACATGACCTTCATGCATGTGAGTTCGCAGCTCCTTCGCCTTGTCCTTTAACTCCGTCTCCAGATTGTCAAAGGCAAGTGTCTTCTCCTTGATGGTGTTGTTGAGCTTTATGATCTCGTCAGCCTGCTCGCTGATTGTCTTGCTCCTTTTCTTGGCAAGCGCTTCGAGATCCTTGACATCTTCCTGTGCCTGTTCGAGCTGGCACTGGAGATCGTTCTTGGCCTTCTCCAGCTTTTCGATGGTCTCGTCCTTCTGCTTGTTCTCACCTCGGAGTCTATCGCCTTCTCGCTTCTCAACTTCGAGTTGGGCTTCGAGGGTGGCGATGCGAGCGGTGAGATCAACGATCTTGGCGGCTTCAGCCTTGAGACGAGCCTCGGCGGCTCTGAGATCAGTCGTCGTCTGGTCAAGCTTCTTCTGCACCTCGGCCTTGGAAGCTCGCTCGTATTCAAGCTGAGAAACTAGTCGGTCAATCGTCTTGTGGTCTTCATCATCGTGCTTCTTGCCGTTCGCAAGGTCTTCATCTCTCTTCTTGAGATCGGCAGCATGAGCTGCTTGAGCGTTGGCGAGTCTCTTGGTCAGATCAGCGGTCTTGGCTTTCTCGACATTGAGATCATCGATAAGCTTCTTGATCTCCTTCCTGAGCTCGCTGTTCTCTGTGGTAGCGGCATTGAGCTGTTCGCCTCGAGCATGGAAGTCGGCATCGAGTGCTTTGAATCGCTGCGGTCGTTAGCCAATGTTAGTTCAAGTCAATAGAGGTTACTTACATCCTCAGCGTACTTGGCGAGGTAGCCAGCCTGATCGGCAAAAGCGATGGTATGTCGCAGAGTGTCAATGAGGTTCTTGGGGAAAGGAAGGGGTCCTAGAATGCGAGGGAGAGACGGCTGAGGCTGGGGAAGGCGGACTTCGACCTCGGTCTTCTCGGGAGGAGAATACTCTGGGGGGTTCCAGTCACTGAATGGTGGTTAGTATTGAAATGAGCCTGTGACCTCGGACTTACTGTGAGTGGCGATCAATCAAAGCAGAGAGATTGTACTCGCCAAGATCCTGGTTGGCCTCAGGCCCTTTCATGTGGACAGCAAGCTTCTCCGTAGTCTCGTCCCAAGTACACGTAATATCGTAGTACGAATGGTAAGAGAACTTGACGCCTTTTCCGGCACCAGACAGCATCTTCTGGGACTCGGCACGGAAGGACGGGGACTTTTCAGTACCAGTGTCATCATGAGTCCACTGCCAAAGCGAAAGAACAGGCTTTCCATCACCGAATCCCTCGGGGACGATGAAAATACTCATCTCGTCATTAGCATACTTGGACCAAGAAATTTTGCCAGTCCAGATCCTTGCAGCTCCAGTGGCCTGCTCTCCCTTAGACTGCCAGATACGCTTGAACGGCATGTTGCTCTTGGCGCCAGCGGGGTTTGACATGACAACGTCGAGTTTGCCGTAGATGTCGTGGGAGGTGATCTCCCAGCTGTAGTAGGAAGCCTTGGCGATGAAGGTGTCATCGCCGCTGGGAGTCTTGGAGACCTTCTCGATGGCGGACTTTTGGAAGAAGTTGGCCTTCTTGGTGCCCTGAGCATCTTTTGTCCATTGGGAAAAGAGATAGGCGGTGTCACCAACGCGGACTGGACCGTCAGGCAGGATTATAATGAAGGTCTCGTTATCGCCGTAGGGCTTCCAGTCGAGACGGCCTTCGTAGACGAACATTGTGATGAGTGAGAAGATAAGGTTGTCAGAAAAGGGTAGACGATGAATCGATAGAATTGAAGAGTTGTTGATGATGAGAATGATGGTAGCCGCAAGTAGAGCAACTATATATAGTCAAACCTCGAACTTTGGCTTCACGTAAAATGTTTAGTGAAGTCTTCGAATTGAGTTGAGAGGTCCATGGATTCCACATTCCGACCCATATCCGTTCCCTCTGGAATTCACTTCAATAATTCTCTGCATGTCTTTGCCTATCACCAGCTGAGAAGTTCTGTGGCTACATGAGGACACGATAACTGCAAACTTACAACCTTGTCCAGCAAATAGAGTCCAACTATTATCACCTTGAGTACATTTCAAAGCATGCATGTTCTGTGATATTAGACGCCTTGCCGTTGTTCAGGGATAATGAAATCGTGACTAAGACTCAAAGGAGAGTCCCCGCCGGAACATGGCTCACGAGTATCGCACCATTGGAATTTCAGGTGATGCGCTTTGATATTCGAGGCGCCGACTCGGCAATCACATGATTCGCCTCCGAACGGGACATAGAAACGCTTTGATGATATAGATGGATCTAAGCCATGCATGTCGCTCCAGGCCGATCCCTGGGGTTCCGAAAGAGGGAAATTCATGGGAAGTGGAGAGCTGATGGTTTTTGTTTCGGGCTGGCTGAGCTGAGACGTACAGAAAGGAATGGATCTATCGAACGCGTGGTTAGCGCTGTGGCTTGCAGGCGACTGTGCATAGCCGTGTCTGAAAAGGGCAGCATCGTTCCTGGGCATCATGAATACACCGAGTTCATTTCGGCATTTGATAGTTTCATGCAAGCTGCAGGCCTTGGTTTCGTGGCATTGAAAGGTTTCTGAGAAAGAACAGCCAAGTGTTGAAGGAAGGGGAAATGCAAATCAGAACTAACGAGGTCTGGCTAGCTTAGATAAACGACTCAACTTATGTCTATAGGCTGGTAATAACAAATTGATAATAGTAATGATATATTGATCCGTGACCTGAAGGCCACGATGAACTTACAAAGCGACGCAGGCCATTTTGTCCTTTATAAAGCAAACCTGCACGGTTCTATTGAACATCCCTCCATTCCAGAGTAGCATTTCTGCCAGTATCAGTTACGGTGAACTCAAACTCCCGGTCTATGTTGGAAGATCCCTGGTGTTTTAGATATTGAGCAAGTTGAAAGGTTCTTCAGAAATGGCTGGTTATTTATTGATCCCTGTTGCAGGAGCTGTTAAATGTTTCATTCTCGCAAAGCCAGAACATAAGAGAATCGTCTATTTGACCCAAACGCCATTTTTGTCTAATTTATCAAACCCAAGTCTATCCCAACCTTGAACAAAAGAAACCCTCCCAAGTAATCAAGCAGCCTGAGCAACAGCATACCCAACCCTCTCTCCAACCTCCATCTTGCCCTCACTCTCATGCCTCTCCCTCTCCTTGACCTCGGCCATCCTATTCAAGAAGCTCAAATACGTCTGCCACCCCACCGCCACGACACCATGAAACAAAGGCCTCCACCCAATCGACAGAAACGAGAAACTGAACGCCGTGACCATGGGCCATAATTTGCAGGAGTTGATAATACTGGTTGGCACGGTGTCTTTGACGCGCTCGATTGTCCCGGGGATGTCACAACCGGACAGCAGGGCTTGGGCGCCGAAGAAATATGTGTTGAAGATTGGGGTAAAGACGACTTGGCCGACGGTTACTTTTGTGGCGAGGGAGAGAAGACGGGAGGAGTAGTTGAAGTTGTGGGAGAGAAACATGAACCTGGACAGAATATTAATATCAAACTGTAAAGTTGCTCACCCTCGACCTCACTCATACTCTCACTATAACTAGGAAAAAGAAAGACTCACCACTTATAATTCGGTATAGCAGCAACACACCCAATAACCGCATTCCTCAACGTCCTAACAGGATCATACTCATTGCCGCTAACATACTGCGCACTCAGATCCCCAGCGATGTAAATCACCACCGCGGTGGCAACCTGTGTCTTATACGGACTCTTATTCTGCGCACGCGCATAAGCCTGAACAGCTGTTGTCAAAGGTCCGAGGCGCTGCCATAGAGGCAGGGGGGCGACGGTGGCGGGCACAGGGATGGGGTCTTTTTTAGGGGGCGAGGTTTGGAAGCGCCGTTGGAGGTGGCGGAGGGGATGTTTGAATGCTGGGCGGAGGATGAGTATTGTCATTATGTGTGAGTAAGGGTATATGTGACGGTGATGTGTAAGTGAGACAGTCTGGGGTTGTATAAGTATGGGGAGTGAAAGGGATGCGAGATTATTGAGATGAGATTGGATCTTGATAAGCGGTTTCGAACGGCCGAACTCGGACGGTAATTCCGAATGAGAAAAAAAAATATGAATGATTGATTAGATTGGTTGGTGTGGAGATCGGTATTCATCGGCTATCGAATCGGTACTTACTCAGAAAGGCAAGTCATCACGGCCACCCGCCCTCACTGACAACCTCAACCTCAATATGAATATGAATTAAATAATAATATGCTAAACAAAGGAAAATGCCAGTGAATGTCCATCCAAACTCCTATTCCCATGCCATGTTTAGAAAAACTCCTCCTCCTCCTCATCCAACAACCCCATCCCACTATCCCTCCCCCTCAACCTCTTACTCACCCTCCTCATACCCCCCTGCCTCTGCACAACCTCTGACTCTTCTTTTCTCGGCGTCAAAAACTCCTGACTCATCTTGACCACCCTCTCCAACTCCTCCTTCATCGCATCGATAACCTCCTTCGCCTTAACCCTCTCCTCATCAACTTCCCTCCTCAAGCCACCGTTCTCAACTCGTAGTCCACAGATTTTATCATGTGCAGAGCGGAGAGATTCATTCAGCTTGTCCATCTCACTTCGATATTTCGTAACGCTTGCATCGCGCGCTGCGAGTGCTGAGCCGTGCTTTTTGTTGAGTGAGGAGATGGTCTGTGTGTTGGTGGTTTGGAGAGTGAGCATTTGGGCTTGCAGATCGGAGGAGCGGGAGAGGGCGGATGAGAGTTTGGCTTCGAGGGAGGCGATGGTGTCTTCTTTGCGGGTGAGGATCTTGTGCTTGACTTCTAGTTGCACAGCGTATTCATCGTGTGCATCATGAGCTTCGCGCTCCATTCGTTGAACGAGATCTTCCAGCTCTGAAATGTCGCGGATATACCCGTCAACAGCACCCTTGAGTCTCTGATTCGCAACCTCGAGCTCCCGTATCCTCGCAATCTTGTCACTGATGAGTTTCTCAGCCTTTCCCATCTCTGCTTTTAAACCATCCATGACTGTAACTCTTGCATCGAGTTGCTTCCGTAGAGAAAGCTCAATCTCGTGATACTCATCTATAGCATCCTCATCTTCCTTTGCGCGCTTCGCCATGTCGCGCAGGCGTGTGAGCATGAGATCTAAGACTTCTGCACCGTGGGAGGATAGGGGGAGGGTGATTTCGCCGGGAGTTAGGTACTCAAGTTCTAAGCGGGCAGCGCGGAAGTTGGTGATGAGGGTTGTTATCATTTCGCTGGCGTCGGAGCCGGTGAAGCCGAGTTTTGTGATGGAGGATGTGAGGGTTTGCAGGGCGTGTGTTCTGTCGGACATTGTTTGGAGCATAGCGTCAATCTGTGCCTCGAGACCTGATTGATCCCTGGGTGTAAAGTCTGACAACTTGTTGCTCAGGCGTCCACTGAGAGTTTTGTAAGACTCGAGAGTGTCTGTCAACTTTGTCACCTCCAACTGAAGCGACGAAACTTCCTCCTCTAACTGCAGCTGCTTGGGATCCGGCAAACAAGCCTGAACACCAACCATAGCCGTTGTCTCGACCGGCTCAAAAATCGGTGTTCCAGGTACAGTAGGACTCGTAGCAGGCGGCGTCATAAACGAAGTATGCGCTCTCGAAGGCGTACTGCAAATGAACTGCGCCATAGTCTCATCCCCAAACTGATCCTCATCGGGCGTCATGTCCATAAAATCCTGAGAAAACTTCTCCCGCGCTGTAAGGGTCCAGTTATACCCTCTACTCTGATCCATAGCGCGACCTGATCGTTTGGACAGCTCATCTTGAAGATCTTGGATCTGCTTCTCAAGATCCCAAATACGATCTGTGTCGATGACAATAGTCGCATTCTGCAATTCGTAGATTTCACGATCACGCGCTTTTAATTCATTTCTCAACTTCTCAATTTCCTCTTTTGCTTCTTGATTCCGACGGCGCTTTTCCTGTTGAATTGTGTTCATCTCCTCGCTCAGACCATTGCGACGAATTCTTCGCTGGACACGACCGTCGAGGACTTGTCGCAGTGGCAAAAAAGTGACTTCACCGCTTTCAGGGAGCGCTGGACTTGAGCGGACTGCGCTGGGGGTTGTTTGGATAGGTAGGGATGAGTGTCGCCGGCGTTTGGGTGTTGCGACGGTGAAGCGATTGACCATGGGGGTTAATCCGGATGAAGAGGCGCCTGGGTCGGAGAAGCGGACTCGTCGGTTGGCGCCTCGCTTGGGGGTCTTGGAGGGCATAGGAGATGAGGGCATGTCTGGCTCTGGTTTGATGCTGCTGCGACGGGGGCGTCTTATCGCGATGGGGAGATGAATGTCTTCCATGATGAGTGCGTATGGCAATTGAATGAGACGTCAAGCAGTTTACGAAGAAGACTCATAAAGTAGAGCGACCACCCAAGAGGAATAAAACAAGTCCAATGAACTGAACAAGTTATGAATAACAGATCAACAAAACAGCGAACCCCTCGCATTTAAAAAAACACAACTCCCAGCATAACAAAAACATCCCCAGGCCATCATTTACACGACCTCCAGGCATGATGTTTACCTTTTCCCCTTTACAGCCTAGCGCGTAAACTCGGGAGGAATGAGAACCAATTGTTTTTGCTACATGCAGGGTCTCGCAAAACGGCCGCTGGAGAATTGTATGGGGCCGTGAATTCGGGCCATGTTTTTTGGTGGGAGCGGTCGTGTTTTTGGGCCATAGGATTCACGGTGCTTGTTTGTTTTGGGGGGCCCACTGTAGATTTCGGGGGGATTGAAGGGGCAACGGTTGATCTGTTGATGTTGTGAGACGATAATGCATTGTTTTGTGTTGGAGAGTATTGCATGTTGGATAGTTGCAATTGACGAGATATACTGTCTGTGTTACTTGCAGCCTCAATGTGAGGGTGTCTTGACATACGGGATGGCCCGCCACCCGGTCGATCTGACACCCAAGATCCATCACCCAGATGACATGGCAATTGAAGCCATTCCCAAACTGCTATTTCCCTTCCGTCACAATCTCCTTCTGGGCGCTTACCCAGACTCTCGGGTCCCAGACCTCCTTTTACTGATTGGTCACATTTAATATCCTCCAACATCTCTATCGCACTCTTAACAATCCATTTCGAGCATGCTTCCGCTGCACAAACCACCCCATTCAAATTCTCGTGATACTCACTCTTGGTGTTGTCCGCCAACCAATCTTACCGAGCTGACTAATCCCCTTCCATTCCTCACCGACGCGTCCTTCACCTTATTCCACTAACGTTAGCATCCTCCCACTGACTCTCATCTCATCGCTCACTCATGCCATCTCAGACAAAATGCCCACTCCTTCAAAACATGTCAAATTCGTCGCCTCAGATCCCTCGCGCGGCGGTCTCCCCGTGAAACGCAAACAGGTCCAACACGCTTGCGCATCATGTCGCAAGAAAAAGGTGAGCATCTATTACCCAAGGAATATTTGGAGAGAGTGGGGGGCTGATTGAGTAGAGGCGCTGTGTTCATGCTGAAGATGCGATCGATGAGACTTCGCCTCCCGTGGAAGAAGATGAGACATCCCGGTCAACGTGAGTGGGCCTCTACCACCGCTCTGGTGCAATTCCTCCAAGGTGATGTGAATTAACACCACCAGATCACTACCCTTACAAACACAACGAACTGCTCTCCCAGACTCATCGCTTCAATATGCAAACTCAACCGCAAATGCAAGTCCTGCTGCGCCAACTCCAAGGCGCGAGTCAGGAAGCACGCCAAACCAATCATCCCGCTTCGTAGGGGATCTCAATCCAGAGGGCATGTTCATGGAAGCCACAGGCTCAGCGTCCATCCGCGAGACGTCGCAGAAAGGAGATGTGGGAATATGGCTTTCTTCTAATAATCCTGGACAAGCGAGTCAATTCATTACTTCTCGACCGCCGCCCATAATGGACCAGTTTTTACTACCGTTTGTGAAAGAGCATTGTCTCTCGTGTCTTCCGCCACATCAAGACTACCTCAAACTAAAGGCGTTGTATTTGGAGAAGATTCATCCTATCATGCCGATTATACCGGAGACGACGCTGGAGGGCGATGAGCCAGCGAGTGTGGTGTTGAAACAGCTCATTTGTCTAGCCGCATCTACAGATCCAAGCATGGCGCGGTATCTGCATCTCCAAAACAAAGGCGATGATCTTCTCCCCTGCCAAGACTTCATGCAATCCATCTCCTCCGCCGTCCGCGCAATTCTCGAAACAAGCATCATTACCGACAGAGTCCTTCACATCCGCGCCCTCATCCTTTTATCCCTCTACACCCAGCCCAGCTCCTCCGAAGAAGCAGATCTCCCCGCGCAACTCGGCGGCCGCGCTATTCACCACATCCAAACGCTAGGTCTTCATCTGCTCAGGTACGACGCGCCGAACTGTGAAGAGCTGGAAACGCTGTTCTGTGCGGTCTGGGCGGTTGATCGGATTAATGCGGCGGTGTATGGGAGGCCGTGTCTCATGCATGAGAGGGATATAGGCGCGAATCTGGATGGGTGTATTAGGAAGAGGCCGCCGTGCTTCAGGTTGTTTTTGAGTGTGGTGCAGTGGTTGGATCAGGTTATTGAGCTGTATCGCCCGGGACCGAGTGCTGAGGCGAGCGGGTTGGATAAGATTGCTTATATTGATCTTCCGGTTCTGGAGGCCATGATCGTCAATGCTGATGCGCTCAAAGTACCGGGTTCACTAATTGGTAAGTCATCCGTTCGATCAAAAGTACCTGGCTAATTGTTACAGCAACGATCGAAACATTTTATCACGCCGTGATTATTTTATCGTGTCGTCTTCCACGACCGGGTACACTTACAGCTGCATCTACACTCCCTCCACCATCCGCCAACGCCCGTCGCTCCCTCGCGGCAGAACGCATCGCCTGCGCCGTCCTGCGCGACCATCTATCCCCAATGCCCTTCGTCCCCTACGCCGTATGTCTCGCCCTAAGCGTAGAGTACCGCAAGATGCGCCACTCTCGCCTCCCCATGTTTCGCTCCCGCGCCATGCACGCATTCCGTCGCAACTGCGAAATGCTCAGAAAATTCGGCGATTACTTCTGGAGCGCCAACGTGGTAGCGGGGTTGGGCGAGCGGGTGCTGAAGGAGATGGAACGGGCTGCTAACACGCTTACACGGGAATCACCGCCGCCGGTTGAAGGCACGCCGGCGCTGGTGAATCCAGTGGCTGTGACGAATCCGAGCATGGTTAATGCTGTGCCGAGCGTGGAACAGGCCGTGGACTTCTCACTGATTGATGCTATTTCTGGGGCGGATGTGTTTGGGGCTATTGATCCGAGTTTTAACTTGGGGGCTGTGGAGGATGCGCTGGAGGCGAATCTGGATATTGGGCTGCCGATGAATTGGGTTGATTGGGGGCAGTATGCTACGTTGTCGTAAGATGGACGGCTCAGAGTCAGCTACATCTTTGACGACTGGAGGTAGTCTTTGATGACTGGTTGGTGATTTGGTGTTGGAGGTGTCTTACGCCCGTCATAATTTTTGGCGACGGCTAAAAACTTACTTTGGTGGTGATACTTGGCGCGGCTATTTCCAGAGTTTTGGTAAGACGATGACCACGCGTGAGATGACAGAAGCTCACGGTCAGCGACAACTGTCCGGGCTATAAAATTGGCTTTGTTGCTGGTTTGGAATGCATTTTGCTCAATCAGTCACCATGTGGAAAACGTCATCGAAAGATACCAGCATTGAGATCGTCGCTCTTCTCGACGACAAAGACGACGCTACGAGTACACATATCCAGCACACTACGCCAAGACATCATCGATTTGCACGTCGCAAGATGAGCTTGGAGAAATGGGGACAATTATCGGCGTTAATTGGGAGGGATATGAACATGGTGGCGTGTTTGTCTGCCGTGTAAGCTGTAACAGGGACATGGCTTTTGCAGTAATAGACGATTCAGCAATGAGCGAAAAGACATGGAGCGGCAAAGGGTATGATTGGCAGCCCGTAGGCGCGGTAATGTACAGTAGAGCGACCGTTCATGTTTCCAAACGACTCTTGCTAACGGCGCAGATAGATAAGGGTCCATCGACCAGAAAATAGGGAAGATTATGCGCCGTCCCGGTCGCAGACCATCGTCCTGGGTTGTGTGGGTTGTATGGAGGATCAAGTAGAGCGCTGTCTGCTCGGCTCAACTGAGCGACTCAATCGTCCTCAATAAATACTGTCCATCTCCTCGTTGACCAGTTCAAGATCCCGCGTATGGTTGTAGCATTCGAGGTTCGTATCGCACGAGTTGGTAGGTAATCGCTTGTTCCATTCACTTATCCAACATCATTCAATCCAACTCTTGTGCCTCCCACCATCACATCCAATCGTTGTTAATCGCAGAGTAACCGGGTATCATAAATCATTAATCCATCTCTTTCACTTCCTCGTTATATCCGTGGGCTTCCCCCGAAACTGATTCTTGATCTCATCCAGAAAATGCTTCGCAAACTGTGAATTTTTACCAGACGTATTCGGATCCGCCGTCGCCTCGCCCGGTGCCAAAGGCTCGTGCGGATTTCGTCCGTGTTGCTTCTCGTGGATGGTCTTGTGAATGCGTGTTACTGCGCGGTGGAAACCCGGTTGGCGGAGGATCTGAGATATGTTAGATTGGGGTGGAGATTGAGGATGGGAGGCGTACGGATGCGACGATGTGATCCTGGAATTTGTTAGTAAGGGCACTTATTGGGGGAGAGGGACGACGGACTTCGAAGGATTGGATTGCGCGGAGGAGCCACCAGTGTGCAGCCATTTTGGTGAAGAGGACGGTAAATTGAAGGTGCTGAATTCAAGATGGAGATGGAGTGGCGGCGTTAGTGGCACGGGAAATGGAGGGGCGGACAAGGATGACAAATGGATCTTGTGTGACAGCTTGACTACAGTTTCAGCTACAGCTACCCTGAACTTGACATGAGCCAATCAAGCACTCATCAATGCTCAAAAGCTTGAGATCATTTAAGAGCTTAGAATAACGTGTCAAAACTATCCTAAGTTTAGCACAGACTTATCCTAAAGTTAGGTAAGTGTTGGATCTTGGTCACTTATAGAACACCTCATCACTGTCACTCTCATGCAGCCTCGATGAACGTCAAATCACTTTTATTGATCCCAATCCACCAGCTTGATTACTGTCCAGGATTAGAAGTACTGGTTCATGAAAGCACCGATATAATCCTGCTTCCCCAACTCAATGCCCTCCTTTCTCAAAATCGCATACGCCGTAGTCAAATGGAAGAAGACATTAGGAATTCCATAACCCTGCACATAATCCCGAACCTTCATATCCGCACTCTTTCCGGGGCCAAGGCCAATAGTGACAACCTCAGCACCACGCTTCTCGACAAGCTCTCGGTCAGCCTTCTCAACAACTTCAAGGACTTGGGCAATGCGAGCGTGGAATTGAGGGAATGTGGTGCACTCGTCGCGAGAGAGGGTGAGGGGCTCTGTGCCGGTTGTGCGCGCGACGATCTTTTGCGCTGTGTCGGTGGTGAAGTAGACCTGGAAGCTGAGGTCCAGCATGTCAGGGGCCAGTTTGGCGGTGGGGAATGAGGCAGAGTTGGCGTGGGATTCGGCCTTTTTGAGGATGGAGGATAGGGAGTTGAGGGCTTCCTTGGTGTGGAGGATGGCGGCGTCGTAGAGTGTGTAGCTCATGATGGGCAGTGAGTGACTTTGAGAGTGAAACTTAATTTGAGAGGAGGTAGTGTGAATTGGGTATAGTAGTTATTGCGTGATGAAGCTGGTCTGTCCGAACAATCCGAGAGGCGATGTCTACGGGGTATATATATCTCTTGGTCTCCCCGTTTCATGAGACCTCAACCCTTCTCCACTGTCTTCACCGCTTGCTTTACTAATGGACCTTTCCAGTTCCCCTCAGATCGACCGGCTGAAGACTCTAGATGCTTCCTCGATTAGTAATGGATCCATTGAGAACCATTGAGGGCCTTTTGAGACCATTGCGGAGACTGGCAGTAACGCTAAGTGTCTCCGGATCATCGGTGTCCGACATCCGTGCGGGATTGGGATACAGGCCTTTCGTTGGACGTGCGTTGAACAAGTGTTCTAAACGGTCGAATATCGCACGATTCATGAAACGTCGGCTTACAAACCAGCTCTGATTACAAACTACCTGATCCAAATGAGACACGGGGAACCAAAGAAATGGCCGGCAAATATGACAGCAGAAAATACCTGGTAACAAGAAATGACAGGTTATCGAAGAAATGACCGTGACGGACGACGAGAAGGAATAACAATCGCTCCATGAAAACAGTCAGGCCATCAATTAAAACCCAAGGATCCGATTCGCCTCCGCAACAACATCATTCTCCCCCTCCGTCCTCAGCGCGCTCAGGCCCATCGCCCGACGAGCCGCTCCGTCCAGCATCTTCTCCGTGCCCCGCCCCACATGTCCGGACTCCCCCGCACCGCCAGGGAAATCCGGTCCCGGCGTCCCACGGAGGAAAGCGTCGCGCTGTCGGACCATGTACTCTGCGTTTTGGGTTGTGATTGGACAGATGGGGATGTACAGGACGGAAGAGTCTGATGTGCCGGCGTGGACTTTGTCGACGGAGTGGATTGCTAAGTAATGTTAGTACCGGTGGTAATTTGGGGACGGGTGAAGGGACTTACTGTCGCAGTGCCATGCTACGAAATCTCCAGGTTGTATCTCAGGAACGTGAACCATCGTCCTCTCAAGCTCCAAATGCGGATGTAACTCCCCCGTCAACTCCTGTCCCGTCCCCGGCGTCGCACCCTGCAACTCACTATCAACATCCCTCATCAACTCCCAGTTCCCCTCGTCCAAATACCCCTGCCCCAACCTCTCACTCTTTGCCTTAAAAAACGGCCTCAGCAGCACATACGCCATCGATAGCTTCACCAGCGGATTAACCAGCAACGTTCCCTCTCCAGGCTTAGTATGGCTCATGCTCATCCACCCCTGCCACATTCTAAACATCGAACAAGCACCCAGTCCATCGTAGCGATTGTTCACAGCGTCGACACGTCCGCTGGCGTCCCAGGGATCGTAGGAGTCCCAGGTTCCTTGGAGGATGGCGTCGTAGACGTGTCCTGCGCCGTAGCCTTCCGGTTCCCAGCGCTCTACGCTTCCGCCGTCGATGTGTGGACCGAGAGCGAAGCTGGCGTCGCCGGGTTGGCGGATACGTAGGCGGTCGGCATAGCTGAAGGGTTGGGAGAGGGAGATTGAGGTTGGAGAGGTGGTGTGCCAGAGGGACATGAGATTGTGTTGGACGGTGAGGAAGTTTGGGTGTGAGCGGGCTTTTAGTTGGGGTGGTGACCAGTAGAGTTCGTAGACTTGAGGATCGTGAGGTGGAAATGCTGATATCGTTAGTGTAAGTCAATTGGCGAGGGGAGTGTAGGGGTAGATACCTCGTGTAGATGGGTTCTTAGCAACATACTCCTCCACCTCAGCCTTATACGCCCTCGCCTCACCCTCCGGTATAACACCCCTCACAACAACAACGCCTCTTTTCTTGACCTCCTCCCTCAGCCCATCACTACTCTTCTCAAGATCCTTGAAGTCAATCTGGGGAATAACACCTGGTCCCTTCTTGGCAACAATCTCATTCTCCCGCTTCAACTCACGAAGGAGTTTTTTCCACGATTGAACAATCTTATCTTGGCGGCCTTGGAGGAGATTAAGTTTGAGCTGACGATATCGATCGGGTAAAGGCTCGCGTTGGGCCCCGGACAGTGAAGTGAATGCATCCGAGATGTCGCCTTCTTTTTTGGAGGCTAGCGATGTCATGCAGCGGCGGAGGACAGGGCGGGATGGCTTGGCGAGAGATGCGCGGAGCATTTTGACGGCGGTTTAATGAGCAGAATGACAGGAAATTTGATGGAAAGAATGTGGAAAAAACGATGAGAGTGACGAGAAGATGATGATAAGATACAGGATTGCAGTGTGAGCGGAAAGAAGATAATGGTGTTGGATCTTATATCGAATTGAGGAGAACGCGGTCTTACTCCATTGGGACATTCCGCATTTCGAATTGGAGAAGCAAGAAATCTTCCCCAGCTTCGGGGAATAAGAGCCTTGCTCAATGTGGGGTTAAACTTCAGAAGGTGCTCTTGGTCACGGCATTGAACTGTCTTCAGCAAACAAAGCATTAAACTTACCAGCTACAGTGAGAAGACCGCAGTCCAGAGGCCTGAGTAAACAATCTTGAAAGGCGAGCAGAAAGCTCTCCCGAAAGGCCTTAAGTTTACACAAACAAGCATTTGCCATCACTTACACCGCGCGGTCTCCAACCTCAAGATCTAGACAGCACGTCACTCTTCGCTTACAGTGCCTCCAGGAACTCACAGCGCTAAAACTCCACTCTCATCACCACCAACACGCCTCACAAACAAAAATCACTATCACCCGAGTTCAGCATCACCAACATCAATGATCATGATACCCAAATATATTCCCCAACACCAACACAAAAGAATACCTGTACTCAAGTTATACAAGCCATGCAGTCCAGTTATACACAATCAACACCTAGCTCCCATCTATGCTAATAATTAACCACCCTTCCCTACGATCATTCCTCTCAAACTCCACGCTTTTTTTAATCCAGGTCCCCCAGAGCCCTCTTCATCCTCTCCTTCAAGTCCCTATTCTCCATCTCCAACCCCCCCAGCCTCTGCCTCGCAGCATGTCTGTCCTGGTTCCTCCCCTCCCGCTCCATCTTGAGCTTATACTCCATGTCCCGCAGTCTAAACAACCACCTGTTATCGTTCGCAGCGCTGTTGTTCTCTTCGCTCAGCGCAGCCATGTCGCGGAGCCCTAAGCCACCCGCTGAAGAGCCGGGTAGTGCGGTGGTGGTGTGTGCGCGCGTAACGGTTGAGCGGGATTTGGAACGGCTTGTGCGTTGGTCGTTGGGACCGCGCGGGATGGAGGGTGATGGGGAGTGAGGAACTAACTCGGTGCTGGAGTATGAGGCTCGCGCGCGCACGTCGTTTGCGGTGCGGAGAGTGGCGTTTTCGACTTTGAGTTGGCGATATGCTTCTTCGAGGCGGGAGTACCTTGCGTCGTGGCTGAGGGATCCTGAAGCGACCGAGTTTCTAACCATGGTTTCAAGACGGTCCAGTTTCTTGGTGCGCACCTCGAGGTTGGACTCGAGGGTTTGATACTCCCTGTGGAGATCGCGCTCGACGGATTTGATGCGCACTTCGAAGGAGCCGATCATGTTCTCGATGGCTTTGACGGCGGCCATGAGGTTCTTGGTGAAGCTGGGGAGGCGGTTGGCGATGACTTCGATTGAGGGGAGGACTTGGCGGTCGATGAGGGAGTTGCCGTGGACCCATTCCCTTCCGCATAATTTACTGAGCTTGTGCCAAAGCTGGAGGAGAAGTTCATTGCGCTCCTGTAGTTGATCGCGCATCGACTGTTCAAGTTGTGCGATCCTCCTGCGATCCTGGCTCTTGTTTGTCTCGAGCTCAGCGATGCGAACATCTTGACTGCTTGCAGTACGGGTAAGGTGCTGATGAGACTTCTGGAACGTGTCGTACTGCGATTTGGTATTGCGGTGGGCAATGCGCTCCTTGTCGAGTAACTCGGCAAGTTTGCGACTCTCAAGGGCATGCGACTCGAGTAGTGAATCGCGCATCTTGATGATACGATCTTTCTCCACAAGAGCTGCCTTGCTGGCATCCAGATCGCGGATCGTATTCTCAAGCTCCCGCTGTAACTTGGCGATGGACTAAAACCGTTAGCTTCCGTTTTATCCCCACAATCATGAGACAACTCACCTTGAGGAGCGAAGAGCGGGTACCGTTGAGGTCACCCAGAGCTTCACGAAGATTATTCTCGAGCTCCATCAACCTCTCCTTCCACTCTGTCGCCTCAACCTCCCTCGACGTCAAGTTCTTACGCAGACGACGAGCCTCATCCTTGGCCGCTGACGCTTCCCGATTGAGCTCGTTGACAAACTGCTGAACCTCCTCCTTCTCCTGGTCCGCCACGATTTCTCGCTGGTGTCGCTCTTGTTGGAGACGGTTCTCCAGTTCCTTGACTCGTTCCTTTTCTTCGCGGATGCTCTGCTCGGCATTGGCCATCGCAGCTTCGAGATCGCCGATGCGTATCTTGTCGGTCTCTTGCTCTTCTCGTAGGAATGCAATCTCTCCCTGTGAAGACTCTTGCTGTACCGAAAGTCGCTGGTTCTTGTCGTTCGCCTCCATGAGCTTCTGCTCCAGCTCTTCAAGCTCCTTGTTCGACGAGTCCAATTCCTGCTCGAGCTGTTGGATGCGTCGCAATTTGTTCTCCTGGTCGTCTTCAAGTCGTATCAAGGCTTCGCTCATCTTGCGCATCTCTTCCTGCAAGGCGTCAAAGTTTTCTGAGCGGTCCTGTAGATCTGCTTGTACTCGTTGCATCTCCTCGGCTTGTTGATCGGCCTCTGACTCCAACGCGTCAATCTCCTCTTGAGCCTCTTTCCGTAGCGCTTCAAATTCGCTCTCCATCTCATTCTGCTCACGGAGAGCTTCGTCGCGTTCAGATTGCAAGGCAACAAGATCGTTCATCGCATTGTTGAGGTCCTCTTGTAGAGTCATCGCTGCTTCTTCAGCTTGTCGCTTGTCGCCAATAGCAGTCTCAAAGTCTTCCATGCAAATCTCAAGCTCGCGCTGCAACTCTTGATTCTGCAACTTGACTTCACTGAGTTTGTCGCGCATCTCGTTCATCTTGTTCTCGAGTTCTTCACGGTCGGCTTCTTCCTCAATTTGCGTCCGAGTCTTCATGCTACCCCGCGATTGGGGTCTCTCCATACCACCAACCTGTGAAGCCGATCGCTCGAGAAGACTGTCAATTGTTGAAGGGGCAGGCCGACCTCGTCGCTGAGCCATCTTGAGATCCTCAATCTCCTGGTAGAGGCGCTCCTTTTCGCGGTTCCTCGAAGTCAGCATGGATGTCTGCGCACCGACCTCGCGTCTTAGTTCGGCATTCTCATGTCGTAGCTGCTCACTCTCGCGACGCAGCTCATCAACGAGTGTGGTCGCAGCACTGAAATTGCCATTTGAGCTCTCCATGTCGCCTGAAAGGCCAGAGACAGGTCGACCTGGTGATACATTGCCGTCGCGATGTTTCTTGGTGATGTTGTAAATGTTTGTCGTGTGGTGTAAGCCTCCCCCGCTAGTCAGGCTAGACATGTCCTGCTTTAGCTTGAACACCTCCTCCCGTAGTCTCTTATTCTCGTCATCGGCTTGTTCTCTGCGTGCAGTCTCTTGCTCCAGAAGATCCTTCCACACATCGGCCTCTTCTTGTCGCTCCATGTTTTCGCTAGTTCGCTCGCCAAGAGATCTGACGATATCCGCAAACTTTCGTCGTTCATTCTCCTTGGTTAAACTTTCCGACCGTAGGCGCTCAATCTCAGTGGCATACTCCTCAACCCGCTCGCGCAAAAAGATGAGCTCTTCTTCTCGCTCTTCATCTCCCATTCGGGCCGTTTGGTCTGTCGATGATGCACCACTGTGCGCTGTGCTTGGTCGTTCTCCCTCATCTCGGACTTGCTTCTCCAATTCTTTAACCCGCCTCCGCAAAACCTTGTTGTCACGTTGGAGTACCGCAAGACCAGTCTTAAGGTCAACGTTTTCCGAGATCATTTCCTTGATACCCTCTTCCGACAGCTTGTCAAGGCGATCGCTCAAGAACATAACTTTGAGCTTAAGATCGAAGTTTTCCTTTGACAGCCTCTCAATCGTACTGCTCTGTTCTTTGAGCGTCAAGTTCTTGCCCGATCGGGCAGTATTGACGGAACCCATGGTGATTGAGGAATGTTTCCGGGGTGTTTCGAGTCCACCCTTGTACTTGTACTCCTTGGCCAAAGATTCGGGTACCTGGACGTTTCTAACATGTCGCGCGATGACCGTATCCGTAGGCGCTGTAGTGAACCCTTCCTTAGAGGGCTTCGGTGTCTCTAGCAAATCTTGTCGCGGCCGTTCGGGACTATCGACTTCGTGAAGCGGTTCGAGTTGCGGTAATGAAGTGTCAGTGTAATCCTCAGCGCCAAATGCCGATCCAACACTACCCATGCTTCCTATGCTGATGGATCGTAGCATCGGATTGCTGGGATTTCGTAGCATTCCAATTGCGGGAACTGCACCGCCAGACTGCAAAGCGTAATCGGTACCAAGACCAACTGTCATATCGCTGCCTTCGTGAGACTCGGGATTCGTAGCGAATGAGGATGTCGACGATCGCTGACTTCCAAAACGACTGCGCAAATATTTTGGTCGTCGGCTTCGAAGCGATTGACCAGGGGTGCTGCCCGCATCGACCTTTTCGGACAAGGAATGGGTTCTCGATAAAGGGGCCTCGTTATCGCCAGCGCTAGATACCTGTGAGCTCTCCTGTTCCGTGTCGTCCTTTTCGCTCTCGTCGTAGCTTGTGTTGCGATTGTCAGGTTGACTCGCCATGCTAACGGCGCGCGAAATAGTTCTTCGTGTTGCAGCTGCAGTCGGCGACGAAAAGTTCTCAAAGCCGGAAGTATTCGTGCTCGCGACAGTTACATCGTGATCCTCTTCTTCTTCTTGATGTCGCTGCAGAGGTTGAGGCGCAGGCTTTTTTGTCGGCGAATCGAATTGGTACGTGTCGTCGACGCCGCCCTCTTGGTTCGTGGATGCAGTTGGAATGGGGGACAAGGCGGGCAAGAAGCTAGACTCCACGTCCCTCAAGTGGCGTCTAACGTCCTCCTCAGTCAAAGAATCGTCATGTCCCCGTGTGACATCGACGGAAATAGGGTCGAAGTAGCTGGTTTCAGGGGCAGAGTGACCAGGCAGGTGCAGCATCGAGTCTTCGTGGCTTGTGGGGGGATTGCTGGTACTCTGGGGATTTGTCCTGGTCTGAGATTTTGCGTGCGTATCATCAACAGTTATCGCAATGTCGTGTGGAGATGTCGCTGTGGTTGGGTTTGCTGGCTGGGCTTGCGACGTGTCGGCGGCTGTATCGTCAGTCATCTCTGATGTCTCAGTGGCCTCGTTGTGGTCCAGATCATCGCTGCCAGTGTGTGAGACGCGATGGGCCGTCTGTGGACGCGACCCGTCGTTGGTGCCGCTCGGACTTGGGCTGGGAGCCTGAGCCTTTGGGCTCTGGCTGTTTTCTCGCTCATCGTTGGCCATGATGCATTGCGGCGACCGCTATGCGAGGCAGCTGTGGTGTGCTGTGCTGGTGGTTTTTGATTGATGCAGATGCGAATGTGGATGGAGATTGTCGGGTATTGAATGGGGATGCTGAATGTTATGTCTTTCTGGGCATCGCCCGCCATAAGCTCTCACTAAAGAGAAAACCTGACTGCGCTAAAGTCCATCCCTTCAGGGCGCCGTTGATGGTGTATCGTTCCAGCCAATCAGAATCTGTGTCGTTCCCCCTGCGCTGGTTGTTTAGCGGCGGTTGGAGGGGAAATAGCGGGGCTGATCCATGTGGTCGAATTGAAGCTTGGCTCGTTGCTTGGGACAACCTGCCAGCGCTTTATGCATCAGTCGAGAGTTCAATGACAGTGATACTCGAATTCACAGCGAAGCCTCGTCATGGACGCGAAGATACGAGGTGATTAACACTTTTGATTCAACCTGAGACAGTAAACTTGCTTCTGATCGTTAGATCGCATGTTGAAACAAGGGTTTGAGTTGGAGAAGAGGACTAAATTCCTAAGCGAGTAAGCATTTCGTATCGAAGTGAAACAATCCCTCAGATTCGTTTATTTTGTGGATTGATGATTCGCAGGAGTTTGATCTACGATGCTCCATGATGGTGATTGACGTTAACCTTGGATGTCACTCTAGACCCATTGAATCGAAGTAATTATGTCATATTAATTCATGCTCACTATTTGAGCTTCCATCATTAAATATTATCCCTCTAGTTAGAGATCTTGGGGTCGACCTTGTTGCTGGAGATTGTCAGCCACAGTTTCAAGCCACAAGGACAAACGCCACTTACCCAGTTGACTTCTCGTACTGGCTGCGGGCAAAGTCGGTGGCCTTCTCCTGGTTGTCGCGGGAGATGTTCATACCGACCTTCTTGTTGAGGAAATCAACACCTATGAATGTCAGTGATTTGTCAAGGTCAATGAGATATTTGAAGGGTATGTACCCTTATCGACGTAGTCCTCCTGGTTGTTGCTGCCGCTCTTGGAGGCATCACCAGACTTGGAGCCACCAGACATAGCGTTCTTGACGAAATCCATTGTGAGTTGAGTGTGTTGATTTGGGTTGTAGATGTAAGTGAAGTAGTTTGATGTGATAATGAACTCAATCAAGCAGCGACATTCCGTCCTTCTTATACCTCTCAAGCCGCAGCTAATAATAACGAACCATTTCCAACTTTGTTCAAGTCTCCTTACAGAATGGAGAAATAAGACCGGCAGATCCATTCGATCTCACCAAAGGTGCCAACATCTGCATCCCCCCCTCTTTCGTCATCTCCCACTTTACAGGGGTTCTGCCTACGTCACTTCAGACCCTGAGTTACCAAGACCTGTTCCCAATCTCACGGCACGAATTGCCGATGCTGATTCTAATTCCGGTATATGACTCTGGACATTTCATCATGGCTGTTTCGGACATGGGAAGCTTCTTGGTTGATTGTCGCGATGCTTTCCCGGTGAGGGGTAAGTAAACCTTGGTCGAGGCCTTGACAAGAAGCTGGCTGAGCTAGTGACACCGCCGTGCAATGGGAGCTGAAAAGATAACAGGAGGGCTAATGAGGATCGAGCAAAGCGTCGGGGGTCGAAGGGTCCAGAGCTTCTCTCAGTTAGCTTGAAGATTGAGGGAGCCAGCATTTGATGGTCCCTTGGAGGTCATTTGATGATGTGCATACTGTAGTACCAATTAATCATCTCGTCTATACTATTCCGATAGAATGCCTGTAAATGCCCCATGTTCTGTTCAATCCAACTCCATCCAATGCAAACAAACATATTATAACAATCATGCAACTCCAGGCTTCATGCCATGCTTCGTAACTTCGTCATTAATCCAATTATCCCATCTCTGTATTTCCCTCATTTACTGGTTATGAGTTGACAAAGACTTGGTACGCCATGATCATAACCCAGACGAAGAAGACAGTACCAGTTAGAGCCATCGCAAAGACAAGCTGCCATGATTGACCTGCACCAGTTAGCAATTGCATTTCAACTTGCACCATGAGAATAAAAACGTACAGATATTTCGTTGTTGGAGCCACGCCATCGTCGCCATGCTCGTGCCCTTGGGATTCTTTCCAAAGACTTGAACATCGCACACGCTCTGAATAGATCCATCCGGTCCAAATAACTGTATCGCTACGACGACAAGACCAACGAGCCAGAGTATAAAGAACATGAACCCGCCGACCATTACGATGGCGGGGAGGAGGCGTCGTTGGGCGATGAGCCAGAAAATACCGAGAATAAAGAGAATCGAGAGTGAACCGACGGTGATGAAGTAGGGAAAGTACCTGAAGACGTTAATAACCCATCTCTCAATAAACAGTGCAATGGGAGACGTACCATGGAATTCCAAGCTCAAGTTGAGTCTGGATCTGTATAAATGTCGCGAACACGCCAATGATGCTCGTCGACGCGAGGAGGATAACAAAGATCCAGAAATTCAATTGGAGAGGAGGCCAGTTGTATGTTCGAACATGTGTAGATGGCGGAGGCCCATCGTAGGTCATTGACGATCGTGTGAAGCTCGTTCCAGTCCATCCCGTAGTGCCGGTCAAACCGGTAACCGTTGATTTGGCGACCATTTCGTCGTTTTGGTTCTAGAAACCAAGCGTGAATAAGAAGCTCAATTTGTCGTCCAGGTCGTCAAGATATAGTATAAGTCGTTGAATGCCCAAGAATCACGCGTCGCTGGTGTTCTTCCCGCAATGCCAAAAAGACTGCCACGTCGCAGAACAGCCCCGCCGATCGGCGACCAGTGAATCCAGCGTCACCTTAAGGAACCTCAATTCGATTCCTAGTGAAGATAGTTTGGATGCCTCAAAATGAAGCGCTGCGTTGATGCCTCACGCGTTATATCTCTCGTCGAAGGGATTCTCGGTGTTTTTTGCGCGTCCCGTTGGATCGGGGATTTCAGGTGTGGAGATTGTGCTGCGTTGGCTGGGGATCTGACGTCGGGTTGAGATGCCAAGAGGTACCAATTGAGGCCTCTTATCAGGTATTAATCTCACGATAGCGATTAATGTCTTGGTGTTTCGATACTCATGAACAGAGGAAAAGCAAAAGAAGGTAAAAAGGACAAAAGTCAACAAGACAGGGGATGAAAATGTTCTATCCAATTGAGGTCAAGTGTGAAATTACAACAAAGCGTTTTTGGGTGAGGCTTCTGGTAGAGGGGGTTGGTCGGTGGCTGGGGATGCGACGCAACAGGGGATGATGACGCTGCGATGGCCTCTGAATGGTTACACGTCAAAAGAGAAGATCCGTTTTCCAGCCTTTGTGATGAATTCTTTACGATTGATCAGAAGATCGGAGAAATTATTTGTTATTGTCTCAGTACCGAATGTGCCGGAATTGAGCGTAAAGTTAATAGTGGTTTCATGTGGTAGGCATCAAGTCCCGAGGAAAGAAAGACATTTTATTTCGAGAGTGATCTCGCAGCGCTTGTATGTACCTATGCATATGCACCGACCCAATTCCATTCATTCAACTCAAGGATATCATCAATCATCTCACAAACACCCCCAATTTACATTTACAAAAGAGTCTCGCCAAGAGCACACCGCACCAGTGAGCATCCAGCGTGGATTGTGTTCTGCTCAGCTTGCTTACCATCTGCGAGCTGAGGGTTGACCTCGACGAGATCGATGGCGACAAGGTTACCTGTCTCGTGCACGCTCTCGCAGATGAAATCACCCTCGCGGAGAGTCAGACCGCCGCGGACGGGTGTGCCGGTGCTGGGTGCCCACATGGGGTCGAGGGCATCGACGTCGAAGGATAGATGGATGGGGGTGTCGTTTCCGATGTGAGCGAGGGCCATCTCGACAACGCGGCCGATACCATGTCTGCAGATGTCAGTAATGCTCATGGTCATCAGAGTGAGAAACTTACCGGTCAACATCGTGCATGCTAAAAGCCTTAATGCCATGCTCACGGAGAATCTTCTTCTCGCCAACATCAACAGATCGAAGACCAATGTAAACCAACTTCTTAACGCTCAAGCGCATATCATCCTCGAGCCAGCCAAAGTACTCCTCGTTGTCCTCCTTAGCAAGACCAGTCAAGAAAGCAACAGGCATGCCGTGAATGTTTCCGCTGTCGCTGCTCTCAGGAGTGTTGATGTCCGCATGCGCATCAACCCAGATGACGGCAATCTCACGGTTCAGCCTCTCCCGCGTAGCCTTCGCAGTACCAGCAATAGTACCGATAGCAATGCTGTGATCACCGCCGAGGGTGAGGGTCATGCGGCCCTCGCGCGAGTGCTCGTATGTGTGCGATGCGATCTTGCGGGTCACGGCAGAGGCATGACGGGGCTTCTTCATGCCGCGGTAGTCAGGGTCAGAGGAGGGGATGAGGTCCTCGAACTGCTGGACGGACTCGTCGCCGAAGAGCTTGTAGCCGAGCTCGTCGCGGATCTCGGTCAGGAGACCGGACTCGATGAGGGCGGCGGGACCGATGTCGACGCCGGCTTTGGGCTGGCCGCCGGAGAAACCGACGGCGACGACGCCGACTTCATCGGGCTTGGAGAGGAAGCGGCTGTTGACGAGACCGGTGTTCATGATGGGCGGAATGTGGGGGGTGACGTAGAGGTGTGTGATAAGATAAGAGGAAGTGAAGTGAAGATAAGAAGTGAAGTTAAGTTAAGGTAGAGATGAAGTTGGTTTGAGTTGAGTTTGAGAAGAGACTGAGTAGAAAGAGATGGGAACAAGCCTCCATTTGTATTCGGAGGTCAATGGCATTTCTTATTCTCTCTCGGCCTCTTTGAACCCTCTCATGGCTGCAATCGGCCGGCGGCACAGACACACTTCTCGCTCTCCCAAGACAATTGAATATGGATAAGGTAATAGCGTCGGTTTCGGGCGGGCGCGGGGGTTTCTCTTACACTCTTCGAAGGTTATCAACAGCCTGTCACTGGCACATGTCAAGGGTCATAAGACAACCCTTTCGAGTCTAGACGAGATACATAGATACAGATACAGATGCTGTGATTCTGTTGGTCCCGCTGATCTGGGTTTCTCTTACGCACATCTTCTCCAGTTTTTCGCTCGCTATGTGTCCATTCAATTCCCGTCTGCTCCAAAATCCCCGATTCCCCAATTTGAACAGGTCTCCTCCACTTTGAGTCAAGTGCCGACGATATATATCCTATGTTTTTCGCCTTGTCCAATACCTCTATACCTTTATCCAAAAGACATTCTTCATTTCATTGTCTCTGATGTTCTTTGCCGCCGGCCATGGACGTGGGATGCACCGCTTACAGCCGTAGATAGCCTCTATTGATCTTATGTAATGTTAGGTAATACCTCTTGCGTATGCCATGGTCGTGGTCGGCACTCTTTACCCCTAAGTTACTAGCTGTGTTTTCGACGGAGGAGTCGGCGCATAAGAGTCGCGGGTCTGCCTTCCCCTAAGTTACTAGCTGTCTCTGCAACTTTCCCCTAAGTTACTAGCTTTCTGGAGTTTGGAGGAGTTTGTCTCTATTTTTCTGTCCCACGCTCCAGCGCCCGCAAGACTTTGTTCATGGTTGGGGCTTGTTATCAAGACCCAGAAATGGACCGACGTGACCCGGTTGAGATGGAACATTTTACGCAAGACACGAGGTCGTAGACCGATTTTACGCCGACGAGAAGATTCGAGAGGAGATGATGTTGTCAACGGTCATTGAGTGAGGCCGGTTTATTTCCTTGAGCTGGGGAAGCTCCGGAGCCGCAATGTTTACCCCACCACTAACAGTTCTGGCAAACTCGAAGCTGATGATGATCTCGACGCTTGGTTCTCGACAGACCGCAACTCGCACACTCAGTAGAAACTCGAAGGTTCAGAAGCGAGGGATTGTCCGGCCTTGGCGACACAGAAAAGATCCTCACATGACGAAACGCGGATCTCGAGACGGATACGGCAGGTCACAGAGGGATTTAATATTCTGGCAATTATTGGCGAAGTTGACAGATCACTCTGTTGGACAAATGAGCCGGATAAGCAGCAGATTGGGGTAGGACAAAACACCGAGGTCATTCGCGATGCTCTCCAACCCAGGCGAGCCAATGGACATGGTCATATCATGCACAGATCGTGAATCTACGGAAAAGAGCAATTGGATCTGGAATGAAGGACTGACGTAGGCTGACTCACTAGATCAGCTGACTACCATTGGAAAATTCCATGACAGCTCGTATTCATGACATCGGGATTTTTAGACTCTCGTTTGTTTCGGATGGGTTCTCCACTGGAAAAAGCTTAGCATCTTCATACCCTGAGTATTGAAGATGGAGGAATGTATTGAATTGCTGGTTTTACGAGATGAAGTAGAGTTCACTACCGGTATCCTTGTACTATGAACCGGTAGTCCGTCTGAGAGTGAGTTGTGCCAAGCCGTCAGCTTCGTGGTTTGCTTCTATTCCTGACTGAGGCGCAGGGTCCCGTGAATCTGACTCTGTTTGCAGATCTGTGTTGCAAACACTCACTCCAGAGTGTTTGTCAACATATTCAACTGGTGACGTTACAGCAAGACTGTGATAGCCAAACATTCAGCTGCTGTTACCTACGATCAGCATCAACAAACAACACTCGCCAGCAAATGCCCTCCTGTAACGGCATGTAAACAAACAGCCAAATTCGATATCCACTTGATCTCATCCAATATTCAACAATCCATGGATCTTTAGGAGAGATCGCGTGCCCGGGAGCGGAGACTAGCAGCCACACCGTTCAGGGGCTCAATCCAAACCGCTGCATGCGCCGCCGGGAGGATGGGATTAGATCGAGTTTGTGCGGCTGAAATTAAAAACCATTTGGAGAAACATAAAAAAGCTTGGCTGTCGAAACGCCGTTGTGAGTTTGTGAGGCATTGAGTGCTGCTTCCCGTGTGTACCTTGCAGCACGATAATTCACTGGGACTTTGGATTGTAGCTTGATTAATTGAAGCTAGAAGTGGACAGGCTCATTACCTGTTTTTTTACGGTGAAGAATGATAATATTTATCGCTGATCTATCCAAGTTGCAAGTTGATGAGAGAACCCCTGTAGTTGTAATCAGAAACAGCTCTGACACGCGTCCCTTCATGGATCATATTCCAATGAAACTGTGCAACTCACATCAACCCGCCTTGTCCTCATCACAGGGGACGTTGCAAAGAGGACACTGTACTATCCCTCTCTCCCTTCAACATGTCTAACCTAATACATACTCTCAAGATGAGATTGGCTACTCTCTCTGAGACACCGAACACGTTTTCTCATCGCTTCACTTCCACAAAGATTGCGGAATACAGAGAAACAGTGCGACCGTAGAATACAGCTTGACGCGTGTAAAGCGTCTGATCGACCCCTGATTTATCCAAGTTTAATCCAAGATGCAACAGGTTATGTGGATTTCTTTTATAGCGCCTACAGCACCTGGCACAGGTATTGATTATCCCCTGTAAGAAAAAAATAAGAACCCCCGATGCAAGGACCCACAGAAACGTCCCCTACTCCAAAATCGCCCGCCCAAGCCCCTGAGTGTCTACTTACATTCACTAGTAGATTACAGTGTAGGGAGAGGTATCTGCCCGGCAGCTAAATTGATGATCCCACATTTTAGGTTGGGCTAGTCTGAAGCTGGAGCTGTTCCTTGCTTGCTATTTGAGATCGCACGCAAATTGATTACTGCAGCTCCTTTCAATTCTAACTACCTTGGACTAAACTCCTCCCTCATTCCATTCCAGCGATTCATGTTCCGTTTCATTCTCCTAAACCTCTCTTGTCTCTTCCACGACTAGAAAAAAACCTCACATCGACTCGGCGTGGATATCTTCTTTCTTCGAGATAACCCCCTTTATTTTGACAATCCTTGTCTGTCCAGTCTCTTCCTACTGTACAACCTTTAACCCACTCTCCCCACGTTTGAACACACTCCAGATATACCCAAAACGAACGACTTGGCATCTTCCGTTTCCGAACGGCCATACTCAGAGATCGATTAATCATGTGTTGAAAAGAGCGACTGCTATTTCACATCCTCAACGTTTTTTTCTTTTTCTTCGTCGTTAGTCTCACAAAAAACGTCGCCGTCTTCTTGCCCCGCGATCGACCTTTCTTCCACTACCGCATTCGTCATCCCTTTCGCCATCTCGAAAACCCTGCGCATTCATTTTTCTGTCGCTGGCGTCAGATTTTGCGCCGTAATCGGCTACGATAATTCCTGTCGGATACTCGAATACCGACGACATGCCCAAGATGCTTGCGCCTGGGTTCAGGACACGGCGCAGCTCCTCCTTCATTCGATTCGGCGCCCTCGCTGCTCTCGTTCTCTTTGCGTTTTGGTCTTTTAGCAATCGCTCTCCTGCGCCGTCTCTCCTGCCGATACAGAAATCACAACCTGCTGCTGCTGATGGCGCTGATTCTTTTCCTGCGAAGGCAGCGGAGCAACCTGTATGTTTTAATTGTGCGGGCTTGGTGACACGTGCTAACTTCGGGAGTTCTCAAACAAACCTGTACAGGGCGCTCATCCGATTGACAAGCTCATTAACGACGGCGGAAAACGATACAAAGATATCCTCTCCAGAGAATCGCATACCCTTGAAGAAGCAGCCCAAGCGTACCGTAAACGCCGTGGTCGTCATCCCCCGCCAGGTTTCGACAAATGGTGGGATTTCGCCAAGCAGAACAACGCCATCGTGGTGGAAGAGTTCTGGGATCAGGTTTACCACGATATTGACCCGTTTTGGGGCGTTCCTCAACCTATTATCCGAAAAGAGGCGTACAGCTTTGAGATGTCGATCCACATTCGAAACGGCAAGGCTAATTCAACGAGTGATTGGTTCTGGACGTTGATCTGGCTTGATATGATTCGTTCCATTGAACATATGGTTCCTGATCTGGATATGCCGTTGAATGCGATGGACGAGCCCCGTCTTGTGGTGCCGTGGGAGGATATTGATGGGTACATGACCAAGGGCGCTGCGTCGCGGAGCCTTTGGCCTGCGAAGGAGGTTGTTTCGGAGTTTCAGAAGCTTCCTACTGCTGGGCGACATGATAGGGACGTCAGAATCCCTTTCAAGCGATGGGAAAAGACCAGTATGTCAACCAAAGAGTTTCATTTTGACGTTTGCTAACATTTACAGGCCCATACTGGCCAATCGCCCGTCGAGGATGTCCCCCAGACAGTCCAGCCCGCCAGGCCCCTCTAAAAGAGTCCTTCAACCATCCCCCAGAAATCGACATCTCCAATGCCGAGAAGCACTCTTTCGCAGGCTACGTCTCCAACTTTACACTCTCGAGCGAAATCTGCCACCAGCCGGACCTTCAAGGTCTTAACGGTCTTTTGATCAATCCCATCTCTGTTTCGTCTACAAAAGTTCTGTTTCCTATGTTTGGCGGCTCAAAACTCGCTATCAACAATGAGATTCTTCTCCCGCCGCCGATTTACTGGAAGGGAGAGGATCGCTTCACGGGCGGTGAGGATGATGTGGAGTGGCAGAATAAGGGGAACACTGTGGTCTGGCGCGGTGTCGCGACGGGAGGCAAGAATAAGCCTGAGAATTGGCGCGGTTTTCATCGTCATCGATTCGTCTCGATGCTGAACCAGACAAAGGTCTCGGCTGTTGAGCACGGTAAGGAGAAACCGGAGAATTTCGTCCTTCCGTCGGAGCAGTATAATCTTCACGCCCAAGCTGATGGTCGTCTTGGAGAGTGGGTTGGCGAATGGTCTGAAGTAGGCTTCGTCGATCTCATGTGCTCGCCATCTGAAGAAGACGGCCGATGCTGGTACACGGATCATTACTTCGCCAAGGTTGACGGCATGGACATGCACGAGCAGTTCGACTACAAATACGTTCCCGATATCGACGGAAACTCTTTTTCAGGTCGTTACCTCGGCTTTCTCAACTCAACATCCCTCCCCATAAAAGCAACCCTCTTCAGAGAGTGGCACGACAGTCGTCTCGTACCGTGGGTGCACTTTGTCCCCATGGACAATAGATTCCAAGACTTTTACGGCATAATGGAGTATTTCAGAGGGTATGGAGAAACAAGTGGTCATGATAAGGCTGCGCAGCGAATTGCACTCGAGGGCAAGGAGTGGGCGAATAAAGTACTCAGAAAAGAGGACATGCAGATTTATGTTCTGCGGTTGCTGTTGGAGTACGGGCGGGTCATTGCGGATGATAGGGATAAGATGGGGTGGGTTGATGATGCGCTTAAGGATCCGTCTATTGAAAAGACGTGGAGCAAGTTGAAGATATGATGTATCATTGTGTGGAGTTGGCCTTGATTTGGTAGGCGATGGCGTTTTGGCGTGGTTTTTTTTTTTTTTTTTAATGTTTTACTGATGCATGTCGTTTTGCTCTACGGACGACGACCGGGGTTTATGGCATCTAAGTCAAGTACAGTACATATAGACTCAGAATGAGTTCTCAGTTCATTGTATCAATTATCATGATATACAATTCTATTTTGTCTATAGTGTGATATGGTACATGTAAATATTGGTGTATCGCTATATTCGTACAATTCATGCAACGCCGCCCATGGCCGTACCCTTGGACTCGTCCTCTTGAGGTGAATCGACATCATAATCATCCATCAATCTGCCCACAAGCGTAGTATACTCCGGGGCGAATGGCCACTCCAGATACGCTTTGATAATATCCGCCCATTGCTCCTCAGTAACACAGCGCGCTACCAGCGCTCCATGTCCTGAAACCGGTGATCCGCCCAGCTTAGGATCATGAAGCGATGCGATATCAGCTGCACAGTCGCCGAAACCAGGCCACGCGCCGTCCATCGCACTCTGTATTGGTGCAAGCATGTGCTGGAACCAATAGCGAAGCATGGTATCTGAGATGGTACCGTTTCGCGAAGTCGGGCCGTGCTGGCGTGTGTACTTGCTCATGGCCTTGGGCTGTAGGTCGAGAAGAGCGCAGGGCATGCGGGGGTAGAATTCATCGGCGCGTGCGGCGAGGGGTTCGAAGGGGCGGCGGTCCCAGAGTAGAGTTGGTTTCTTTTGACGGAAGAGGTGGTAGTTGTCGCGGACCATGAGCCATTCTTTCCGTGTGTTTTTCTTTACGCCGTCGAGACGGGCGTTGAATTCTGCTTCGGCGGCGGGGAATTGGGTGGGGGATTTCTTCCAGAGCTTCATAAGGGCGTCGCGCTGCTGGAGCAGTTCGAGGAAGAGCTGCGAATCTACTGCGTCGTACTTTTCGCGGTAGCGCAGCATTTTTAGTCGGTACGATGCCTCTGAGGCTTCGTCTTCTGCAAAGGCTGTTTCTAAACCTTCGAGTTCTTCGCGGAAAGGTCGGTTGTGTCGTGGTGGTTGAAAGCCTGCGAGCTTCTTACTGGCGAGTTTTTGATTGGCGCTGAGATTGTTGTACATGATTGTCTCGCGGCCCTTGGGCATCGTCAACCCAGCTTGCTTCATGCGCTTGAGGCAGTTGTAGCCTGACTCCATGTTGATCCACTCATCGCGGAGCTCATAACGATCTTCGACTTCGACGTCATGGCCGCAGATTTCATGGAGCCATTCGAGGGAGAGTTCTGCTTCGAAGGCGCTGCGTTTTCGACGGATGGCACTTCGTGGGAGAAGGCGCCGTTTGCCGTCGTCGGAGATCCATACTAGCATGCGCACAAGACCATATTGCTGGAAGAGAGAGGCGGTGCGGATGCTGGACATTAGTTGGTAGAGAACCATTGTGCTGACGCATTCGAACGATTGGTACTTCTTCGGTGGGCAGTAGCACAGGTTGACGTTGACGAGGAGTGTGTCGTTGCGTTTGGGCTCGGCGGCAGGATCGCGGATGGTTTGGTGGGGGAGGGATTCAAGGATCGAGTTTAGGTCTTTCCAGAGGATACCAGCTTTGGGAACGGCTTCGACGTTGGGTTTGTCGAGGAAGTCGCCTAAAAAGGGCCTGTAGAGCTCAATGTCGGGTTCCATGAGGATGTGTTTCCGCGGTTGCACAAGGTCATGAAGAGTGCGACTCCAAAGGCCGGGACCGGGGTTGATATCGACGATGTCGCATCCTTTATGGCGATCGAATGAAGGGCCGATGTATTGGGCAATATCATCTAGACAATAAGTTTCAAGCCAACAAATTGAGAGGGAACCGTACCGCAGAGACTTTGACTAACGAGGTTGGCGCGGTGCTTATCACCTATAGGCGCTTTCGGGCGGCCGGCCACACGAGTCCATTGCCATAGTCCTGTATCTCGTAGCCTCTCGGAGAGTTCGTTTGAAGGTTCGAGTTGTTCGCTTGTGATTTTGCTAGAGGCGTGGCGGATTAGGGAGGTTGAAGGGCGGATACGCCGTGGGAGAGATGAGCGAGCATTTTTGAAGGCGATGAACATGGGGATGTGTATGGCGTTTAGTGATTTGGGATGGTGGGATTGTTGGTGATGGGGAGGAAATTATGTTTTTGCCGTTGGATACCGCTTGATAAGATGGATAAGATAAAGATAGTGGGACAATGGTGTTGAAGTGGTTTACAAGCAGACACTCGAAGTTGGGCTTCTTGTTCATGGCCATTTCTGTTTTTACTAAGATTCTCTCGTAACTCATCCCGTGTTACTTTGCTTTCCTGTCTCTCTTTTGCTTTATTGGATTTCAAATTGCTTCTGCTGGCATTGACTGTACGGCGATGAACGGTGGAGGGGTAGTACAGCAGATGCACTCATCATGAAAGCTGCAAGCTGTGATCAACCAAGAGCTGGAAGTCACCAGCCAACTTCCGGTAGAGTTTGGTACTGGTTGAGTTAAATCTCTGGTATCTGGCTATTTAAGACGCAATTTCGTCATCTTCCAAAAAATTGTTGTCCTTTGGACATAAAGACATCATGTCCCGCTGGACCATTGACATGAGTTTATTCAAGGGTGGTAAGAAACCATTCTTTTGACATGCATCCTAAGCACAGAGATGTAATTCAATCTTAAGATATTCTAAAAAATTCAATACAAATCCAGATAAAAAGTTATAAGAAGTATTTTATTCAACAATTCTTTTTCTTCAGGTCTTCACGTGGCTGAGATTGATGCTTCACTTCACTTGTCTTTCAATTACCCTGCACTTCATCATCAAGCATTCAACGCTAAGCCCAATCTGTACAGCTGTCGCCGACTCCCACATCATCATTCACGACATCTGCAAGGGTTGCTCTGGACCTGTACTCAAAATCGTATATCAACATTCATTTCATTTACCCACACACCATATTCCTAAGCCAAGCCAAGTTACGAGATAAATAAAAACTCCACAAGACGCCGCCATGCTAAGACATAATCCTGTAAACTCGCTACCTCCCTTGTGTTATATATCTGCCTGCCTCCTTTATCATGCACCCTCACTTCCAAACTCATTGGTCCACTCAATCTGCCTTGCAATATCATCCTTGGACACAGTCGGATGCGAATCGTCAAGCGCCATCTCGAAATCCTTCAGCGCAACATCTGGTGCAAGTAGTTCGTCGGATGAGACGTCGTCGTATGTCATCTCGATCTTTTCAGGGTCGCCTGGTGAGCAGGGCGTCAACATGCGCTTGCCGTCTTTCATAACCTGGATTTGTTAGTGAAGATCAAATACTACTCGAGGGCGACTTACAGGCTTGAAGTGCGTGGCTTGTAGAATCTTGCGGACTGGTCGCATGAGAGCAGATTGAACAACGTTGGCGATATCACTACCCGACATTCCATCGGATTTTGCAGCAAGAATATTGTAATCGCTAGCCTGGAGCGAGGTCTCAGTGTCGCCGATGGCTAGCTTGAACATGCGCGCGCGACCGTTCATGTCGGGAAGACCAATATGCACACGGCGCTGGAAACGTCGGCGAATAGCAGCGTCTAATTGCCAGGGAATATTGGTGGCGCCCAAGACCAGAATACCCTTGCTGTCGTTGCCTACACCGTCCATCTGAACAAGTATCTCGGTCTTTATACGGCGTGAGGCTTCGGATTCGCCTTCACCTCTTGGGCCGCAGAGGGCATCGATCTCGTCGATGAAGATAACTGAGGGCTTGTTTTCGCGCGCCATGGAGAAGAGAAGCTTGACAAGTCTGCAGGGGTTAGATAGAGCACCGAATGGCTGCAGGGAACGTACCTTTCACTTTCACCCATCCATTTGCTGACCAAGTCGGAACTGCTGATACTGAAAAAGGTACTGTTCGCCTCTGTCGCTACAGCCTTGGCGAGGTAACTTTTACCCGTTCCTGGAGGACCGTACAGCAAGATACCCTTCCACGCCTGTCGCTTGCCCTGGAACAGACTGGGGAACTTGATGGGGAGAACAACAGCCTCCTTCAACGTCTCCTTCGCACCCTCAAGACCAGCGATATCCTCCCACCGCACGTTGGGCCTCTCCTGGAGAATAGCACCAGACAGCGCGTTGCGCAACTTCTTGCTATCGTCGTCCTCACCAGGCTGCGGCTTCCCCTTGCCAGTTGAGCTGCCGTTAGCGCCCATGATAGCCTTTCCGCCGCCGTTTGCGTTTTCGTTCTCGGCGGCGAGGAATTGCTTGAGCTTTTCTGCGCGGTCGAGGTAGGTCGCCATCTTCTCCTGCATGGTGACTTTAAGGGCCTTGTTCTTCTCCCACTTGAGCGCCTTGACCCAGAGTTCCATGGAGGACATGTATAGGTCGAAGGCTTTTTGGTACTCCTTGTTGTGGTCGGCTGTGATGGCCTTTTGCACCTCTGCGATGGCGCGATCGCGGAAGTTGGTCGACATGGTGACGTTGTTTGGGGTCGATGAACGTGGGGGAGGGGGTGACGAGACTCGAGGCTCCCAGAGGAGTAAGGGGAAGTCGAAAAGAGAGTGGAGGAGGGAACAGACAGGACCTCGGGACGTTCAAGTCGGATTAAAGACGGTGGACGGTGATGAGGCAGCAGTGCAGCAGCAAGCAAGGCAGTAGGTACAGACGGACAGGTACAGGCTGTGGTGGATTGAATTGGCGGGGAAACATCAAGATCCACGGCTGGATTGGATTGATTGAGCGCAATGCTTATAGCGGGGCAGAGAGGGGCTGCACAACCTTTACCTCGACCTTCTCGACCTCTGCCTTGGCGATTTAGGCGACAACTACAGTACACTCAAAAAAGACGAATCAGAAATAGGCAGCAGGTTTTTTACGTCTGCTTAGTGATAATTTACCGCTTTTTACATCATCATGTCGGATCCTCAAGCACGGTTACAGGCGCTGTCTGAGGACTTCCAGAAGCTTCAAGGCGGTATGTTTGTGTACATTTGGAGGGGGAATTATGCTGATTGGGAGTAGAACTTCAGAACGCTGTGGCGTCGCGACAGAAGTTGGAGGGTCAGAAGCAGGAGAATGTTGGTGTGCAGCAGGTAAGGTGATGTTTTGAGATACAGTGAGCATGGTCTAATGAGGGTCAGGAATTTGAGCGACTACAAGAGGGAGAGACAATCTACAAGCTTGCTGGGCCAGTGTTGCTGAAGCAAGACAAGTTTGAGGCTGAGAACACAGTCAAGGGTCGTCTGGACTTTATCAGTGGTGAAATGTGAGCACTTTGCCCTCACTACATATCGCGTGCTAATATTCTCAGTACACGACTAGAAGACACAATCAAGGAGACACAAGAAAAGCTGGAGAAGAAAAAGACAGAGATCATTCAGATTCAGACCGCAGCTCAAAGCCAGGGCAAGGAAGCACCTCAGTAATGACGAGAGAGATGAAAGAAAAATAGACCATGAGTTGAGTTATATTCTACAGTACGCGGATTATGATAATGCAAATACCTGGCACTTTATGAGCGCCGCGCTAATCGGAGAGTCCTTTCAAAAAACGCCAGTCGTCAAGTTGAAGTTCGTGATGTGGTTTAGTTGATCGCCATGATGCTGAATCCCCAGGGAACGCCCATGTTCTTGTGCTCTTGAGCTGCGCTGGGGGAGAACATAAAGTCTTGCTTGTCATCTGCAGCAACGGGCTGAGGTGTCGCTGCGTCTTCGTCTGCGTCAATAGCAGAGAGAATAGCTTCAGCAATGTCGCTCTTCCGAGTACAATTCTCAAAAACAGCATCGCCTTCAATGAGACTCTGCATCAATGCGCGCTGATCACTCTCCGTGAAGAGCTGTGCCTCACGGTTCAAAACGCCATAAGTGACCTTCTCGCCAGTCTGAGCTAAGCGCTGGAAGATTACTGTGAATGCGGCAATGGCCTGTGCGAGAATACGGGCTTTTTGCTTGGAGCTCAGATGGGCAAAGATCTCGGAGTCTTCTTCGAGGGCGGACTGGGTGTTGGTGTCGAAGATGAATTGGAGAATGCGGTGCAGGATGTTACGGCAGGTTAGGTCGAGATCAGCGCTGACGTCGAGCTCGAAGACTGAGGAGATGTTGCGAAGTATGCTGGAGAGGGCGTCGAGAGGGCAGAGGTCGTCGGGGAGGGTGACGTGCCCTTGGTCAATTGCGAAGATGTCAATTGCGGCGTTGACAGCAGCTGGGGATGTTAGTTGAGGTTTTGAGAGGTAGTGAGGGTGGTTTACTTCTGCGGGTGGTGCCGATGTCGATCCCGACGCTTGAGACGATGGAGTTGTTCTTGATGGCTTCCATTTTGAAGATGTAAGTGAGCGATATGATATGAGAGGTATAAGAGATATGATGAGCTTGAATTGAGATATGATGCTAGACTTTATAACCATCCAAGACCTGGGGGATACGCCGGTTTTTGAACTCGTCGGCCCCTTACAAAAATTCTTCCCAGGAGATGCCCAACTCGATGAGGATACGGCATATTATCCTGGCAGCCTCAATAACAAAGGCCCTCATGGCCACACCGTGGTCAATGCCCCCCTTACCTGAGGTGTCATGGGCGTGGATAGATGGGCCGATAACCGTCCTTCACCGTGGGGTTTATTTGGCCGACACGACATGGTGGCGGCATGATCATGATGAAGCTGAGATATGATGCGAAGTTTGGGGGTTAACCAAGAGATAGCTTTCTCTTGGCAGATATATCACATTCTATACTTCATGATGAGATCTTGCCTGATCAAGCACTCTGTAAACATGAGCATCTTCTTCCGTCGTCTGTCTTGTTGCCTCTTATGGAAGTATCTCGTCAAGGATCACGACCCGGTTTCCCCGAACCTAAACCTTGAATGATGGGGATTTCTGCTGGCGAATTCTCCCGATGTCTACAGGTAGCAAGCCGGAAGATATCGGGATACAAGGCCAAGTCAAGTTACTGAGGAAACTTCCAAGGAATATCCGACTCGGTGAGACAGCGTGGGGATCGCATTGCAGATGGGAGATATAATTGTACGATTCACAGGAATAAAACACGCCATCTACTCCATGATTCGAGAAGTGGCTGCAGCGCCACAAATTTGAGGCTGACGTTTCATCATTTTGGGTTACTTGCATATCCCTCCTTTTTGGAATCAGCATCGGGTAAATGAATTCCCCGCCATTGGGCATGGAGGGGCAATCAAGGTACCGAACAACGGGCACGTCGTCACAGGACCCGTTTTCTCAATGATTCCATCACCAGGCAGCTCTAAAACGTTGGACTGTTTTGAGTAACAAGCCACGCGGCGCCCGACCATGAACTGGATATAACCCTCGACGACTCTAACAAAGTCATCTTCAGCTCTGCGAAAGTCACTCTCGTCTTTCATATTTCGCCATGGACTCGAGGATTGCGATGAGGCCGACGAGGCCGCAGACCGTCAAGGAGCTGGTGGCTCAGGCGGAGAACTTCAAGTTTAACACGAACATTCCTGTTAAGCACTGGACACGTGCGGCTGAGACGCTGTACCAAGAGGTTTGCTGCTAATCCTATCTGCATCTTTGTTTGTGCGCAGCTAACGGTGTAGGCCTCGTTTGCAGTCTCGGATGGCGATTTCGGAAGAGCTTATATGATGCTATATCGACACTCCATACTCGTCCTCAAGTACATCCCGTCACATCCCCAGGCCAAAGATCCCGAGAACAAAAAGGTGTACAAAGCGCTATCGAGACGCATACAGCGTGTCATCCAAGATCTTGAACAGCTCAAACCCGAGATCGAGAATGCCGTCAAAGAATGGGAACGAATGGCGCTGTCGCCAAAAGCGAACACCGAGCCCGAGCCGTCGTCACGATATGAACACTTTGCAGCGCGCGATCCGAGTTTGACGGGCAATGCAAAGATTCTGGACGCGTTTGACAATCAAGATCTGGCTGTTGATCTTGCGCAGAAGGAATTGATGAGGAGGGACACTGCGAGGAGGGCTACGAGACAGTCCGGAATCACAGATGAGGATATCATGTCGAGAAGAAGAGGTGGGAGATGGGATCAGTGGGATGGGGCGAGGATTGGAGATGATGAGGATCTGAGGCGGCAGATGGAGGCGACGAGGCATGCTCTTGATTCGGCGCAGGAGAGACGGACTGATGATGATTACCGACCGACGTCGCATACATACAGTTATCCATCGATCTCGAGACCACGAGCCGTTGAATACGAGGGCCAAACACCAATACCTTCAATACAGCCAAGTCGCCCACCGAAGGAACCCGTCGCTCCTCCACCAAAAGAACCTCTACACACACCATCATTACAAAGTCTCCCACCAGCTCTTCCTCAAAAAGTCCCTCTACCAGGCTACGCACCTCTCATCCCCTCACCATCACCCCAACCCGCGCGTCCCGAAGTCCCCCGCAAAGAAGCCCTCGACACCCCCCCAACACTCCCCAAAAAAGAGCGTCTCACCTTTAAACCAGGCGCATACCTCGAGAACGGCGATCCAATACGCTCCCTCTTCATTCCGAAAAACCTGCGCCAGAAATTCCTCGACATTGCAGCGGACAATACACGTCGCGGGCTGGAAATGTGCGGTATGTTGTGCGGCACTCCGATCAACAATGCGCTGTTTGTGCGGTGTCTCTTGATCCCGGATCAGAAGTGTACGTCGGATACATGTGAGACGGAGAACGAGGAGGTCATGTTTGATTACTGCATGAAGGAGGATTTGCTGCTGCTGGGGTGGATTCACACGCATCCGACGCAGACGTGTTTCATGAGCTCGAGGGATTTGCATACGCATGCTGGGTATCAGGTTATGATGCCCGAGAGTGTTGCGATTGTATGCGCACCGAAGTTTCAGCCATCGTAAGTCACGCGATCAAAGGGAGACTTGAGCAGACACTGACAATCTTTAGGTATGGCATCTTTCGATTGACGCATCCTCCGGGGCTGGATCATATTCTCAATTGTAATCACCAGGATACATTTCATCAGCATTCGATTGACAATATTTACCGGGGCGCGGGACAGCCGAAGGGCCATGTTTATGAGAGCGATAAGCTGGACTTTTATGTACATGACCTAAGGACCAAATAGACATAGCTAAATAGAGGATGCATAGCGATGGAGTTATGTGATGAGGTACAAAGAGTGTCGCAAACCGTTATCGCGCAACCTTCAGTGACTGATTCTGGTGAGAGCTGCATTTGAGGCCGGGTATTTTCTGCACCTCCCTCACTGCGAAGGATCAATAAAGTGTTCCCTACCGCACAGTATGCAGTCTACAGTATGAAAACCTGTGCGATGCAGATCTGTACCCTGCCCAAAATGGATATTGGGTCGATCTTTATCCCGCTGTGGAGAATGAGATCTAGGGATTAAGATTGGATCTTGGGAGGAGTGGGGAACCGTCTCTGGGCTGAGGGACGATCCAATAATGAGGAGGTCGAAAAGGGTGCAGGATTGGCGTTAGGGGTAGGGATCGGCGAGCTGAAAATGGGAGCTTGGGGAGGACCGGGTGAGTGGTGAGGGATCGACGGAGGGAACTGGGAGAGGCAGGGGAGAGAGTATTGTCTATTGCAAATGAGCTGATGCTATTGCTTTGCCTCAATGGCTTCTTCAATATTGTTTATTTGTATCAAGGCTGATATCCAGTACTGTTTACTGCACACTCAAGCAAGGGGATCGTTTCCAAGACAATGGATATCAATACAGTTTCAGCCCCCCAAACAAAATACACCACGTCATTTGGTCTCTCCCGCCTCCGCACCCTTTTCCCAAAGAGGACTTTCAGCTCTGAAAGGGACCACTCACACCGTGCTGATTATCAAGTGTCTCAGTTGAAGGTGACTGCGCTAAAAAAAGCTTAGGGCCAGACTTTTTGTAAATGCCGGGTTGGTCGATCAGCCAGTTAGTCTGCCGTATTGGGACGGGTTCAGCTTAGACCGGGTCGGTCCGCTATCGATTTTGGCTGGTGCTTGTAGCTTTTGGTTGGTGACCTTGAGAGTGAGCTTGGGAAGAATTGGGCTGAAGCCACGGCATCATGCGAGCATCAATATCAATAAACCAAATAGGGATTGATGCAGGTAGGTAGCTGCATGTGCATTGACTTGTGTCTCGGAAGCAAGACAAAGATCTCAGACATGGCGGAGAGATCTACCCTCACTTACAAATACTCTTGCTGCCAGTGGCGCTGTAGATCCATGGATCTCCAAGGGTGATTGACCTTCTTTTGGAGCTAGGAGGGCGTCCGGCTCCGCGTAGGTCTTGTTCCACTGCATCTGGTTTGTCAATCTGTGTGTTTTATTGGTTTTTGGGGGAGCGGAGGTTGGAATGCCGTGTCTTGGGAGCTTGCATGGTCTCAAGCTGGTCTTGTACTGTGTTGCAGCTCGCATGTGCTTGAGAGAAGAGACAAGATAAAGAGGCGTACGTCCACCCTCCCAGCTCCCCTCTCCCGCTCCCAGCTTCTTACTGTTCTTGTTGAAGCTTCTCACTCTCTGGTGTTTTGTTTTGAAGCTTCTTACTCTGGTGTTTTTGTTTTGAAGCTTTACTGCAATCATGGCGGAACACAAGAATGGCGTAGCTACAAACGGCTACGAGAAGAAATCTTCTCCTGCTTCGTCTTCTACCAAATCTGAAGCTAAGCCTCTTCCTAATGGTGACAAGAAGGATGGTATCGTCAAGAGCTTCAAGCAACTCCGCGTCGCGAGTAAACGGCCGCTCCCGAAGGAGATGGGCGATGGGTCGTATCGTGTTGTGGAGAATAGACCGGGTTTGAAGCAGGACATTCGACGTCTTCGTGGAAGAGGTATGTTCTCAATCTCTCCTTAGTCGTTGGCCTTGATGTAGTGTTGGGCGAGGGTGAATGAGGCTGACTGAAGTAGATCTCAAAACACTGCTCGAGATCGTCAAGGCCAAAGTCAAGGGTGAAACTCAACAGGATGACAAGACGATGATCATGGAGCGCACAATTCAACTCGTCGCTAATTTGAGCGATCACTCCAAGGTTCAGGAGTCTTTGACGAATAGTTTCATCTCGCAGCTTTGGAACTCGATTGATCATCCGCCTATGCTGTACATGGGAGATAAGTTTCGGTTCCGACAGCCTGATGGGTCTAACAATGTAAGTCTACACTCTCTCTTTATCCGCTGCTATGATTGGTGATTGGGACTGACGATGCAGAACCCGTATCTTCCTCAATTGGGCGCCGCGAGAACCCCCTACTCTAGAACCGTCCGTCCCAAGGGCATGAGTCTTGGTGCGCAGCCTGATCCCGAGGCTATTTTCGAGAGTGTCTTTGCGAGAGACGCTTTTAGGAAGAATCCGAACAATGTTTCGAGTATTCTTTGGTACTGGGCCACTATTATCATTCACGGTAAGCTCCCTCCGTTCACCTCATGCCTCATCAATCGACTAACATCCGCAGACCTCTTCTGGACAAACCTCCAAGACCCTAACCAGAACGACTCCTCCTCCTATCTCGACCTCGCCCCTCTCTACGGCTCAACCGAAAAAGACCGCGACTCAATCAGAACATTCAAGGACGGTCAATTGAAACCTGATTGTTTCGCTGATAAGCGTCTGATCGGTAATCCACCCGGTGTTCCCATCCTTCTCATCATGTTCAACCGCTTTCACAACCATGTCGCCACGAACCTCGCAGACATCAACGAGGGCGGTCGCTTCTCCAAACCAGCTGAGCATCTCTCTCCCGAAGCTGCAGATGCTGCTTGGAAGAAGCGCGACACGGAGCTCTTTGAAACAGCGAGACTTGTTACCAGTGGGCTGTACATCAACATCACGCTTATTGACTATGTGAGAAACATCATCAACTTGAACAGGGTTGATACGACGTGGACTCTTGATCCGAGACAGGAAATGGGCGTTAGTGTCGGCACGAAGGACCTGTCGGAGAGTGGCACGGGAAACGTCGTCTCTGCTGAATTCAACCTTTGCTATCGCTGGCACTCGTGTCTCTCGGAGATGGACGACAAGTGGGTTCAGGATTTCTACACTGAGCTTCTCGGTGAGAACTATGGGCCTATGAACCTGCAGACTATGATGAAGGCACTCAAAGCGTTCGAGGCTAGTGTTGCTGATGAGCCGAGTGAGAGAACCTTTGGCGGCTTCAAGAGAGGTCCTGATGGCAAGTTTAACGATGATGAACTGGTTGAGGCGCTGGCTACGGCTATTGAACAGCCTGGTGGTGCATTCGGCGGACGCAATGTTCCACGCATCATGAAGCCTATTGAGATGCTGGGTATCATGCGTGGGAGGAAGTGGAACTTGGCGGGATTGAATGAGTTTAGGAAGCATTTCGGGTTGAAGGCGTATGAGACGTTTGAGGACATCAACTCTGATCCCTCCGTCGCTGATGCCCTGCGCAATCTGTATCAGCATCCCGATTACGTCGAGTTGTACCCTGGCATCGTCGCCGAGGAAGCAAAGACTCCCATGGTTCCTGGTGTTGGTATCGCGCCGACGTACACCATCTCTCGAGTCGTCCTCTCCGATGCTGTGGCCCTGGTCAGAGGTGATAGGTACTACACCACCGACTACAACCCTCGCCACTTGACGAACTGGGGATACAAGGAAGTCGATTACGATCTCAAGGTTAACCACGGCTGTGTCTTTTACAAACTCTTCCTCCGTGCATTCCCCCAGCACTTCAAGGGCAACTCCGTCTACGCTCACTACCCAATGGTCATCCCCTCCGAGAACAAGAAGATCCTCACAAACATCAAGCGCGCAGACCGCTTTGACTTTTCCCGTCCCGAACCCACAGCCACACGTATCAATATCATCGGGTACAACGCGGCAAAGTACATTCTCGAGGACCAGCAAAAGTACCGCGTCTGCTGGGAAGAAGGCCTCAAGCACCTCATGGGCGAAGCAGGCGGTCGCTTCATGTTATCGGGCGACACGGCGCTGCACGCCCAGCAGCGTAAGTGCATGGGCAAGCTCTTGTACAACGACACGTGGCGCAATGCAGTGAAGTCATTTTATGCGACAACCGCTGAGAAACTACTCGCGGAGAAGTCGTACAGACTTGCGAGGAAGATGCAGGTTGATGTTGTACGGGACGTGGGTAACGTTGCGCACACGCACTTTGTCGCGAGGATGTTTAACCTGCCCCTCAAGACGAGCGAGAATCCAAAGGGTGTGTTCTCCGAGCAGGAGCTGTACATGATTCTCGCTGTCATCTTTGTCTGTATCTTCTTTGACATTGATCCTGCCAAGAGTTTCCCGCTTAGACAGGGTGCGCGAGAGGTTGCGCAGAAACTTGGTGGTATTATTGAGATGAATGTCAAGTTGGCGAATAGCATTGGTGTCAAGGGACTTTTCACTAGCAAGCCGGATAAGAATGATGATCCGCTGGCGAGGTATGGTGAGAATATGGCGAAGGGATTGAAGAAGGCGGGCTTGAGTACGGAGGATATTGTCTGGAGTCAGATCCTGCCTACGGCTGGTGCTATGGTGCCCAACCAGGCTCAAGTGGTAAGTCAAACTTCCCCTACTCTTCAATTGAGTGAGTGAGTGCTAATGAGTTTAGTTTGCGCAAACGCTGGATTGGTATCTCTCACCAGCAGGCGAGAAATACCGCCCCGAACTAGCCCGCATCGCCGCCCTCGAAACAGGCGACGAGACAGACGCCTTGCTCCTCGGCTACGCAATGGAAGGCATCCGCATGGCCGGCACATTCGGTCTCTACCGCGAAGCTACGGGCCCCGACACAATCCACGAGGACGACGGCCGCAGCATCCCCGTGAACGCCGGCGACCGCGTCTTTGTATCGTTCGTCCAAGCAGCCCAAGACCCCAAGATCTTCCCCAACCCTGGAGTCGTGGACCCGAAGCGTCCGCTGGATAAGTACATCCACTATGGCGTTGGACCGCACGCGTGTCTGGGACGGGATATCAGCCAGGTTGCGCTCACGGAGCTATTTAGAGCGGTGTTTAGGAAGAAGGGTGTTAGGAGAGTGCCGGGCGCGCAGGGAGAGTTGAAGAAGGTGCCGAGACCGGGCGGTTTCTTTGTCTATATGACGGAGGATTGGGGAAGCATTTGGCCGTTTCCTACGAGTATGAAGATTACCTGGGATGAGTAGGCAATTGGTAGCTGTAGTGATGTAATGGTGGATGGGTAGATTGTAATTAATTCTCTTTGTTCATGCTTTCAAGTGGCTGTGGCACTGATCTTTTTACTCTTCTGTTCTGGTGTCGCTCTGTTCCTTGGTGTAAGTGAGACAGACCCAACTTACACAGACATCTCCACTCAAGCTGACAAAACTCACCAACCACTCCCATGCCCTTTAACTGCCGAGCATTGGCTATTCCTTTATGTCACTGCAGGGTAGTACCAGCGCCAATCACAGCCCCTTTCCCCCATTACCCCTAAAACAATGCCGAGCTTTCCGACTCCAACCCCTGCAGATCCCATCAATTGGTCGGAAGCAGTTCGTTTCACATTTCATCTGTTTCACCATTTGTTTGCCTGCGCCTCGACATGGAATGTTATTGGGTAACGCGGCTGGGATTGTTTCTACACGGATCGTGCTTGAGGAAAAAATGTATATCTAGGGGACTTGCTCCCTGAAAGTGTGTTTGTTCTTGGCATCCTTATTCACTCCCATTGATTGTGAGGTCATTCACTCCTTTTTTTTCTCTTCGTGATACGTTGTGTTTCACAGACGTTCTTTTCGCATTGACTATCCCTGGTGGATTTTACTTAAACACACTCTCTTTCAAGTCATTTGCCTCAACTCAACGTCAACCAGCTACTATCAGCTCTTGATACCACGACATTCATCACAATGAAATTCACTACCCTCTCTCTCATCGCCTCTTTGGCCTCCCTCTCAGCAGCTTCGCTGTCTGCGGTCCCCATCATCGAAGCCATAGCCCCCAAATCAAAGATCTGCCCCACCGGCAACAAAGAATGCCGCACAGCAACCCAAGCCGCCCCCTTCATCATCTCCAGCTTCCAATCCCAGCAGATCTACTCCCCCGCTGAAATCGCCGCTGTTCTCGCTCTCATGGCCTTTGAGTCAGGAGATTTCCAGTACAAGCGGAATCACTATCCTGGACGCCCAGGCCAAGGAACTGCGAATATGCAGATGCCGAACTTTAATCTTCTCTATGCGAAGAGTATTCCCGAGCTGGCCAAGGGATGGCAGGGTATTGAGAGTGTGGAGGGGCTTTCGGATCAGGAGTTGGGGGATTTGTTGGATGATGTTACGGTTGATAAGTACAACTTTGGAAGTGGACCTTGGTTTTTGAGGACGCAGTGTAAGGAGGATGTTCGACAGGCATTCAAGACGGATGTTGATACGGGGTTTCAGAAGTATATTGAGGAGTGTGTTGGGACGGATCTCCAGCCGAGGTTGGAGTACTTTCAGCGTGCGAAGACGGCGTTTGGTTTGTAGTTGGTTCAGAAGTTCGAGGACCGTGAATCTTGCGATAGGCTTCAAGGTATTCTGTCCTTCATTCTCTAGCTAACGGTTTTATTCTCCGAGTTGTTTTGTTTTCCGAGTTCATTATATGTGACGAGGTTTCATAAGTTGAAATCTTTGTGTTCGAATTGACTATTCGTTTTCTCTATATCTCATATCGATCCAACTTATCATGCACAGGCCTATAAACAAAATAATCAAACTGCGCCTCCTTCGCAAGCCCATTAACATCCGAACACGCCATCCCCACAAAAGCACCCGTGAAACTTCCATCCTTAGGATGTCCTCCACACTCATCTGACAAGATAGAAGCATCATACACAGGTCCAATCTCCTTCAACTCCTGCCCCTCGAGAGCGTAGTAAAACTGAAGTGTGCTTCCCGCACGAACACTAACCGCAAGTCGAACCTTGCCCTCGTTGGGAATTTCCACGGGCTCGGCGAAGGGACGCTCTAGACGACCTATTGGGAATGACTCTTCGGAGGAGATGATCTGTAGCTCGCGTTGGCCGGCGGCGGTGGCGGTTACGGTTAGGTAGAAGAAGTTGAAGCGGCAGTAGTAGGCTGTTAGACCGGCGAATTGGCGCTCGTCTTCGGGGGAGTAGGTTATCACCGTTTCGGCGTCGTAGGAGAAGTGGGTTTGACGACGCGCGACGAGGGCTTGTTCGAACCATGAACCGACGGATTCTCGACCGATGAGACTGAGTTGGTTGTTCTTGATATTGAAGATGCGCTCTGGTTCAGGTGTTCGTAGCCATTGGAAGTCAATATGGAGTTTGTCGGTAAAAGTATACCGCTTTTCTTCCCAGTACGCTGTGTCGTCGCGTGCAGCAGGGAGATCTACGTGAAGACTTGGGACTGGACCGTTCTTGATGTACAGCCAGTCGTCATCGCCCCAGTAAGCTTCTTGAATAGCTGTTTCTCGACCCAAGACTGAACGTCGCTTTTGGGTAACAGGGCGCCCGGTCAAATGCACGATGTAGGTCTTGCCATCGGGTGTATCCACGATATCAGCGTGTCCAGCTCTTTGGAGCGCTGCGTTGGGTGCATCTTTTGAAGTGACGACGTGTTTTTGCGGATGAACTTCATAAGGACCCCAGATGTTTCGTGATCGTGCGAGGGTCATGGCATGGGTATAGCCTGTGCCGCCCTCTGCTGTAGAGAGGTAATACCATCCATTGCGCTTATACAAATGCGACCCCTCAACATAAGCCAGATCTGTACCCTTGAAGATGTTCTTCTTTGGCCCCACGAGTTTACCCTGCTTAGGATCGAACTCTTGAAGAAAGATACCAGAGAACAGATGAGGACGAGCGCGATGATCCCAGGTCATGTTGTTGAACCATTTGCGACCGTCATCATCATGAAACAGCGATGGATCAAAGCCAGAGGAATTAGCGTACACGGGATCACTCCACGGCCCCTCGATAGCAGGCGCAGTGATAATGTAGTTATGCGCATCCTTGAACGAACCGTCCTTGCGCTTGACGTCCGTGTACACGAGCCAGAACTTGTCTCCATCGTGCGTCAGGCAGGGCGCCCAGACACCGCAGCTATCAGGCTCACCGCGCATGTCTAGCTGACTCTTGCGGTTCACTGGACGTACGACAAGAGTCCAGTTGGCGAGGTCTTTGGAGTGATGGATCTGAACGCCGGGGAACCACTCAAAGGTGGATGTAGCGATGTAGTAGTCATCGCCGACGCGGCAGATTGACGGGTCGGGATTGAAGCCCGGAAGGATGGGGTTTGTGACCTGTGGCATTTTGACTGATGCGATGAGATTGAGGTGAGAATTAGGCATTGTCGTGAATGAGTGGTGACTTTTTATAATTGCTGGTCTGTCGTGATGGCTAACATTGCATTTAGCCTGAATGCAATCGCGGGGAACTCAGCTCACCCACCACTCACTGTCATGAGGTTACGATGGGTCTCAGTGCCGATCGCCCTACAATATTTCCCGACTTGGCAGTAAGAAAACCACTCAGTTCTCCGTGACCATGTCGCCCGCGATGTCCATACTTCCAGGGAAACTCTCCCAGAAGCCCTGCGTTGCGTCGGCGAACGTCGCGTACATGTTGCTGCCGAATGCAAAGTCTGTGTCGAATAGGTCAATGTCTGCGGGCGCGATGAAGGAAAAGTCGACGTTTGACGAGGCCTGGTCATTTTCGCCATCTGTAGCGCTCTGGGAATTGTTAGTAAATGAATATGAGAGCGATGGGGTCAAGTACTTGTTCGTCGGTGCTTTCGGCGTCGGGCTGACGGACGGGATCGGGTTGGAGAGCGCCGTAGTCGATGATTGCGTTGCGCATTTCTCGTCGTTCGCTGGGCGTTACTGCGAGATCACCGTCGGCCTTGATGTTGCTGTAGAAGATCTGCATCGCCTTGATCTTCTCGCGCTGTGATCCGTCAGTACAGTTACTGGCATGAGACGGATGACTTACCCAGGTGTCAGCCATCGGCCAAGCTTGTCGCATGTCTTTGAGGAACAAGAGGCCCTCGACAATATGCTCCCTTCGCTTCTCAACTTGATGCGCCGTGTCGCCGGGATTTGGGAAGTGATAAAAGTACAGCATCGTTCCGACGGCCGTATAAATGGTGAAGCCAATCCATGGAACGAGACCGCGTAGGAAGTACAGCCCAAATGCGCGTATCTCTTGTAGCATGTCACAGACCTGCTCGGCTACTTTCTCGAGTTCTTTGCTTGACCACGTTGACCATTGATCCCAATCCTTATCGCCAACTCTGGCCTTTTGCATCTCAACTTCAGGGAGGTAAGATCGGTAGAGGAAGATGACGCTCATGAAGTAGATGCAGTGCATGTAGCAATATGCTTGGCCTTGGTTGGACACGCTGTGCGCTCGTAGGAGGAAGAGTTCATAGCGTAGTCGTTCGGGCAATGAGTTCTTCCAGAGTTCAAGCCGGGAAAGCAGCATCTGGAACTCGGACTGAGGCTGCCATGGCGGTACAGTGTTGTCGTGCCGTGTACAAGCCCATTTGGCGACGGCGCCCCAGACATCAGCGACGCGCATGCTGTTGGCTACGATGCCTAGACTGCCGTGGACAGTACCCATCGCGGACCCGTCCGGCATTGAGCCATCGAGTCTTTCGCACAGCACGATCTGGCCAAAATTGAAGCTATCCGACTCACATGGGAGTTGGATCCGCATCTTATCACCCGACAGCATCCTGTCGCGACCCTTTCCTCCGCTGAGAAGACTATCCATCAGGAAACAAGTCCATGCGGTGCGACGCCTCTCTTCAGCGTCGATAAAGTCCTCTCGAGTTATCGCTGGTGGTGGTTCTTCAAATAGACCAAGGACTTGGGCCATGCGCACTGCCATACCGAGATAAACCCATGCTCTTCTGCCCTCACCGGCGCCCCAAGAATGCCCGGTTAGCATGAGAAGAACCTGAGCGCGATGAACGGTTGGTTGGTCCACAAGTGACAGGACGAGCGACCGCGCATGAGCAGCGAATGTATTGCTTGCTTCGACCTGTGTCGCGTACCCCGGCGGTGCAGCCTGTGAGAACCTGCGACATGTGAGTGAGATGATACGCGAGGGAATCATATGCCGCACCTCACAGTGATAGCCAGCATCGCCCAAACCAGCAAAGGATCCAACCTCCTCTCACGAATAGCAATGAGGAGATTCGGAATATGGTGAAACGACCACTTGTACGAGCAGCGCAGATAACTGTTCTTGACCTCATCCGTCAGGAAGCCGAATGGGTCTGTGGTGGCCAAGTTCCCGGCCCGGATGAGCTCCGAGTCAGCCCGGCTCCCAGCCCCGGCTCCGAGTTCATCCCGATGACGCTCGAGACGGCTCCGGCGGAAGATGAATGATGTGCCTTTGGGCGGGAAGACGCACTCGTCGCCGCGGTCGCGACAGCGCGTGCAGGGCGGACCGCCTGAGTGAATGCACTGAGAAGGGTGAGTCAGTTGCTGTGAGAGGGATGGGGAGGGGAGAGGAGCACTTTGCGCTTGGAGGAGCGACATGCGCCGCATGCTATTGACTTCTTCATCGTCGATGAGTCAAGTGTTGGTGACGTCCGTACGTTGACCGGGCAGTCAATCAGTCAGTGTTACTGGTATTTTGGCTGAGCGAGTATCGAGGTTGATGGGGCAAATTTTCCCATGCTGGGCTTTGGATTGGTCAGCTTCTGGTGGGTGTAGTGAGAGACACTGAATAATGCCTCGACATCTGAGATACAGCGATTGTGAGCGGCAATTTGCACGAAGCCATTTAAATTGTTATCTGTTCTATAGTCTCGTCGGTAAAGGATATTGGGATTAGAAGTGACGCGTGAATTACAGTGCTTAACGCTGTGATTGATGGCGGTGATGAATTGGGCTTCTGCTCACATTCACCATCATCGCTGTTTGTCGGTGAGGCCGGGGACTCTGGGCGCTGAGTTTAAGCGACTATGGGACAGCCAACGCCCCGGAGATAGTGCACCATCCACTAAATTTGATCGACGCAAAGACCTCTCTAATCCAGTGGAGACCAGAATTACACGGCATTCGCCACTAATAGTGCCTGTAGTCACTGGGAGTTTGTCCCCGTCGGGCATTGGTTGGTTCCAGCGTTTGATCATTAAATTCCAGGCTGATATTTACGTGCGTGTCGCATTTGAGGAATCGTACTCTAGATTTATAACAGAAGACAAATGCATTTGTTGGCAATTACCGACTTCCCTACATGTTACGTTCCGTTACTTATCCTCAAGTCCCTTACGGGACGTGAGAGAGGCACCTTCAATGCGAGGCACTCTTTTCCGTCGACTCAAGAAGCATCCCTCCAGGGTTGGTCTTGACAACAACTCACCTTCTCCACCGTTCGGATCCTCCAGCTTTTCTACTATCCTACCTTGCTCAACGAGCCCGACGTGATTCCGGTTCGATACACGCCAGATGTTCCCTCCGACTCACCGTCTGCTCCAACCATCCATCCCATCCCGAGATGAAGAGCCATAACTTGGTGCTTCGATTCAGTATCTAGTGTCATACCCTCGAGGGAGATCGCGAGGATCAATGCCATCGTGAGGCCGGCATTGATCATACAATGCGCTTCACCGTCAGTGTCTCTTCGTGTATTCCTGGCTCGTCGTGCAACTCTGACACCACAGGCAAGTCTTTGGGCTTTCTCTTCCGCTCGAATATTCTTGACAGGCGGTAGATCCCGTAAGGTTGTTAGAGTTCGACGATATTTGTCTAATGCCCTTTTGTCGCGTTTCATGGCCTCATGGACAACCTTATTGTAGACTCTGTTGTGCCGAGATCTGCCTGTACGCCAAACAGGAGTCATAAAAGATCTAAGAAGCCCAGAAATCGATGAATGCAGAACGTCCATGGTTTCGTCAATCTCATCCGGATCGCGCAGAGGCATCAACTCTAAACGTTTGAGCTTCGATTCTACTGCTCGTATGAGCTTTTCCTGCTTTGCCTTGCTAAACATGAGGATGGCCGCGGTGTCTCCTTTCGGCCGTAGATCGACAGTTTGTCTGGATGGGAAAATGATCAGACTCAATGCCTCGAACATTAAGTTGCCTGTAAGAAAACATTCAGGCTTCGTGGCGTAAGTCAAATAAATCGATCGTGGTGCAGTTGGTTCTTAGCCGGACACCGTGGGCAATGGCCCAGACTCCCGGTCTTGTCAACTTATTCAAGTCGACGTTTGGGAGGCTCCTCTTCAGCTGTTCAGCTTTTGCATTGCATCTTATGAAAGGATCTTCGGTCCAGCTACTATAATGCAGGTTGAGAACTCTGAGCAGAACGTCGCTATCCAAGAAAGAACAGTACTCTATCTTTGAATAGCATTGGCCTTGTTATATCTGTTGGATATATTATGAATTATGATATTAAGGAAGAGGCGGCGTAGCAATTCAGATCCTCCCACCCTTATCCGCAAAGGGTACAGATACCATTACGCTCCGGCAAACCCACCTCCGCAATGCAAACCAATTCCTATCCTTTTCCTGTTATCAATGGGACCTTCGCAAGAATAAGTACGTGTGATGGTTACAATTACCATGTGAAAGCTACAAAGAGTTCATGTATCTCTGTGGTCCGTGATGCAGTTGTCGATCAGTCGGATTGGACAAGTTCTCATCTAACTACTGTTAGTTACTGTATATGAGTGGTTTTTATACCGGTTTGCACCAGCGAAGCTTCTTGTTTTACTTGATTAGACTCATTACCAGGTTCGCTGGGAAGGAATGGAACCTCTGAGTTGAACATTATCGAACACGAACTGATGTTATGGCATCGCCAAGCCAGAGTTTTGATGACTAATGCTGAAGGATCCTCGAAGGGCGCTATTGTCAACGAGCCAAGCCAGGTATAAATGCAACCTCCACTTCATCGGAGACAGTGAGCACCTTGCTTCTTGCAACAGACCGCCAAATGATATTGACATATCTCCATCATGTCCTCTTTAAAATCGCGATCTGAGCTTATCAATCTCCTAAAATCTATCCTGGACGCTCGAAATGAGACGACCTGGGAAACTCTAGAATCCTTGTTCCAGCCGAGTATGTTGATCGATACAACCTCTCAACAGCGCGATAACTTCATCGCAAACCTACGTGCGGCCACTGGAGTCTCGGTGAAGCTTGATAGCTGTGTGGTGGATGTCAACGCCCAAGCCGTCGCTGCGAGAGTCATCAAGACTGAAACACTTCCCGATGGTGAACGGTATGATTGTCAGGAGATTATCCTCACATGGTTTTTTGATGGTCGCTTGGCAACTATTAAACGACTTAAAGATGGCGACTCTCGCTCAGCAAAGCAAACTACAACACCTCCGCCGTTGGAAGAACTGAAACCTACTTCTTTTGACCTTGCAGCACTGTACCGCGAATACATCAAGAGCATCAACGACAAGACTATGGAGGCAAAGTTTGACCAGTTCTGTCAGCCAGTAGTAACGCATAATACCGTGAAAAAGACCATCGCAGAGTACATATCTCTGATCTCAGAGAGCCAAAGTGCAATTCAAGGGCTGTACTTTGACATTCAAGATCTCATCGTCGATAAGGATGCAGGGAGAGTTGCGGCCAGATTGGAGTTTACCGGTGTTCCTGTCAAGACGTGGGCTGGTGCTGAACCAAATGGGAAGAGTGTCAAGTTCCATGAGCATGTCATGTATTGGCTTGATGCAGGCAAGATCCACTGGGTTTGGTCTGTTGTTGATTTGGATACGTATCGAAAGCAGCTTCAGCAGATAGATTAGAGACGCATCAAGAACAAAAGTCTCTCCTGAATCATGTTTTGTGAGTGTCATTTTAGTCAATGTACCTGATAAGTGATGCTCGCACCACGCGCCTTACCTCGAACAAAACCCTCTCCCCTCTCGCTAATCATTGAATAGTGCTGAGCTAGTAAATTAAAATTTTAGTCTTATGAAAACGAGGACACTGGAGGATTCACAAGTATATTTTAAGTTTTTGCACCGTGAATTCCAATGTCTATGTGAATCTTATTCATCCAGTCAACAAATGGAGGAACCTTGACCTTTCCACTGACACCACGATATCCAAACCTGTACCGCTCCAATTATCGTCGCTACAATCCCAAACAGTGCCGCTGCTACCAATGCAACAAAAGTCAACCAAAGCGCATGTCTCGGCGATCTTCTCCGCTGCGCCCACCGTCCCGGTCGAGAAACAGGTGCAGGATCTTCAGACTCAGCATATAAACTATGCAAGCGAATCGCCCAGTGAGGATATCTCTCAAAGAGCTCTCGCCGTGTAGTAAGTGGCCTCTCGTACACAGTCTCCCCATGATGGCACTTAAGCGGCGCTGATATTCTTTGATCTACTAGCCGGACATCGTTGCCTCTCCAGCGATACCAGCGGGAGTTAAATTCGATTTTTCGATCGAGCCATTGTTGGTCTTGGGGTGGGAATAGCAGTCGAATAGTTTGTAGAGTTTCATAAAGGAATGTTGGGGTGTAACATCCTCTTTTATAGATCAGTCAAATCCAGATTGTCAATTTGTTTGTACATACCGCTTTAAGCTATCTTCAACAGATGTCTCCCATGGTTCGTCTTTCATCACCTCGTATGTCATCTCAAGGAGTGACACGAGGTCGAAAACTCGCAGGGTTTTGGTCTGGCTGCCTATGTTCAACACCAGATGATCAGGAAGGTGATGAGTCCACTCAAGTTGAACGTCGGCGTGGTCCTCTAGGTAACGTGCGCGAAGTCGACTCGCCATGAAGGGTGTATGGGGCTCGTCATTATAGGCGTGCTTTGGGAAGGTCTCTTTTATGAAACTTGTTAAAGACTGGCTTTCGCCCCAGTTAAGACCAAGTGTCGCCAGAAATACTGTCCTCGAGTCAAGGTTGATATTTACTGCTAGCATCACTCTTATGGTGGCAACAATAGTTTCTTCTATTACGCTGTCCCTGACTGTGATATTTTGAGGTCCAGGTACCGCACTGTTATGCTGTACGTGGCTCGTCGTAGTATCCTTGGTGCTTTGGCCATGGTTTAATGCTGAGGTCATAGTATTTCTCAAATGCTGTCGCGTAGAGTCAGGTTTGTTCTTCAGAATGTCGGCTGCGGTGAATACATCGTCCATCGAAACGTTAAGCTGGCCAGCCTGATCTCGGAAATGGTCGAAGTAAGCACTGAGCTGATCCACGCGGCTGGAGCTTTGTATATCCAAGCCCCAGAGCCTCTGAGCTATGCGCCGTCTCTTAGCTATTGGATCCAGCTCGGTCTGGATAACACTACTAGCATTAGGTACAGAACTCATGCTTAAAGAAATAAAAATACCTAAGGACGGAGAAATAAAGGCGGTGGTAGAAGATCAGGCTCTGGTATTATGCATGGGGGTCACATGAGACGTACATATATGGCGGTGGCGGTGCCGTTTGATCTCACAACGCCTTGTCCTGCAGCCTTGTTTTCAATTCCCCTCATCTCAGCGACCGTTTGCGAATTCAAATAGTAGGCAAACTGACTTTTCGCTAAGTCATGCTGCCTCATCACACGCACCAAGATGGTGGAATTGCAGACGCGGGAACAGAGTTTTCCTTAGAACAGGATCCAGTCGCTCCTCAGCTTTCGCGATCAGCTCAGAGGAGCACGACTTCACCATCAGGATCCAAGATCCCCCGTTTTTTTCGGCTATCTAACGGCGCCAAGAAAAGTCAATCATCGAACCCCCCCGATGATGTTGCGACGGATACGAATTATTCCACAGAAGGGAAAAGTCATCCGGTTCCAAAAGCAAAAAGGACCGTACAGGTAAAGCGTGGCAATAAGCTACTCCGCCTGTTTGGAGTTGAACGTACTTCTGTTCATGATCTTCAAGTTATAACAGTCGACGAGTTCCCTGATGGCGAGGCTGAGACGCAATACGAGAAATACATCGACTATCTCCGCAATGCACCTCCAGAGAAGAATCCCTTGGGTCATTTCCGTAAGATCAGCAGAATGCTGATGCCCCAGCGCGCGTTGGCCTCTAAAATGGGTAGAGAAAGTCAGGATCTCCCTGTCCCTTTCATTCAATTCACAGGACTGTACGACGAGGGAGAGGTGATGTTTTTGCATGCGGCATTGTTTCGCGTAAGATATCGCCCTCCTATGCCTGTATGCTATGTTGTACAGCAGATCGGATTCCTGGCAGACGAGGGCATCGAGGTTGAGACACTGAACGCCAATCCAGGCACTCTTTGCGGTGCACTAGTCGCCATCGGTACGGGGAATAACCGCCGAATCAGTACTATCGGCGGCGTTATCGAAAGCAGCGATGAGTATTTGGCTCTCACCACCAGCCACCGTTCTAATGACACAGTCGATGCTTCACATCGGATCAAGAGCTTCTTCTCTATGCTCGACGCCAAACTTGATGAAGACGAATACGGGGATGATATTCCTCCGCCGCTCGTGGTAGACACGGTCCATACCCACAAAAGACCAACTGAGCAACTACTGGATGACAAGGCTACCGCTAGTACGGCTTCTGATAGATCTGATGCTGGTCCCTTAGGCAAAATCCTACACACTGGAACTGATTGGTCCTTATTGCGATTGGCCGATCAGCTAGTTCCGCCAAACTGCATTGATGAGAGACTAGTGACGCTGGGTGAACAGCCTCTCGAGGACATTCTGAATGACGTGGTCTTTTTGAGCCGTGCCGCTTCGGAGCCAGAGGCCTGCGAAGTTCTTGTTTGTGGAGGGCGAGGCGGATTGAACAAGCTTGACCTTACAAAGAGGCCGGCCGATTTGATGCTGCCTTCAGGGGTCTGGATACGACCTTGGAAAGCAAAACATAAGCCAGCTTTGGGATGCAGTAAGTTACTTGAAATTCCTGCCAATATATGAGTGAGACTCTGACTATCATACAAGAACTGCAACGAGGAGACTCCGGTGCTTGGGTCGTGAATATCAACAACCGCACCGCCTATGGCCACATCATGGCTGCCACATCAGATGACGTATTGATACAACCTCTTGTGGATATCTTCCAGGATATTCAGAATCAGAAGAAACTGGAAGTCAAGATAGCATCGCCGTTTGGGCAGCTAGCAAATCTTGCCAAGCACTACTATTTCAGTGACGAACATCACCTGGCAGTTAGTCTTGCGCGAAAAGCTTTGGATCCAGTAGTGATATCTCAGTCAACTGAGGGACTACAAGTAACAGCCATGCTACAGGGCTTTATGAAGCATACCGACAAAGGGAATAAGTTCCTATCGAAGTATTCCAGAAACCATCTCGCCGACTTCCTTACAAATCTAATAATGTGTACCGGGCGAAACATTGACCTCATTCGCTCCCCTACATGGACCGATGATTGGACAGCTATGTTTGGTACTCCGATGAGTATGATAGAACATGTCAACTATCTGAAAGGAGCTGGAGGCCTGCCGACACTTGATGAAATTGAGGCGGCGTCAGGTCGGAAGACGGTTTCAGATCAGGATCCTCCGAGCACACATTCCCGAGTCAGGGGCGTAACGGCTCAAAGACACCGCGAGAACCGAGCTTCAAGGGCCCAGAAGAAAATTATAAAGCAAGCATATGATTGGGTGTCGAGGCTTTTCAGCCATTCCGAAATGCAATTCACAATGGTCGGACTACCAGGTTGCGGTAAATCAGATCTTCTCCGTGGCATCACACACCATGATTCAGCCACGGCCTCAATGTCCACCGTCGGGTTCAGCACCACACGTATACAACGAAACGGGGTCATCGCGAAGATCTGGGATCTTAGTGAAGATGTTGAGTGGCGACTGAACTGGGGAAAATACTCTCGAGGAGTCGACGGCGTCATGTTTGTAGTGGACACAGGAGATACAGAGCTTTTACCTCACGTTCGTCGACAGATTCTCATGCTAATGAGTCAGCCTACCCTTTCTGGGGTTTCACTTATAGTATTCGGGAATAATTGTAGTAATCAGAGGGGATTAACGATAGAGGAGTTGAGAAAGAAGTTGGAGTTAGAGCAGATAATGAATGGTCGACGTGTTGATTTCTGGGTTGGTGATAGAGCGAATTTTGATGAGTTTCTCGACTTCTTGGTTAAGTGGAGGAATGAATAAAGATTCTAGCCATGACATGCTCAGAGAAACAAAGTTAGGTTCTTTGGCCAGGCACATTTACTTTATGGATATTCGGGGGCATAAGGAAAGGCTGTGATATACAGACAGTGATGGGAATATACGAATGGATGTCTCTGGTTTTCTACAGTAGAAGCGTGCAGGTGTCAAAAATTAGAAATACATTAGTATTTATGGCTGAATTATCTACATGATGCATACTAACCACGCCTTAGTAATTAGATTTCTCGAAATACGAAACTGTTATAGATAATACAACAGAAAGTAAGCAATATTTTCCCAGATCGGCTGATGGGGGACCAGGTTTACGTTGGTGGCTTGGGCTGCAGAGTGAGCCTCACTGAGAGCCTGATTGCAAAGTCTGCCTCGCCAGGTGGTGAGAAACTGGCGACCCCCAAATTGCAGTCTGACGGTGCCCGAAATGACAAAGGCTCTCATAGAATTGCTCAACTCTCCTCATCAAACTACTGTGCTTGTCCATGACTCCTCAAAGCGCCAAGACACCATACCCTCGCTCGACCTGGGGCATGCGAGCTAAGCAATCATTAATACTCTATTTCACGTGATTTTACAAGCAGAGAACTTGGAGTACATTCAATCCTCTGTAAACTTTGACCACTGTCTGATAGTGCGACCATATCGCCAGAAAAGAAAAGCAACAGGTGAGAGGGCGAGACAGATGGAGCCAATAACCGAGCCACCAACACCCAGCCCCGCATCCACTAACAAGTCTGTAGCATACAAAGGAAACGTAGCCGCTATCACACAACGTAGGAAATTATTAATGGCCAGGGCACTATTGGCGTGCACGAGATATACCTCAATCAGGTAGACCACGCCAGACATCAAGACCAGGATGGAACCGCTGCCAAGGAGGACCCCGGCAGCAGCTTGTGCCAGCCAATTGACTGACCTGCTTGAGGTCCAGCCAAACCAGAATATGCCTGGAATATGTAAGAGGGTGATTTAAAACAGGGCGTCTTGGAGTGAATACCTGCGGATAGGAGGATGGAACCGGCAATCATGGGCGGCAGACGTCGTTCCGGCACATGAACTCGGCTCTGCTGGATGTAGTAGATGCTGTGCAGAGCAATCCCTATGCACGCCAGGATCACCCCTATGGTCATCCCGACAAACGGAAGACTTCCGTCCATACGGGACCATCCGCGAACTGTGACAAATGCAAGAGGGTACATAGTAAACGTGAGATATATGATTCCATAGGCGAGACTCATGTAGATGGTGAAGAAGATGAGCTGCAGATCATCAATAAGGTTTCCGAATGCTGGGATAGCTGACTTACTATTGGCTCACGCACAAACATCCTGACAGGCTTTGTGAGGTAGCTCTGCAGGAATATCGATATACCCCGTTCTGGACGATATATCCGAGATGGGGTAACCGAGGTATTCCCCTTAGATCTTTGGCGCAGTATCACCACCTCGGACGTTTCAGGAGTCAGCAGAAACGCAACGCTCCCAAAGACGAGACCTCCTATCAGAGTGAGCCACGCCGTCCATCGCCAGCCTAGCTTGAGCGTCGCAAGATTTCCAACAATAGGTCCAACAGTCGGTCCGCAAAAAGTCGCGACGCTGAAAACCGCCGTGGAAATTCCTCGCTCCGCAGGTCTGCTGAGGAAGTCGACATACATACCCCCCAGAATCGCCAGGCTCGAAGAACCAGCTAGACCGGAGAGGAATCGGAACGTCAAGAGCAGAGGCATGTTCTGCGCGAGCGCACAAGGGAGTTGGCAGATGCAGAAGATGGCGTAGCCGAGAAACAGGGGTCGTCGCTTACCGTACAGTTCCGACGCGGGACCCCATGCCATCGGACCAAGGGCGAAGCCGATAACGTAGAGTGTGATGCCTAGTAGGGCGGTGTCGGGTGAGACGGTGAATCGGGCTTGGATGTGTGGGATGGCAGCTGAATAGACGCTGCTGCCGAAGGAGACGACAAAGGTTGCGAGAGAGGTGCTGACTACAATGGACCATTTTTTGGAGGAGGGCCAGTTTACTGGTCTGTCCTCTTCTTTGAGGCCATTGGGGATGGAGGGTGGACTTTGAGAGTCATCGAGGGAGATGGAGTTCTCAATATCGTTGGTATTTTGGTTGTGCATGTTGATATGTAATGTGAAGCGAGAACAGTGGAGTTGGGAGTTGATGAATAACAGTTTGATATTAATCAGATAATAGCCTCAAAGTTAACGTATTTGTACATGACTCTTTAAGCTGCCCAGATACCCCGGATTTCCCGAGTTACAGCGCTAGGGACTACCCTTTCATGGGGAACCGACAACTCCCGTAATCTGGGGTCATAAGCGAGATGTAACCTCGACCAAGAGTTTCATGAGCGGTTTAGTACTGGCCCTATGGGATAATGCACCATCTCTCTTTCGTGGATGGAATCGCAACTCGGCGAACCTCCGGGCTGAAGATCTTGTCGCTTTTGTAAAATCAAGCATATTCAATGACATCAGGGGGCGGCTTTGCCTCTGATCAACAAGTGAATGTTATTTCAGCTGGACTTTTTAGGTTATTGTGACCAAATTCATCGTAGTAGTCATGCAGGTGGCCGTTTATAAGTCGAACTACAAGTTCTTTGAGACACTTACTCAACCTTTACTAATCCCAGATGCTGGTCAGTGACAGACTTGGATGATGCAGATCTGAAGGAAGATGTCCGACTCTCGGCAAATCCGTCCTGGTGTTTGATCACGTCCTCCATATAAATCTACATAATATGACGTGTTCACTTCCTCTCACTGCTGATATCCTGACTACCCCAAGGAGAGAACCCAGCACCAATACTACGCCTAGTCTGCTCCTCTACAATGTCACTGTCAACATACCTCACTAAACCATCATGGATATTCCCCATTCTCGCTATAGTAGCTACAGTATTACACTACATCAACCGCCTCTTTATCAAACCCCTTTTCAGCCCCCTCAAGCATCTCCCCTCTCCCAAGCAAGGCCCCCTTCTATTCCGCCTCATACACGAGCCCAAAGTCTCCGAGATAGAAACATGGATGGATGAGCTCCCGCACCAGGGACTCATCAGGTACATGGGAGTCTTCAACCAGGAGCGCATCTACGTCGCCTCCCCTGAAGCCGCGCAGGAGTTGCTATCCTCGAATGCTTACAAGACTATCAAGCCTGAGCTTCAGTGGATTCTGGCGAATAACATTGCTGGCCATGGGCTGCTCATCCAGGAGGGAGATCAACATAGACAGGCTCGCAAGAGGTTTAATCCAGTGTTTAGTCCTGCTCAGATGAAGAAGTGGTTCCCTATTATCTGGACCTTGGCCATCGACGCCATTGAATTACTCCCGCAACACATAAAGAAGGGGCCATTTACCCCACACGGCGTTGTGGGCATCATAGAACTGGTCTCTGCGGCAAGTATCGACATTATCGGTCGTTTCGGCTTCAGCACCGAGTTCCAGACCCTCCAGAGAGTCACATCAGGGCAGAGCACTAAAGGCTCTTCAGATCCAAAGGTTCGCTTTGGCAAAGCCTACATTGAGATGTTCAAGACCACGAAGCGAGGCCAGACTACCCTCCGTGCTGCCTCCCTCATCGGACCTCAGATCGCGCTGAAGCTGCCTCTGCGAGCGGTCAAGACAATCGACAGTATCATGGCTTTAGTCCGTGCTACGGCCGAGGATATAACAACAGACCACGAGCGGAATATTGAGAAATATATGGGAAGCCCGGATCCTGATATGCTCACGTTGCTGATGCAGACTGGACACTTCTCGCATCAGGACCTGGTTGAGCAGACTGTTCACTTCTTTGCCGCTGCGACAGAAACCGTGGCTGGTTCTACATGCTGGGCCATCCACCTGCTCTCCAGACACCCCGATATTCAAGACCGTCTCCGAGCAGAGATCAGGGAGCACATAGTCTCGTCTCGATCAGAAGTTAGCCAGTCTCAACTGCACAGCCTGAAATATCTCAACGCTGTTACGAACGAGGTGCTGCGATACCACTCCATCAACACCCTCCTCTGGCGCGAGGCAATTCAGGATATCACTCTTGCAGGAGAGCGAATGCGCAAAGGAACAAAGATTGTCTTTTCGCCGTGGGCGCTGAACCGTGACCCTGCGCACTGGGGGCCTGATGCGCGGGTGTTCAATCCATCGCGATGGCTGGATAATCCCAGCGGCGGAGCGGACCACGCGTACTCGTTTCTGACGTTTGGCGGTGGTCCGCGGCGTTGCGTCGGCGAGCAGTATGCTAGAGATCAAGTGTCGTGTTTTGTTGCTAGTCTTGTTGGACGGTATAGGTTTACTCCTGTCGACTTGCAGAATGGGTCGGATGAGGGAAGGGAGATAGGTGATGATTTTGCGTTGACGCTGTTTAAGATTCTTTCGGGGTGGAAGTTGAATGTTGAGTTGGTTCCTGGATGGTGAGCTGACTGTTTAGGGTCTATATATTGCATGAAGGTCTACGAAATTCTTTTGTCATGGCTTTGAAGCTAAGACGCATTCAAACTGATGAGGTATATTTTAACCTTACTTGTATTGCATGAGTAATACACTTCACTGGGATTTACTCCTTATCAAATCATCGCAACATGTCTATGATTCAGAGATTAAATAAAGCCGCGTTTCTTACAGTTGAATTATCCTTAATTGTTAATTATTGAATCCTGCTAGCTGGACTGAGGCCCCTTGACTAGAGCAGTGTTGGAGAACTAAGCCATCTAATCTGAAAGGACTTTCTCTACCTACTCTGGGAAGGAAAATAATTTCTTTCCCCGATCCGCAAATCTCCTCCCTCCAGATGCATCGCCACAAATACAAACCATCCGTACGTAAATCCGTCATCGGCCCGCCTCCCGCATCACCGCTCGGCAAAGGCGGGTTGTCTAACCAGCTAGTCAAGCCACAACCCCCAAAGAAAATTAAAGATCCATCGGTCTAGACCAAGGCCACTTCTCAGCGGCTGAAAGGGGACCAATTGAGTTCAAGACGGTCTGCATATGAAACGTGGTGCAATTTATCTAGAGTTTGGCTATGAGGTGAAAGTGTCAGGATGGTCGAGTCAAGATCTGGGTGACTCTTGACGAGACAGTTTTTGCAGGCCTCGCGGTGGTGAATTGCATTATATGTAAAGATCATGGGGTTAGTGAAGTCAATTGTTCAATGAGGCAAAGAAGTTTAGCAAGAATTCTCGTGATTACCCATTCGAGTATGTCGATCATGCGAAGATAACTCAATTGAGAAGCTTATCGAGTCAAAGTGATCGATCATCATGAATCGATCGTATTATTCTCCGCTTTCTCCCGCGATCTAGATTCCCGAGCGGAGACCCATGACTCGCCAATCCCGAAAGAGATCGGCACTTCAAAATCGTAAGGAATTTGTTTCCTTCACTCGTGAAACAAGTACTGTTTCGGAAGATATCTATTAAGAATAAGCCTTTAATTTAAGAGAAACAGTACAGAAATGCTGTCTAAATCAAGTATTACACGGTTCATCCTGCGTACAGAACAGTGGGTGAAACAAATCTATCTCAGGTTCGAGTGTCAGCCCTATTCCCTTCCGGGGTCTAGTCATATGCAGCCGTAAATCTTCAAAGCCGCTTGGATCCGATGTGATAGGGGCATTTGTGTTAGCCTATGGTTCATGCAGCTTTAGCTTCTGCAATAAAGATGGAGGTGTTCCCTGCATGTTCGGTTGTCACCCTGCTCTGTTCTGCTTTTGTCAGTTTTGTTTTAAAATATGCCTCAGATTGAAGATAGGCCGTCGGTATGTTAAATTCGGTCACTACTGTCACAGCAGACTGACCTCGTTAGTTCATTATTGAGTCGTGGACGCTTTATGTCTTTGGCACGCTCATCCTTTTCTCACGTTTTGCGGTCCGTTTCAAGACTGTTGGATGGAGGGGCTTACAAGGCGATGATTTCTTTTCTGTTCTTGTTCTCATATTCTACGCTGTCGATGCATTCACCGTACATCTGATCTGTAAGACCCCATGACTTACATCTCCCATCTCCTGTCTAACTCTACAGACTACCTCGGCACCAACATCGAAGCTGGCGTCGCCGCAAAGACACACAGTCAGTGCTCCCGATCCCTTACAAAGAATTGCAAACTCACATCAGAAAGCTCTGACGAAAGATGAGATCCACGAATACGAAACGGGTTCTAAACTCGAACTTGCAGCTTGGTACGCATACACAGCGCTTATTTGGTCTCTCAAGGGGACAATGCTATGCTTCTTTTCGAGAATGACGATCGGGACATGGCATAACATGTTTGTCAAGACTGTGTCGGTGCTGTGTGCTGTGTCGTACCTTGCTGTCTTCCTCACAGTAAGCAATCTCTCCGTTGAGTTTCGGTTTGAGTGCAGAGCTGATTGTGTGCAGATTACTTTTGGTTGTTTTCCTACGCAGAAGAACTGGCAGTAAGTTTATAGATCGATGTTGATGAGTTGAGCTGACGGTATACAGGGTTGTGCCTGATCCTGGAGGTTTGTCGTACTGAGCTACATGATAGTGACTAAGTAAGCTGACAGCTCTCACAGAGAAATGCTCCTTCAAAATGCAGAACTTTCTTGTAACAACAGTTCTAAACGTCCTGTACGTCAACCCTCTCACTTCTATAAGCATTTCTAACTCTCTAGTACCGATGCTCTCATCCTCGGAATTCCAATGCCTCTCCTGTGGAAACTTCAAGTCCCATTCCGCAAGTCCGTCTCCCCTCCGCTCCCCAAAATCCCCCTCTAATATCGCCAGGAAACTCGTCATCGGTCTCCTCCTCTCCTCAGGAGCATTCGTCATCGCAGCGGCTATAATCCGCGTCGTCCTCACGCTCTCCGCAAACCCATCTGCACTAACCATCAACGCATGGGGCGTTCGAGAAACCATCGTTGGAATCCTTACCGTCAACATCCCCATTCTTCGACCGATCTTCTCGAAGTCTTTTTGGAATGGTAATGCTCCGAGTGAGATTACTTCGTCTTATCGGACGACGACTCATGGGACGAGGGGCGGTAATAGGACGCTTACGCAGGATATTTCGGGGCCGTATGAACTTACGCCGAGTATTAATGAGGGATCAAAACCGAGTGTTAGGGGGAGTCAGGAATCGATTGTTTCCAAGACTGTGAGGATGGCTGATATTGTGGTGTCGAAGTCCTATCAGGTCAGTCATGATGTGAATACTTATGATGGGAGGTCATGGTACGGAGACCGAAACGGAGCTTCGAAAGCTTCGGTACATGCAGAATCTCCAGTTTAACCATGATGAAGCTATAATAAAGTCATTAATGCATAATTAGAGTTCAAGTTGCTTGCCATTGACGACGGAAGTCGCGTGATCAACATCATTTGCTTTCGCCAGCAGCGTGGGGTTCGAGGGCTATAATGAACCCTCTAGAAATAAAAGACGTGAGCGACCGCAAATGACGTTCTTCCCCAAACCCCTCGGAAGCGACGCATCTTTGAATTTGACAGGATGATAGCGGCCAAGCGCCGACTTCGAAAAGAAAATAAGGGATCAGCTCTTGTTTCTCAGAAGAGGCCAGAGTTGATGTGTCTATGTTCTACAGTATTGCATCTGATAGGAGAATTGGAAGTCGGGTTCTAAGAATTAACGGTCTTGCTTTGCCATCAAAGTGATACATGGTTCAGCCAAAAGAGCGACTTTGATGTTAAGGCTGGGCGAGATTTGGTTGTTGCATCCCTCAGGTTTATTGACTGTTCTCCTGCATCATCGACAAGAGAGCTAGACTGATCGGAATATGACGAACTGATGATACCTATAGCTAGATAGAGCTTTTATGAAGACAACTAGGATTAAGAATTCTCTATGATTCTTGATGCAAGGGGTGCTTAAGCACTACCTTTCCAAAATTACTCATATGCCACATCTTATGAAGCTCACCAATGGCGTCTTTACCCGATCCTTCAAAGACTCTAACGGGTGTCGGTTTATAACCACCACCGTAATTGTCAATAACCCAGCGAAAACCTCTCCAGTGCCTGTCGGCAAGGGCCTCGTCCTTAGGGAAGCTCAGTGTGGTGCCATCCGGTAGACTAAATTCAACATGAAATTGTCGACTACCCAAGACAGCTTCAAACCCCTCGTGAGGGGCTAGTAGTACTGTGGCCAGGCGGACTTCGTCGTGAGGTGGGATGGCGCTTTTGAGGACTTCTTGTGATACAGGGTTCTCAACACTTCCAAGTGCATCGAGACCCCAGATTACTCCTTTCGTTCCTTGCAGGGCTTGTTTAACCTTTTCGATAACGCCTGGGTCGTGGTAATCGAAGCAATAAGTCGCACCTAGGGACTTCAGGAAGTCATGCCGCTTAGCTGAGGCGATTGCCACGATCGAAGATACTCGGCTAGCCCGTCCAAGCTGAATGGCAGCCATGCCAACGCCCGTTGCACCGCCCCAAATGACCAGGGTACCCTCTGGACAAGAAGCGCCCTTATCAATAGTACCTTCTGCAACACTTGGCGGAAGTGGAAGTCGAAGATGATTGAAGAGCGCATTGCTGGCCGTCTGCACAACAATGGAAAGACCAGCAGCAGCTTGAGGGGGCAAGTTTTCAGGCACCTTGAAAACCCAGTCGGGGTCGACTGTGATGTACTCCTGGTGCGCAGCATGGCGGGAATCCCGAAACTTGCCTGCAGCCACTATACCAGCTACGATATCGCCAGCTTTGAAGGGCGTGGAGGTGAGGCTTGAAGACTCGAGAACCTCGCCACAAAATTCACCGCCGAGAGCATAGTTTCTAAGGCCAAAGAATTCGATGGTTCGCACATCAGACAGATTAACGCCTGAGTATAATACTTTGATGAGAATCTCTCCTTTTTGAGGGTTTGGGAAAGGAAGGTCGTGAATAACGACTTTGCCCTCTTTATTGGCGTAGAGGGCGGTACTTTTTGTAGGTATGTTGGTCATGATTGTGTATAATCAGTTATTCAATAAGTAATTGAAGATGCTCGATTTGCCTGAGAAATAGCTAGAAAGAAAGTTTCGACTTTTTCAATAGATTATAGATGATCTACATCGGCTAATAAAAGTCCGCAGTTTCAACAAGACACATCACCCTCCGCAAGTCGATTCCCTCTCCGCTGGTCGATACTCACTCCACAAACACCCAGAGTCCGACAAGCGGACTTTTGGCGGAGCTCCGGTGAATCACAGCCAACTTGGGTTCCTTGGGCGCATGTATAGCGGAGCGGATCAGACTAAAACACGGCTTTAAACCCGATTCACCGCGTGGTACCTTTGACCTAACCTTATGGGATATTATGACGGGCAGCTCGTAATGCCCGGATTCCCGTCTTGGGAGATATATTAAGATATAAAGTTACAATCAAAATTTTCAGTGATTGGATTTCAGTTACACAACGATTGTTTCATCTTCTGCTTTGCCTCATTACAAAGTCTTAATATTAGATTCCTTTGTTCAATATTTCGAGAAAGATGCTCTCGTCAGGAAGAGACACCCAGGGCCCTGGTAATCCCTACATACAAAGGCGGAACGACTCAAGAGTTCTAAGTTCTCAGCAGTCGACGGTTACATTAGCACTGAGATACACAATGATACATACGCCGCCATTTCGCCATCCAACTTCGATTTCGACGGTGTGACAGTCCTCATCACCGGGGCAAGTCGAGGGCTCGGCCTCGCCATGGCTATTTCGTTTGCCAAAGCAGGCGCATCTCAGATCGCTATCGGAGCACGCTCTGACCTTTCTGCTTCCTCGGCCTCGATTGTTGACGCTGCAACCAAAGCAGGTCGCAAACGACCAAGGATTCTGGAACTTAACATGGACGTGTCAGATCCTGTCAGTGTTGATGGCGCCGCTGCCAAGATCCGCTCTGAATTTGGTCGTCTAGACATTGTGGTCAATAGCGCTGGAATCCTCGCTGGCGATGGGAAGATTGCCGACAGTGATCCCGAAGGGTGGGCGCGCAACTTTGCCATCAACTCCAACGGACTCTATTTGATCTTGCGGGCGTTCATTCCATTATTGCTCAGTTGCGATGGTAAAAAGACCATCATCGTCAGTAGCATTGGCGCGCATTGCGTCTCGCCGACCTTGAGTGGATATCAGATCAGCAAGCTGGCCACTCTACGATTGGCCGAATTTGCTACCACGGAGTATGGAGACAAGGGGTTATTGGTATACTCCATACACCCAGGTAGTGTAGCCACCGAGATGGTGTTACAACAGTGGCCTCAATCTCCAGAATTAAGTAAAGGTAAGTTCTTTGAGCTCTCTTCATGTCCAGCTGGTCAACAACATACTACTGACAGTGCATTTTAGCGTTTGCCGATAAACCAGAACTGGCAGGTGACTCTATTGTTTACTTGACTTCTGAGAAGAGAGATTGGCTGGCTGGCCGATACGTCAATGTCACATGGGATCTCCCTGAACTAATGGAGAAAAAAGAGTGGATTGTGGCGGGAGACAGGCTTAAGCTTAAGATAAGTATTTAGCTGTGGGTGGTATAACCAAAGCGATCTTAGCGTAAGGAATACTAATTAAATCAAGAACAACTTATAAATTTAGTCCTGCTACAAGAAAGATACATAGAAACCTGTAAGAAAGGTACTTCTAATAATTGGGTTTTATATTCTGTCTACTTCTAGAAGCTGGTTCATATATCTCTGCTTGATCCAGAGTATTCCTTGATACTAACAGATGTAGGGTCGTCGTACTTTTATGATTGCCAGAGGTCGAAACCAGGCATAGCAGCCTACATTTCTCAGGCACTTCCTGGCACCCAGACTAAGGATAAGCTCAGGCGCGCTTAGGTTAAATTGGCATTGGTTTAAGCCGACAGATAGGAAAGGAAACGGAAGCGTCTAGATTCGTGTCCAAGAATGCCTGTTATTTGGCCTCATTCTTGGTAAAACAGAAACTTTTAGTAATATTCGCATCAACATGATTTGGTAGCACCTTTCTAGGCTGGGATTATATCTCACAAGTAGTTTTTCGCTGTCACAACATATATACCCATCCTAAAATAATATCCTCTGAACTACCTTGAAGTGCCCCTCGGCCGAGGCCAGAGCCAGTGGGGTCCTCCCTTCTTTATCTTTTATCCACGAATTTGCCTTGCCCTCGTTCAAAAGCAACTCAACAGCCCCCAAGTGCCCCTGCTTTGCAGCATGTCCAAGCGCAGTCATCCCAGCATTATCCTTGGCATCAACATCAATGCCAGGTTTGCCAAGCAACACCCGGATTATCTCTTCGTTGCCCTGTTGAGCTGCGTGAGATAATGGTGTAAATCCTTCCTCATCTCGCACAGCGAGGTTGGTTTGCTCCAGAGATATGAGCTGCCTGACTATTTCTGTTTGTCCCTGTATGATGGCCCAAAATATCACTGTCCTTCCTTTCTGACCCTTCATGTTCACCGCCTGTTTATAGTTCAACAGTAGGCTGGCCATATGCCATTTGCTCTGGTAAGCTGCAAGCAGTAGTGGCGTACACTGGAATTTATCCACCACGTTGAGTTTTGCTCGACCTGTCTGCAGAATCAGGCGCAACATATCCACATCTTCCATCCAAATACAGTTATGAACGGGTGTTCTCCCATAGATGTCCTGAGTGTTGATATCAGCCTGAGAGTTATCGAGGAGATATTTTACCAAGCCTGTATTACCGTCCAAACAAGCCAAAGAAAGTGGTGTACGGCCATCCTTATTCTTCATTGCAACACCCGCCTTTCCTGTTGCGATCAGGGCGCTTGTGATAGGAACAGATCTTGCCTGAATGGCATGATGAAGCGGTGTATTGCCATAAGAATCAGCAATGTTCAAGTCCCATAGATCAGTTTCCAAGAAAGCAGAAACTATGTCCAGGTCCATGATCAAACAAGCCTGGGCAAGAGGCGTTAGCCCACGGCTGTTCCGGCTGTTAATAGGCGCCTTTCCTGATGCAAGAAGCTCTCTTATCATCTTGTACGATCGTTTAATGACAGCTTTATGTAGTACAGTTTCGCCATGAGTGTCAGAAACATTCATGTCAACCTTTCTGGAGCTCACCATGACCTCCAGCTTGTCCGACCAATCCCAGTCAGTCTCAAGAATGGCCATTGTACATTCTTGAAAGCTTGAAGGATCATCATAAAGATCAAGCATCAGTTTCAGAGTCGAGCAAGAATTATATCGAATCACCCAAGAGTATACAGGGCCTTGGTCATTGACTCTGGCAGTAACATTGGCCATCCCTGTCCTTAATATCAGCTGAGCGATATCGTCTTGCTTCCAACGAGCAGCTAGGTGAAGAGGGGTAAGCCCAGCCAGATCTGGTATGTTAACGTCAGCGCAACCGGTTTGCAGTATGAGCTTTGCTATTTCGAATTGGCCGTATCGGGTAGCGAAGTGAAGGGGTGTCATCCCAGTCTTGTCTCTGGTATTGACATCTGCTTTGTGTTCCAGGAGAAGCTTGATGATTCCGCTATGTCTGTAATTGATAGCCCACATTAGTGGAGTCCAGCCCCAGCCATCCTTTGGATTCAGGTTTGTTTTCCTTGCTTCTAGAAGTACTCTCACTACATGAATATGACCGTACTTAGATGCGGACAGTAGAAGCTTTTCCCCCTCGTTATGCTCTGCGTTACTGGGAACATCTCCACGTAGCACCAGATTTTGTATTTTGAAATTTCCGCTTGTGACTGCGTACGATGTCGGTGTTCCTCCCAAGACATCGGGGACGTCAACCCACGCGCCAGCTTCGACCAGGCGTCGAACGACAGATAGGTGTCTATTCCATATAGCATAAGTAAGGGGAGTTCGATTATCTGAATCAAACTCGTTGATTTTGGCCCCTTGCCGAAGTACGATTTTCAAGGTTCGCGGGCCGATTGATAAGCCACGAATTAGACGCTTCACAACACCATCGTGGCCGTTGCCCGCTGCCCAAGATAACGCCGATCTATGGTAAGTCTCGTCCTTTTTGTTCAGCTGAGAATAGTCAGTCTTCAGAATTCGCCTCACAACTACTTCAAGTCCAAAATAAGATGCTGCCATCAAGGTTGTAAACCCTGCAACAACCCGGGCATGCCGACTTCTCCAATAAACTGGGAACCAAGACAAGAAGCAAGAACCTCGAGCATCACAGATCTCTAGTGCCACACTTGTCATCTTCTTCTGGTTATGAGCTGACAGCCGATTGAAATGATTCGCCCAGTGTTTAGCAGCATAGCTAATAAACGCGTTTTTCTTGGTATGTGTTGAGGGAGGTGGGACTGCAGTATACTGGTCCTTCCTTGGGTGGTTCAGAAGGAGACACCAGACGCAGACACTGGTCAAAGTCATATTAGGGTCGTTTGCGAGTATTGAGTGTTTCCAGCTTAAACTGCTGGGGCTTGCGGGTTCAGAATGGTCCATAGAAATCAGAAACTCCTTAACAGTCTGATGAAGAAGGAAGATTCGTGATTCGTTGACGGTAACCAATCCGCAGATGTCTCTTATCTTGTCACGGAAGCGGTCCTCGGGCTCCAACTCGATATCATCAATAGACCGGTGATGCTGCTGAAGCTCGAGGGCAACGATCATTTCTCCCAACGTAAGGGGGCGCTTTGCGGCAAGGATCAAGTGCAGCATCCTGGTTGCCTTTTCAGTGCTGAAGGTTCTGCACAGTATCCTCTCGTAGGCCTCGTTGACATTATGAGGGAGATGCGATGTAATGTCGATAATCTTCTCTTTGTTTATGTCAAGCTGCCGCTGGATCAAGTCCAATGTAAGGTGGGCCCAGAGATATGTTCGATTCCGAACACACAAGAGCCGTGTGACCAGTATGCCTTGCTCATCATCTGTGAGCTTTTGCTGGACTCCTATACTACTGACCCTTTGTCTTATAGCGATATCTATCTCCTTGACGATCTTTCTCATCTCAGCATCGCTCTCGCCGCTGAGGTGGATGACTGGCAAGTTCAAGTTCTCCAGTGGCTTGAAACCCATTCCGATTTCTCGGTAGGGTCGACTCGTGATGAGAAACTTCAGGTTCGGACTCTTTTTTGAACCATAGAGCTCGCATAGAGCCTTAAAGAAGTGGTTCCTCTCATGTTCATTGCATTCATCAACTGCATCAATGAGGCAAATAATTTCTTTATCAGAATTACTTGCGGCAACTTTGATCAGGATCTGCCATAGCTCAACAAATGACCCTATTATCCATTGGCCGTTGGCATCAAATTGTAAGAGGATCTCGTCCGATAGTAGCGTAGTGTCTTGCAAGAAGAGCTGCTGGAGGATGCAACTGAACGCGCTTAGGAGGCTCTTTTGATCGGTGAAATCATCTTTGAAGAAGAAATAGGAGATGATCCGGGAATCAGTAGTCTGGATGATTGAGTCAATGAGGTGTTTGACGAGTACGGATTTTCCACATCCGGGATCAGCAGAAACCCAAAGAATCTTTGAAGCTTCTTGACCCAGCCATTCGTGATAGAGATGATGAGAGATAAACCATTCGCAGGTGCCTTGGACAGCAGATGGATTCCGATCCTTCCGGTCGCGGTATGGTGAAGTTGCAAGACGTTTCAGAACCTGGGCCTTCCGTCCCTCTTTCCCTTCGTTGGAAGGTTAGAACCCAAGAATAGAGGTTGCAAGGCAAGAACGTATTGACTTACCGCTATCTCCATTCCCTCCAACAAAGTTTACATCCCCATGAAATTGACTACCGAGGAATTGATTGCCGCTTCCTATATTATTATACTGAGTCCCTCCGGAAACATTGAAGCCGTTTCCCCAAGTCGATATGGGAGTATCATCTCTTGGGCTGTCGTCACTCTTGCATACGTCGACTAATGTGCTCGTTTGTTCTACTAACTTGGTACTGCTTTTCACTGGTTTCCGACTGATAACATCACGTCCGGACTTTTCCGGGGAGGGGCCACTCTCAATCAAGGCTGTACTCGCCATGCCTCGCCTGACGACATGTCTCGTCATATGCGGTAAGGCACGGTTGACAGCTAGCGAGCGAGTGGTGTTATAAGCAGTCGGTATGCTTTTTGAACGTGTTTTTGATGTGTTATCTGAAATTGCCTCTGGGCGAGAGCTGAAGCCAAATCTGCACTGTACTTTATTCGCATTATAACTTAGGCTAACAAAGTAGGAAAAACATTGCACCCGTGGATCTCGATGAGTAACAGCCTTTGAGACCTTGACAGCTATTAGCATGGACCAAACCTGTTTTTTTCTTGATCTTTGTTTTAGCGTCATGGTCTTTCAGCTGGAGTCCTAGAACACCTTTGCCCGTTTTCAGAAGCAATTACTTTATGCGTTGTCAATGCGGACGCCCTGTTGTGATATTGTTGACAGCCTGCCTTAGTGCTGTTCGCTGATTGGATCACTAACACCACTTTCAACCCCAAGAGTGTGGTGGCGGTGCCCTCTTGAGATGTGACATAATACTCCATGAACAAGACAGGCCAACGCAGGAAGTCTCCTAAATTCTGTATAAAACTAACTACTTAGTAGATGGCAAACCAAAATAGACCGGCCCATCGAAATTTCCAAAGAACTGATTCCCTGCTCCCGTGTTGTTATGCTGCGTCCCTCCACTCACATTGAAAATATGCCCAGTTGTCGTTTGGAGGGATGGGGTAACATTTGGCGTTTTTCCATCCGACTCTAGTTCAGCCACAGGGCTGACAGTTGAGTCTCCCGTTCCAAGCATGGCATCCCACCGCACCAATTCCCCAAGTAACCTCTTGAACCCGCTTTCCTCGGCTGAGCCAAATTTTACCATGTCAGAGTGGTTGGTGTGGATGCTGAAGGCACTGTAGCCCTCGAGCGAGGCTGATTCCTTGCTGACGATGGTACCGACTCCGGGCATGGGCAGTTCTTCGAAGAAACAGGTGATTTGAAGAGGGCGACCAGTTTCTCGAAGCTCGCGTATCATAGATAGGAATGATGTTTGGATGAACTCGAGATATTGGTTGTTGATCTGTAAGACGTCCAATATGTTGCGATTCGTTGATTTGACTTGACCCAGCACCCAGGCCGGTATCTTTGCCCAATCAGCAGCCCACGAGCCCCGATGCGGAGTTCCAAGGAACGCAATTCCCCTGGTGCTCTTGTAAATCTGCCCAAGGTGAGACTCGGGACTCTGGCGTGAGATAATCAATGCTGTTTTGCAAACGATACCGCCAAAGCTGTGCACAATGAAGATAAGTGGCCGATTAATAATGCCAGAAGATGCGCGTTCAGCGGCGAGGTCGTGTAGTAAGTTATTGGCGTAGTCGATCAGCCGGTTCGTTGAAGAGACAGACTTCTTCACAACGTACGCATCATATCCGTAAGTGAGAAGACGAGCTTTGGCCAGTCGGGATGGAAGCAATTCGGCGGGCCAGGGATTGTGTTGACCATGGGCAGCCCAAGTTTTGTCGCGATTGCCTGACAGGCCATGTATAAAGCATATATCGATTTCTGCATCTGTAGGACTGTGCCAGATTTTGACGCCGTCTGGAAATTCAGTAAGGGCAGATTCCGCCACCGTTGAACTTGAGTTCCTGGGTCGGCGCCAGACTTGGCCGAAGCTCTTCATTCTCGGTATATGTGCTTTGAACCAGTCCACGATGATGTAAGGGGGGGCTATTTATAAGGGCCATCGTGCCTGGAGTCTTGGTTGCTTGCCGTGCTGAGATGTTGCTAGTAAATCAAGCTAGATGCTCAGCCGCACTGGAACTTGCATTTCAACACAGCCATCGAGCACCCGGTTTTGCTTCTGTTAAGCACTGAATTCATGACACCCCCTCCGCCGAAAGATGATTTGTCGAATGTCCAACATTGTCAAGTTTCTTTTAGTACTCATTTAATTATACGAATTTTGAGGCTCTCCTTTTGTGCAACTGAACATAACTTACAGTCGATTAATGGTTCAAATACTAAGTTTGGGACACAAGAAGGCATAATGACTTGGGTTATGGAACTGCAGTCAACTCTGGCCTAAGAATTGTAATCAAGAGATTGGAAATACCAGAACAAGATGAAGAGATGGCAGTCAAATCATGCAAATCAATTTTCCAATCTGTCCAAACGCTGAGCCCTAAAACTAAAAAAGAAAAGAAAAGAAAAAAGAAAACAAATTTCTCAAAAACAAGCAACACTGCTAACTGCAAACCTATCGAGGCTTCTGAAGTGTGCAACCTATCAAACAGATCAACCAACTCTTCTCAACCTATCTTACACATTTCAACTTCAGGCTCAGGAGCTATCCAAGTTCTCCCGCTCCTCAACATTCTCAAACCAAAAGCCATCCGCTTGCCGATCAAGAATCTCAGCACAGTCCTTACAGCAAGGACGGTACTCTCGTCCACACTCTGGAGCAGTCTCGGGAAAAGACTCGATACTCGCTTTCCCGCCATACGTGGGGATCATCTCCTTATTGCAAGTCCTTTTGCAAGCAACACATTCAAGTCCAGTCCTGCAAATAGGGCACTTTCTCTTTGCAACGAAGTCTACGGCGTAGTAGTCGAAGACCTGGCGTGGCCAGCATTTAGGACACATGATGTGTCCACAGGGAGCCACAAGAGCGATGTCGAGCTTATCATTGGGGTGAGAGATGCATTCTACGTGTAGCTCGTTCCAGCAGATGGCACAAATAGCTTTCATGGGTTTAGCGTTGGGGTCATCGGCGAGGATATGCTTCCGGATATTAGGCCAGAAATTCTCCGTCACGATGCCTTCGGCATTGTTGTTAGCGTGATTCTCAACTTGGGAGTTCAGGAGGGGGTTGGGGTTTGCGTTTACCTTTGTGATAAATTCAAGAGTCTGGAAGCTTGCGACGGGATGTGGTTGGGCTTCCTTGGTATGAGACTTGGGAACGGAAAGCCCTTTGAGCCATTGGAAGATGTTTTTGAAGGGAAACATGATGAATGGTAGGGAGATATTATGTGTAACCAATAATAGAGTCAATGAGGAATCTTGGTCAGATTTGTTGGGAACTGATTGCTCGGTGGTGAGTGTCTAATTAGGGTGGTGAGTGTGATTATATACGCTATTCTGCAGCGATGTATACGACTTAGACCTGTTCATTTGTTCAACAGAGACTTTACTTGTTTTCTCTTTTATTTGATATTCCTTAGTTTACTTTTGCATGAAGCTGTGATATCTCTGAACATGCGAAGTAATCGAAGATGAGGACAGTTCGTTTGCATGTATTATCCGCCCAAAAATCTTCTAGTTCTCCAAGAAGTGTGCGAAGGACATGAAGTATGTCCTAGAGTCGGTGTAAACACTTTGTTGATACAGGGCGAAGGCACTCAATAATGTTCAGTCGGGCTCTATGTTCTGTTTACCATTATCTAAGTAATCATTTTTGACCGAGTTGCTTAACTCGGACTCGTCATGTGCAATGCCCCTGCTATCTAACAAACCCAAACTCCATTCGGAACTCGGCCCTCTGGTAGATTCCACCATACTCTTAAACTCTAGATCAACATCGTTCCACTTGCGGCAGACTCTCTTGTCTCTACACGATAATCACAGGTTTCCTAGAGAACTCGAATCAGTATACGGAAAAGGGATAACTGGGAGAGTTGAACAAACCTTTCTCTTCGTTCTAAAGTCAGTATACAACGAATTCCAAATTATTCTCGTCGTACAGTCTTCCTCGCCACTTGTCATTCGTGTGCAATTAGGCTGTGCCGCAAGTCGATCTTCTTCAGGCATAGGTTTCCAAGGCTTCGGTAGTGGCCAGTCCGAAAAGTGAATTAGCTTAGCCTCACTATACGCCGCAGCAGGGTCCCATGTTTCCAGTTCTGAACCGAGATAGTGAGCATGCTTATCGTTGCGGAATTCGCCGCTTAGAAGGTCGTAGCGACGGTGTGGAAAGATCAAAGCACTATCTCCATAAAGCTGGTTGACGATTTCCATGTCGTACTCGCCAGACTTTACTGATTGCACTCTTTCCATGATGCGGGAGAATTCTGTCTCGGAAGGTTGGATAAGCATGAGTTGCGATGAGAGGATCTTCTCGGGTGATATCCAGTATGCTCGAGGCATAGCCACAGGTGCATCCGGTAGGAAGAATAGTTCATCCATTGCTTGTAACAGGAGAGAATCTGAGTCGATGGACAGTACACGATCATACTTAGTTTGGTTGAACGCCAGAAGCTTGGTGTATGAGTCTGCCCAAGTAGCTAGACAACCAATCAGCCATACTCTTTGGTCATGAGGAGGGTTACTTACCGTCACCTGCCCAGTTTGTCTGAATTGTAATCGGAACAAGTTTGACGTTATACTCATCGCGCGCTTTGTTCAACAGATAAGCATCACTTGAGTTCACCATCTCTGGCTCAAGCATGCTTTCAGGAACCATCATAACACGATCAGGTCGACTTCCGTAACGCTTCAGAGCTTCGAAGAACATGAGTGAGTTACACAAATACTCGCTGTTCGTGACATATTGCGTGTACGCAAAACGCGACCAGTCAACGTCTTTTTTGGCACGTGATAGCCATGATGATGTTCTTTGGCCTGTTTGGCTCTGAAGGTAGAAGATGAGAAGAGTAGTGAGAACGGCAATAAAAACAACGCGATTGCGCTTAGATGACATGATGCGATGGAAAAGAAAGACGCTGCTCGATCTTTGAGCTAAGGAATGAGATGCTCAAAAGATGGGGTGAAAGGACGACCTCGAGATTGACCCGCAATCAGAGAGATGGCAAAGAAAAAAAGACGATGTTTCAAAGAGGGAATAGTGCCTAGATTAAGACATAAGCAGAACGCAGAAACATATGATGAACAGTTCAGGGGACAAAGGAAGAAAGCTCAGCACATGCGATTGTTCACATCGTCAGTCTCGGGCGCTTAGACCCCTGTGATCGTCGATAAGCGCTGTGCTAGCCAATCGCTTCTTGGCAAATCGAGTGGCTGTTCGCCAATCCATGTCTTCCCCACCACGTTTCAACGTCCAACCATTTGAGGACGTTAACCGCTGAGACAGCTTAAAAAATGCAGAGACGGGGGTTATAATGGGTGGCTAAACGCGATGGCGAGACTTATTTTCTTCGCTTCGAGTTATGAGTGTATGGAGTCTATGACTATCGCGAGTTTCATTTATGCTTAACCTTACTTTACTTTGGCTTTACTGTTTTCTCATCAAGTTTTAATTCAACTTTCTTATTTTCATGCCTCATGACATGATATCTTGCTGACTTGGCATGGACTTCTCCTGAAACCTGCTTCTCGTGCCGTGTTGTTTGTTGGTTGAGCCCAACTGACCAACTTAGTATTTTTAATCATCGGGTGCCGCCAATAAGTACATATACCTAATTAAAAAACATCGCAGTCATATTTCCAACGCTTACCCTTCAGATAAAGGTATAGTCACATATCTGAGTGCCGTGGCTGAGAATCCCTTATGCATGTTGGTTGTTCTCTTGCACGACCAAGTGGGCCAAGGTAAATTGACCTGCTGGCGATGGGTCGCTCAGCCTGGTGACGCCCAAGACTTGGTTATCGTGTTGGTTGAGCCTTGCAAATTCTAATTATGGTTATGTGCTCGTCCCGCCCATTTCTTTCTGCTTCTGTCCTCCTGTGACTTTCGTTGCATGTGCTCATGATCCGTTGCTTTCCATCTTTATGATCTCTCTTCCGTTCTTTGTTACACTACCTTAATCAATCCTTTCGTTAATACCTCCCAAAGGCGGGTCATTGACCATGGCCTGGAAAGTCATCCTACCTGTGTTTGTCTTCATCATTCTCACGTCTGCTGCCCAGATCCCTCGAGAAATCCAATGGACAGACGACACATTTGGACCTGATGGTCCTTGGCGTGGTGTCAACGTCCAGATTGGAAGCAGTCCCACTTCCATTTCCCTATATCCTGGCGGAACCTGGGAAACATGGCTTATCAGCGATGATTATTGCGAGCGAGGAACTTGCTATGCTTCGAAAGCGGGTACTTACGACAAAAGAACCGGTGATCGAACTGGCTTGAATATTCTCGTGGAACTGGATGGTTTCATGCAAGGCGTGAACCTCGAAGGCGACACGAGTATTCGCTACAGAGACGACATAATGTTTGGTGAGATCAACACCGTCAACTCGACTATTGCTCTGCTTGATGCGCAGAAGATTAAATATCCGGGTGGTCAGACCGTACCGTTCTTCGCGGGCTGTCTGAGTTTGGGCGGTCCAAAATCCGTCAACCAATCTTTTGAACAACCTGATGGGAGACCTGCTACCAATGGCAGTATGCCACCTGGATGGTTTTGGGAGAACGAGTACACGCCCTCCAATTCTTATGGCATGCACATCGGGTCCGTCAAGCCATCCATAGCTGGGTCTCTCTGGTTCGGTGGTTACGACAAGAACCGCGTTATTGGGGAAGTCCTTACCTTGAGTGGAAGTCCGAGAGGTGATGGAATCACACTTTGGGATATTGCTATCGAAGGTGTTGGCGATCACTCGCCATTTACTTCCAAGTCCAAGGGTGATCTCTTGGCCAAGGGCAACTCTTCCATCAGCAGCGGTCTTAAGGTCACTGTGGACGGATGCTCCCCATACCTCACCCTTCCAAAGTCCACTTGCGACAACATCGCCGAACACCTTCCCGTCAACTTTAATTCGGATCTTGGCCTTTATATATGGGACACAAAATCAGACCAATACGACAAAATCGTCAACTCCGCGACCGCTCTATCATTCTCGTTCATATCAGACACAAACACCGACCCCGTCAAGATCAGAGTTCCATTCATGCATCTCAACCTCACTCTTTCTGAACCGATTGTCGACAACCCTATCCCCTACTTCCCATGTCATGTAAACAACAATGGAAGATACGTCCTTGGAAGATCATTCCTACAAGATGCCTTCGTCGGAGCGAATTGGCATCCTGATGCCAACTCCTGGTGGCTGGCTCAAGCACCCGGTCCCAGAGTTCAAGCCACGACAGACGTCACGTCAATTGAGATCAAAGATAAGACTATCAGCAAGGGTGGAAACAACTGGGAAGCTTCATGGAAAGGTGTCTGGGACGATGAGCCAGCGCCATCGCCATCGAGCACTCCAACCAAAGCGGCCAGTCCCTCAGAACAAGATGAAGTCGAGTTGAAACCTTCCATGCCGACCGCCACAAAGGTTGGAATTGCCGTAGGGGCAGGTGCTGCACTCTGTCTCATCGCTCTAGGTCTGGGCATTTACTTCTGGCAACGGCGCCGTAGAGCTCAAGGCCAACAGTCTGAGACTCAATCGTCGCTTTATAAAGATAACTCTGATGGCTTTTCGGTAAAGTGGCCTAGTGATCTACCACCACAGGAATTGCACGTTCCTAGGCATAAGCTGCCTCCATATGAGATGTCAGCAGATGAGAGACGGATATGTGAGATGTACGTTCATGAGTCACAGCAGAAACGACCATTGACGCAGCGATACGAGTTGGCTTGAGCTTGAGCGAGTTTTTGAAGCGAAAACTGTTATTTATGATTTCTTCGTACCATTAATGATTATATTAGAATAGATAATTGCTTATAACATTGTACCTTTAAATTTGGTCGTCACTGGATGTTCCATTATCTGATCATCTTAGTTTACATTGACTGTTTGGCAACTCTAGCCCTTTGACTATTATTATTCAATTAAGTACAACATGAGTCCTGAGATAACAAAAAATATATTATTTCCTTCCTAATCCGAAAGGCCTCGGTATGGTTGGCTACAGACATGGTCGTAAACTCATGGCATTTCTCGGTCGGAATGGTCACAATTGGGACAAAACTAGGGTAGTCAACTTAAAGCCCAAGCTTAAACAAGAAGGTGTGTCTCGGGATCTTTTGCGAATGGATGATAAGAGCTCATGGTTACAGTTACATCCGCGTTGTTGCAATCAAGTAACATCCCCGCACTTGTTGCGGAGTCAAGGCCGGATCTCACCAAGATCGGCAGAGGAAAAGTAAACAGTATGATATCCCCATTAATTTATGATGGGGGTAGGGAACTTGCACTCTGCACCTTGGGCTTGAGCATAGTGGCGCCATGTTGAGGGAATATCTAGTCGCAGGCATTCTGCTTGTTTCGCCTCTGCTGGGTGTAGCACAAGACCTCATTCCTCCAATCCTTGAAACAGCTGATTCTTTTGTGGAAGAGACTTGGTCTATTGATTCAAGTCCGAAGGTCATATACATCGACGAGAAGTTCGCGTCTGTATCGGATGAAGATGGCCTGACTCTGATTCCGCCTACCGCACACGAGTTCGCGACAACTTTTCAAGATGATCTTGCCAAGATCACAGGATCAAAATGGACACTGAAGCGCGCCGACAAGCTTTCTAACAATGCTAGCGGGATCTCTCTTGGTTCATACACCGGAGAATCTTCTGATCTCACATACGAGAACGGCAAATCGACATCAGAAGGCTACGAGATCATCATCAACTCCAATCGCGTCTTCATCGGTGGATCAGGCGCTCGAGGAATGTGGTGGGGAACCAGGACCTTTCTTCAACTTCTCCTAGCTGGCAACGGGACGATCACGAGTACCCTTGGTCGAGATGCCCCGGCTTATGCTACCAGAGGATACATGCTTGATGCAGGGAGAAAGTGGTACTCGAAGGACTTTCTCAAAGAGCTGTGCAGTTATGCTTCGTTCTTCAAGATGAATGAGTTTCATTATCATCTTAGTGATAACTATCCGCTGAATCGTGGCAAGAATGACAGTTGGAGGGATGTCTACTCGCATTTTTCGCTGTTACCGGAGGACAAATCGCTGCGGGGTATTCTTCATGGACGAGAGAACGAGACGTTATCGAGGGATGACTTTATGGAACTGCAGAGTCACTGCGCTTCTCGAGGAGTAACTGTCATTCCGGAAATTGAGGCACCTGGCCATTCTTTGTATCTCACCAAATGGAAACCTGAGCTTGCCCTGGCCAAGAAGGATTTGCTGAACTTGACGCATCCGGAAACCTTACCAACGGTACAGAGTATCTGGGAAGGGTTTCTACCATGGTTCAAGACGAAGGAAGTCCATATTGGTGCCGACGAATACGACGCCGAGCTTGCTGATGACTATATCACCTTCGTCAACAAGATGAGCCGTTTCATCAATTCTACAACCAACAAGCGAAGTCGAATCTGGGGTACTCACGAACCATCAAAACGCAACCAGACAATCGATAAAAACGTCATCATCCAGCACTGGCAATACGGCCAATCAGACCCCGTGCAACTCGTCAAAGATGGCTACGATGTCATCAACTCAGAAGACTGGTGGGCCTACACAAGTCTCAAGAACGACCACATGCCCATTCTCCCAGCGCGCTACCCGCAGTTCTTTAACGAGAGTCGTGTTTTCAACTTTGCGGATAAGGAGGAGTGGCAGTGGACGCCTGCTGATTTTAATCCTGTGAATACGAGTCTGCAGCTTAAGAGTGATGAGAAGAGGTTGAGGGGTGCTACATTGGCTGCGTGGAATGACAATGGTCCCGATGCGACTACGCAACTTGAAGCGTATTACTCTATGCGGAGGGGTATTGCTGTAGTGGGAGGGAGGGCTTGGAGTGGAAGTCGAGGACTGAAGTTGTTGGAGGAGACGAGTGATGCTAGTGTTGACTTTTACTCTCCTCGAGCTCCCGACCAGAACCTTGATAGGGTGCTATCTCTTGTGGCTAATGGTACGTTGGTATCGTGGACTCGTTCAGGTGGTGATGGAAAAGAAGTTCACCTTGGTCATGGGAGCAAGGGGATGAACTACACCCTCACACTCTCCGTCACCGGCCCATTCACCCTCTCCGGTCCCGACAATACTCTATCCCTGGATAAGAGTGGAAACATGGTCTTCACCGCTGATGGATGGGAGTACCCCCTTCGCAAGGTTACAAACGACGACGCGCTAGATCTTGACCCCGGAGCTCCAGGTCGTATATGGATCAACACTTCATCCACGCACAAACCTGTCAAGGTATCGGCTCCTGTTAACATCACTTTGGTGACGGACGTCCTGCATGGAACGGTTTTGTTCCGCGATGGTGAAGTGTTAGGAAGGTTTGAAGTCTTTGTGTATGGAGGAAGGAATACGCAGTTTAGTTGGAGTCAGATGGCGTTTGTTGCACCGCTGGATAAGATTGAGGGAGGTTTGGAGCGTTTGGAATTGAGTGGATCTTCTAACTTCACGGGAGCAAGTGAGACAGGTGGGGAAGAGCCTTCTGATGTTCCTCCAGGGAGTGATGCTGCTCGATGCTTGGCTTCGTCCGCGTTCATCACGTTAGGGTTAGTTGTGGGAGGCTTATTGCATGTCTTCTTTTGAATACTACACTAGCCCCTGAGGTTTTGGTCAATTATCCTTTGTAAAGGCTGAATCAAAATGGAAGTCAAATTTGTATAGGTCTTAGAATAGACACAGGTGAGTACCGCCATATATGTAACATGACTCTATGCAAACCAACCAATCACCATTCGACAGATTCACAATTTCCTTTCACCGTCTTAAAGATGATTCCTTCCGAACTGCAAGGCTTGAAATGGCGATGAAAGATATCTCGAGGCATTCCTGAGCTTAAAAATGACTCAATATGCTGGATCAATCACAGTTTATTCAGGTCTTCAAGACATCCAGTCCTCCCCTCTGCAACCCTTCACATACCGCCCCAGGGCTGTTATGGATCTTTGGCAGGTCGGGCAGAGGAAATACAATGATATCCATTGCTCTCAGAAAACGGCTATAGCTCATAGTGATTCCCACGCTACTCTTCTTCATCGACGGATCAGATGCGCAGGACGGCGTGGACATCAGCCTCCTCCGCTCGTTTCTCTACCATATGCTACAGGAAAGGCTCGGCCTGGCGAGGCATGTAACTTTGCTGATGAAGGGCGGGGGGAAGGCACACTATCTCCTGTCATCGTGTGTGGCTCTGTGGGAGGTTTTCAAGAAGGTCTTCACAGGCCCGGCATGAGGCCCGGAATGCTACCTGATAGATGGACTGGATGGGTGTTCCGTGGAATCCATGTGGTGTCTGTTCTCCAGGCTACGCTCCATCTTGGACAGCCCTCGTGACTCCGACTATGAGTCGCTGTCCCTTGAAGCTGATCGTGGTGAATTGTGAGATGCCCGGCCTATACCGGATAAGGGAGCCTCGGCCCTGAGCAACGCCATGCAACACTCCTTTAGTACCACGCTGATTGAACACAGTGGCGTAAACGTGAACAGCTGGGACGAGGGTGGCTTGACTGCGCTTCATGCAGCAATCCATTGCTCCGGCCCTACAGCGTGTCCGCATATCATAGACGTATTGCTCAGACACAGCGCAGATATCAACGCGCTGTCGAAAGCCGTCCAACACATTTTACACACCGTTGCGCAGTCTGGAGTCACTGTAGAGTACCTGACACGACTTGCTGCTAAGCTCCTGCAACACGGGGCTGATGCAAATGCCGTGGGCTCATCTGGCAATCCGGTCCTCTACACAGGCATGCTGAATATAGCCTGCTTTCCGCAAGCGTGGGAGAGGGGCCTCATGGATGTACTGCTACAGGGCGGTGCTGGTGCTAATGCTCTAGACGGCAATGGAGCCTCTGCTCTCCATCTCGCCGCGACGCACGGTGTCCACGCAGGCGTCATTATCTCAGGGCTTCTACGGCACGGCGCTGACCCGCGAACCAGATGTCGCGATGGGCGTTGTGTGCTACACTATCTTGCCAAGTTCACGGGGCCCCCTGATGTTGCCAAACAGCTTCGCAACCTGGGACTCGACCCCAATGCCCGTGACGAGCACGGCCAGACTCCCCTGCTTCAGGCGACGGTGGCAGGCCTTGTCAAGATGGTGCGGCTTCTATGCGATTCTGGCGTCGGCGTAAACACGCCCATCTTTGACGATGACAAGACCGCTTTCTTTTGCGCTGTGAGGTTGAAGACTGTCGATGCTGTGCAAGTCCTTCTCCAATATGGTGCTGATCTTCACCACCACGGTCACTCTGGCTACCACGAAGCAGCGTACAAGGCTATGAGCAACGGCAGCGCCGATGCAGCCAGAATTAACAAGCTGCTGATCGCATGTGGCGCCAACGTCAATGCTAAACACGGCTGCTGCAGACAAGGCCACGGGATGAGCGTTCTAGATGCGGGCGGCATAACCCGCGCCCAAGAGGAGTTTGCCCTCTTCCTCATGGCGAACGGCGCCTTGAGCTTTCGGTATAATGAGGAGTCAATGCTCATTCTTGTGTCCTGTGCACTTGAATAACAGCCTGGCACGAGGAGGTCACCTACTCACATGATCGGTGTGCTTGCAAAATGGGCAGGATATAAATTATGGAACAAATTGGCCAGAGGATCTTACAAGTCGAGTGCTGTAATAGCGACTGACCTAATAACTACTAATTATGGAATATCATCGTGAGCCTCTACATTCAGCCAAAGACCAGCCACGAATCAGCGGCAACCTCCTTTACAGCTTCGACTTGGGCTTGGTAATGACTCCGACACACTTGATCTCAATATTGGCGTTCATCGGAAGACTCTTGACAGCAACGCATCTACTACGGTCAGCACTCTTATCCCATAGGCATCCCGCAACTGACTTACGTTCTAGCAGGCTTGATTTCACCCCAGTACTCAGCATAGACTTCGTTCATCTTGGCGTAGTACTTCATATCAGACAAGTAAATGTTGACTTCAATCACATCATTGAGGCTCGAGCCAGCTTCGTCTAGAATGGCGCCGAGGTTGGAAATAATTTGGCGCTGAATAGGAATCACATTAGCAATTGATTCGGGATTCAAGAGAGAACTGACGTACTGTGTGAGCCTCAATGTCACCATCAATCATCTTCCCTGTCTTGGGGTCCATCGCGACGCCACCAGATGTGAAGACGAAGCCATTGGCGATGATGGCCTGGTTCATCAGGCTTTGCGGCACAGCGGGGGCCTTTTTCGTAGAAACTGGTGTTCGTGCCATTTTGAAGGGATGAGATATTCAATTGTCTCTTTGTTGATCGGTGATGGTGATGGTGATGAGTGAGCGAAATGTCGAAATGAGGGCGATCGCGGGGTGTAGATCTGTCATCCGAAGACCATGGATATCCGATCAGAGCCGATAAGTCTTTTGCAGCACTATCGTCAACAAACGAAATGCAGATGAGATGCTTCAGGGAATCATATATTATTGAGCAGACTTGTCACAAGAATGTTGTATACATTTTATAGAATGGCCCAGGCGACTTCGTGATTGCAACACTTACTTCCTAATTAGGCAGTTTTGGCACTTGGCCGAGATCGGACTCGCAACCATGAGCAGCTGAGACCTCTTCATTGATAAAAGATGTGATAGCAGTGTATCGTTATTTAAAAGTCAAAGCTGTGAAGGAGAGTCTTGGACCTCATGTAATCTAAATCTAACAATGTTAAATAAACAATACCGATGTGATTCAGAGGCTTCCCAAGCGTCTGTTCTGGGCTCGCGCTGTTCTACTACCTTGGCCATATCGACCAACAAGGAGTCTGGTACTACTCATCAATAACTCCTCGGCAACTCAAGAACCTTCTCACTGATATAGTTCAATATCATCTCCCTACTAACCGGCGCAATCCTCGGGACAAGACACTCCCTAAACCACCTCTCAACATCATACTCAACCGCATACCCCATCCCGCCATGCGTCAACACCGCCCTCTCACACGCCGTAAACGCCGCTTCAGCAGCCATGTACTTTGCACTATTCGCCGCGACCCCAATCTCATCCTGTCCAACAGTACCGCTCTCATCATCATACAACCTCGCAGCGTGATACGTCGCTAATTTCGCCGCTTCAAGCTTCATGTACGCATCGGCCAACGGATGAGCAATTGCTTGGTTCATTCCGATCTGTCGTTTGAACACAACGCGAGTTTTGGCGTAGGATGCTGCTTTTGAGAGGGCGGCGTAGCCGAGACCGAGGGCTTCGCCGGCTAGGAGGCAGCGCTCGGCGTTCATTCCGTGAAGAATCATTTTGAAACCCTTGTCTTTTTCGCCGATGAGAGATGAGGAGGGGATGGTGTAGTTATCGAAGAACACTTCATTGGCGTCGACTGCTCGGCCGCCCATTTTCTTGATCCGCCGCATCTCGAGACCTGGTTGGTCACGGTTGAGATCAATACAGAATAAGGACAGGCCTTCGCTTGGCTTCTGAACCTTATCTAACGGTGTAGTTCTGGCGAGAAGGATCATTTTCGACGCTACTTGCGCACAAGTTATCCAGATCTTCTGACCAGTGACGTTGAATGAACCATCCGAGTTCTCTTTCGCTGCCGTCTCTAAACGAAGTGTATCAAGCCCAGCGTTTGGCTCCGTGACTCCAAAGCACACTCTATACTCCCCCGACACAATCTTCGGAATAGTTTCCTCCAATTGCTCCCTCGACCCAAACCTGGCAAGAGGTTGCGTCGCGTAGACATTAGCATGAATGCTCTGCGCACCCGCCATACCGGCGCCCGATTCTGTGATCGTCTGCATCATCATTGTGGCCTCTGAAATCCCTAGAGCTGAGCCCCCTAAGGATTCTGGAAGTGCAATACCAAGCCAACCGGCTTTTGCGAGAGCGGCGTGGAACTCCTTTGGGTCTTGCTCATCTTGGTCATGGGACTGCCAGTATGTATTGGGGAATTCAGCGCATATCTTGCTGATGGCGTCGCGGACTGTTAGTTGGTTGTCTGAGAAGCCTGTTAGGCTCATGAGATGTCTTGGGGGGGTTGTTGAGAAGGCGTGTCGTTGTGCTAGGTGATTTAGCGATGGGCGGAGGTGAACGAGGCATCGTGAAGCTAATCGTGACATTTTGACAGTCGGGTTACGTATCATCCTCGGACTGAGTGTTTTCTTCTTCACTGCGTTGTGATTTTAATGTCAGATTGCAGTTCCAGTAAATTAGAGCAGTTGATAAGCTTGATGATGTTGAAGTATCCTTTGTGTTGAATGATGATGCGATGTGGAGAGCAGCTTGGGGCAAGGTGCCAAAAATACCCAGCCCACGGTCCTCTCAGTAACAACTAAGCTTACCTACGTACTTTTGTCATCTAGGAAAGCCTTCGCCAAGCCCCGAGGAGCAAGAAAACCTGACATTGAATCAGGGTGTCAAAATTAATGGTCTAAAGGCCTTCTAAGATATACTAAACTTACCTAAGTCTTTTTCTTAGTTAGGATACAGGTCCTAAGTTTTCTTGCCTCTCCCAGCCAAGGGATTGAGTGTCATGAGGTTCAAGACTTTTACTTATTTCCAACATCTAAATACCCTCTATATTACACAAAAATCACACTTTTCACGCCTCAATCTTCGACTTAACCCACTTCTCCAGACCGCCCTTGGCGATAATCTCCTGCACATTAGCAGGCAACTCCCCAACCTTCTGCTCCCACTGCTTCCCATCCTTCTCCGTAACAACAACCTTTGACCTCCTCACATCCCAGACGAACTTCCACCCCGTTCGTCGAGTAAGCGGCTTCTCGGTATCGTTCTTGTACGTCTCGCGGAGACGCTCGACGAGGCGAGGCACTTCAACGCCCATGAGCGCGTTGTTGATGCTGTTGCGGCTGAAGATGTTGCCGAAGCTGCCGGAGACGACGAGCGGGATCTTCTTGGCGAGGATGGCGGTCGCGGCTTGTTCGCGGGATGAGCCGCAGCCGAAGTTGAAGCCGGTGACGAGAATGTCGCCCGGTTGGGCGATTTTGCCGAATTCGGTGTCGTAGTTCTCCATGCAGACTTCGGCCATCTTCTCTGGTGAGATGTTATCCTCGTATGTGTACTTGCCTATCAAGCTGTTAGTTGAGTCGTCGGGAATGAGGACGAATTGACGTACCGGGGTAGATGCCATCAGTGTTGATGTTATCGCTGTCGCAGAAGACAATTTCACCCTCGACCTTTTCAGGGAAACCGGGGAGGATCTCAGTCAGCGACTCCTCCTCAGCAGCAGCAGCAGCAGGGCTTGCTTCTTCAGCGGCACCCTCGGACTTCTCAGCAGCGGCGATCAAAGCATCAGCCTCGTTGATGATCTTGTCGAGAGCATCCTCAATGGACAGAGCCTTGTCAGCAACAAAGTCACCACTTCCCTCGCCAATAATGACCTTCTCAACACCTTCGGGCTTCTGGTACCAGCCAGGGCCTGCGATCTTGCCTTGAAGAGCACTGGCAGCGACGATCTCAGGGCTGGAGAGGTATGCCTTGGCTGACGTAGAACCCATGCGGCCCTGAATAAGTGTTAGCTTCGGGTCATATTTTACTAGACGGAACAGCGTCTTACCTTGAAGTTACGGTTACTGGCACTAATACCGACCTCACCAGGCTCAAGAAGTCCCTTACCCAAACCGATACATTGTCCACATCCTGAAATCATGGGAATGGCGCCAGCTTCAACCAAGACCTGCCAGTCTCCAGCCTCCTCGGCAATCTTTTGCTCAGGGATGGATGCCGCAGAGATGTAGAATTCGACACCTGGCGCAACCTTGGCAGCCTTACCCTCCTTGGCAGCCTCACGGAAGACACGAGCAGCAGCTGCGATATCAGAAGCGCGAGAGTTGGTGCAAGACACAAGGTAAGCCTTGTTCACGGGGATGTTCTCGGCCTCGAGCTTGTTCAGGGGGGTGGCAACCTTGACGGAGTTGGGCCCTGAGACGATCGGTGAAAGAGTAGATAGGTTGAGATACAGCTCCTTGGCGTATGTGGCACCGGGGTCAGCAGACATTCTGTTCTGCTCGAGCTCGTCGATTCGCTTGTGGTTGATGCGATCCTTCGAAGAGCCGTTGAACATGGCATTAGTGGTGGCCTTGCCGCGGTACCATGAGATGAGCATATCGTCAACAGGGAAGACACCTGCGAGAGCACCCCACTCCGTGGTCATGTTGCTGATGGTCAAGCGCTCGTCAATAGTGAGACTCTCACCACCAGCAAACTCAATGGCGTGGTTCAATACTTGATCATCGCGGAAGAGGCCGCAAAGAGCAATAATGACATCCTTTCCGGTGACGCCGGGGGGAAGAATGCCAGTGAAAGTGACCTTTGCGACAGGGGGGACCTGCCACCAGGTCTGTCCTGTAGCCCAGATGGCGGCTGCGTCTGTACGAACGACAGCAGTGCCGAGACAACCTACACCTACATGTGTGTTAGCAGCCTAAAGTCTAACCTTGGCAGAGTATCATACCTCCATACATGTTACTATGGCTGTCACTAGCCACAGAAACTGTCTCTGGCCAAGCGTATCCTATCCGAGCGTTAGTGGACTATTTTATTAAGCCAGTTCAGTCCTTTCATACCCTCCTCAATCATAATCTGGTGTCCAATTCCCCTCCCGGCAGGATAGTTCGTAATCCCATGCTTCTCGGCGAATTCACGAATTAGAGAGTACTTCCGGAGGTTACTCTCTGACATATTTGACACGTCATGGTCTAACGTGAACACTGTCAAGGAATTAGTGGAGCCATTCCCTCGGTAAGGCGTATCCCATGGTAGGAGGTAGTTATCCTCTCTCCAGTCCCATGGTAAGACCTAGATAACATCCCCAGTCTATAGGGCACAACAACGCACCAAGTTGACGATTATCATGGATCTTAGAAGCTTGCAGATCGAGCCATTTTTTAGCTATAGGCCAGGTGTTGTCGTGACTCATAATATGCTGCGGCCGCAAAGCAATGTACGAGCCAGCCTTGATCTTCTTCCCAGAAGCGAGGCCTTCGGCGTGTTTTTGGGCGATTTTCTCTATGAGAGTCTGGGGATTCTCCACCACAGGCGCCCGCTGGTACTGGAAAGCCGAAGGATTAAGAGTAGACGAGCTCTCGAGTTGAGAATGGAAAGCATACTGTCGACGGGCACTCGGTGACGTGTAGGCGCGGTGTTGTGTGGCGATGGCGAGAGATCGGGAGCGGGATATCAAGGTTCGGGATTGGAGTCGCGCGACGGCAACAGCGTTGAGAGCGACTGCTCTCCTCTATACATATTGTCAGTATATATTCTAGAAGACTGAAAGGGAGTGGTCAAGAGATAAAGGGAAGTGTTCAAGACGCAGTGGCGGGGAATGTCCTAGGTCCCATGATGGGGACTCAGCGAGGATATACATACAAAAGCAACCATTATGAAAGCTCAATCAGTAACCAAGAGCAAATACCATACCAGAAAGTTAATTCTGGATCGAGACAGCGACGGTGTCGGGTGGATGGAACAGAGTGCGAGTTTTAGGTTGGGGATAGCTTCATGTTTTTTGTTTGCGAAGCCGGCCTCGGAGGATGGGTCACAGAAAATTATCTGGGGAAATCTGAGCGGAATAATAATGGAGGCGATGTGATTGGTCGGAGATTGAATACCCTTGTACCCGGAAGTTGACCGCCTGCCGAAAGTGGAGCCGGAGCTTTAACTACACCTCAAGGGCAGACTCAAGATGTTGATGCTTACAATTGCTGCAGAGAGAAAATATTTGGGAGTGAATTTGAAGATTGTTGGAATACATGTGGTTGAATTAATTGAGTTTCAAAATGTTGGTCTCATATTATTCTGTGAGCGCACTCGTGGCGGAGTCTTCCCTTTAACCGTAGCTTCACATGTCTACATGTAGACACTACCTAACCTGTAGCCTTGACAGTAACAATTGGAAAGGTCTGTTGTCAATAATTATAAACGACCCCTGTTCAATGCTCAGTCATGATGTTTTAACGTTTTTATAAAATATCGGCAACTTGAGCAATTGGCCGATCACCGACTGTATAACTGCTCTTGTCCCCTCCAAACTTCACCCCGCATCACTTACACATCCCATCATGTCTCTCCGCAATCTCAAAGCCACTGCCTCAGACGCAGCATCCCACCTTCTAGAAACATTCTCCAATATATCCATCATCCGCCGTCAATTTCTTGACGCAAACCAACTCCAAAAACTAGCTCTCACACTGAACCGTCCAACCCTCAACGGCAAGGACGTGTCTGAGCAGCCGCCAATTGAAGGAACACCCGTACCACCAGGCTATCATCTCGTATACTTCACACCAAATGGGACAGAATCTGAATTAGGCGCTGATGGAAGCGATACCACCTATAATGCCTCGAAGCCGTTTACGAGAAGGATGTGGGCTGGTGGTAAGATGACATGGGCTAGTGATGTGTCGCTTCGGGTAGGGGATCAAGTTGAAGAGAGGACGAGGTTGCTGAGCGCGACGCCGAAGAGGAGTCGCTCGGCGGGTGAGATGGTTCTTGTGGAGGTTGAGAAGGAGTTTTGGGGGCCGAAGGGTTTGGCGTTGACGGATCGGAGGTCCTGGGTGTTTAGACCTGAGATTGATCCTAGTACTGTGAGAGAGCCTCCAAGACCGCTTGAGGATGTTGTCCGTGGGCCGTCACTTATCAGAGACTTGGATACCAAGAGTGAAGGTAAGTGTCGCAAAGACTGCTAACAGATATTAGCTAAGAAGCCTAGGTGTTCCTGTTAGAGAACTGCGATGGTCGCCAGTCGGCCTCTTCAGATTCTCAGCCCTCACCTTTAATGGGCATATGATACACTACAATCAAGACTGGACTCGCAACGTTGAGGGTCACCCAGCTGAAGTTGTCCATGGACCTCTCAACCTCATCAACCTGCTGGATTACTGGCGAGACATCCATGGGAATGGCCAAACTCCAGGAGGTATCACATACAGAGCTATGTCACCTCTGTATGCTGGTCAAACATACAATATCCGAACCTCGGCGACAAAGGAGGCTAAAGGCGAGAAAACTTGGGACGTTCTTGTTGAGAAAGATGGAACGGTTTGCATGAAGAGCGAGATCACGGCATAGAGTATAGTGCACAAATTACAGACTCAACCAGATATCGAAGCACGGCCCCGTGTTCAAGAAAGAGATATCTCCTTTGTACACATTTCTAGATCTCTTCACCTCCTGAATCACACAATAAACGCATACATGCGACGTAGTAAGCATCTGCATTAGTCCAGCTCTACAAAAGCGCCAGCCATGCAGAACAATGTCCATTCCTCCGTCTATACCCAATCGCTCTAGCATACAAATGAACTCTCTACTCTACTCTACTCTAAACACAACAACTTTTTAGACAAGCAGCATGCGTGAAGGATCCTCAATGTACTTCTTGACGGTGTTCAAGAAGGTGACAGCCTCTCTGCCGTCAATCAGGCGGTGGTCGTAGGTCAAACTGATGTACATCATCTGCCAACAATTAGCTTGAACCAATGGATCGACTAAGGGAAAGACTTACAGGTCGGATGACAGCTTCGCCCTTGATGGCGACGACTTCTTGACGGATGCCGTTCATGTTGAACACAGCGGCCTGGGGGTAGTTGATAACGGGAGTTCCGAACATGGAGCCGAAGATACCGGGGTTGCTGATGGAGAAGCTTCCGCCCTCCATGTCCTCCATAGTAAGCTTGCCATCGCGGGCCTACAACAGTCAGCATTATCCTCCCAATTCATCCAAGAGAACTTGCCTTCTTAGCAGCAGAAGCAACCTCCCTCTCCAACTCAACAATGCTCAACTCATGTGTATTTCTCAACACGGGGGTAACCAAGCCCTTAGGCGCCGAAACAGCAATACTAACATCGACATAATCGCGATACGTGATGATCTCCTTCTCGGTGTCGATCATAGCGTTGATCTGGGGAACCTTTTGCGCGGCGAGTGTAGTAGCCTTTGTGAAAGCGCCCATGTATCCCAGTCGAACGCCGTGCTCCTCGGCGACTTCTTCCTTGTACTTGGCGCGCCAGGCGATGATGTTGGTCATGTCGACTTCTTGGATGGTTGTTAGGGAGGCGCAGGTGTTTTGGGATTGCTTGAGGCGCGCGGCGATGGTCTTGCGCATGCGTGTCATTTTCTCCTACAGACTCGGTCAGCTACGGGCGGTATGGCCGTATGTGCGGGATACTTACAACTCGCTCGCCGCGGGAGGGACCGCTTGATGAACCTTGAGCGGGAGGTGTAGGCTTGGACTCCTTGGGCGCAGGCTTGGACTCAGCGGGCTTTGAAGGTTTGGGGGCTTCAGCAGCAGGAGTAGATTGCTTCTCCTCGGCCTTGGGTTGCTCAGCAGGCTTTGACTCCTCCTTCTTGGGCTCCTCCTTAGGTTTTGACTCCTCACCCTCGCTCTTCTTAACAGAACCAGCATCCTCGCCCGTCACGATACGCGCGAGATCCTGACCGACAACAACGGTATCGCCCTCCTCAGCAAAGTACTCAGCGATAGCACCAGGCTCGCTAGCATTGACGAGAACATCAATCTTGTCGGTCTCAATGCTAGCAATCTCCTCATCCTGCTCAACCGCCTCACCAATCTTCTTGGGCAAGCTGGCTAATGTTCCTTCGGTGATGGACTCTGCCATGGGCGGCACGGAGACGATATACGAGCCATTGAAGATGCTGGAGTTACTGAAGAGTCGTCGTTGGGGATCGCGCTGGCAGAGGATGGCGCTGTGTGTGAGGCTGGCGATGGGTTGGGCTCGGGAGATGGCGACGCGTGATAGGCCGGAGAGGCCTGTTGCGGCCTTCATGCGCATGAATGAAGCCATTGTGAGGTTTTGGGCGGGATTGAAGGTGGGAAGATCGGGAGAATGATGGGATCGTGGGGAAAGCAAAACAAGTTCTGAATTAAGCGGGCCGAGCTTTGAGGGTATCGCACGGACTTGCAGTACCTTTGGAGATGTTTATACGGACAAAAGGGGATGGATCAATATTTACGGGATATAATAGCTAAAATTATTTTACTAAATGGTCAATTGTTTCTTAAATTGATGTTGCGTTGTTGAATCATAGGTATTGAAGCCAAATGAATGTTTTGCAATACGTCACTGGAGGTGAGGTTCAATTCTATCATCAGCAAGTTACAAGCTCTCACCTTGAACTGCAAGAGCTTAGAGGTGACTCGGTGAGTGGCCCTCTCTCCGTAAACTTCCCTCCCGCGGGACAGGCGGAAACACCCGGACGGTCGCCGGACATTGAAAACCGACACTGAAGTTCGGGGTGAATAGCCCGGCCTAGGGGAGCAAGACAACCTCTGGCATTGAATCAAGGTGTGAACTGGTCTAAAGTCCTACTAAGCTTATCCTAAATTTAGCTAAATTTACCTAAGTCTTTTCATCACTTAGAAAGGAGGTCCTAAGTTTTCCTGCCTCCAGGTCCTCAACTGCTTAGTGGAAGACATTGATAACCCAAAAGCCAGAATCCTTCCGTCGGCTTAACAGTTACAACGCCGAAAGCCCACGGCCAGAATGATTTGCGATTCATATAATTCCTCGTTTTGGATGATGGGCTCCGTACTTTGCGGAGCAAGGTGAGTTAGCTGAGCAATAGCTGCGGCAATGTTCGGCATAACGACTTCAGGTCATGTTATGCCTCAGGCATTAATGTTCAAACTCGTGATATTTAAATCCCCAGCGCCCATGTTGCCAATACCTTGCTTGGGTCTGGCTAATTCCGTGCAAGCGAATGCAACTGGAATGCTGAAAAGGTTGAGGCTGGCGGGCCGACACCGTTGTGCTGGTGCAGAACCCAAATTCGACCTCACATTGGAGTGAGACGCAGATGACACAACTTACGACGCAATGGACGTTTTGCTTGACAATCAAGGTTCTGTTGGTATTTATCCAGTGGTATCTAAGGTAAAAAAGAACTCAGCCTCGCTGATATCACATCCAAAACGCCGAGGGTCGCCGCCCTGTTTCATACACCATCATCACGCCGTTGTACAGAAACAGCCGTCTCTTCGTCAACACGGATCCCCGTCTCGCTGCTCTCATAGTCCTTCGCAGATGTATATTTCCTAAAAGGGCTTGATATCGTGGTTTGTGTACCGTGTGGCCATTCGCTTATGTCGTATAGATCTGGTGGGTTGTTGGAAAGTTCGTGTGTTGAGCTTCCGCCGTCGTTTTCGCGGGATCGCGTCTTGGATACGCTGGTGAGGCGGATGCCGTTGCTGAATGGTGCGCTGAAGGGGGCGCTGATTTGGGTTGATTGACCGCCGCTGTTGGAGGTGAGGAATGAGCCTGGGAGGATCTTGCGTGCGACTGGTCGAAGCATGGGAAGACAAGCTGCGAAAAGTCAGTACAGGTCAAACTGGCAGTATTCAACATGAACATACCAGCAATGACGGCAAAATTGCACTCGGCGATTGACCAAGCATAGTGCTGTCCCATTTGTAACGTCATCTCTTTTGAATCCGACTTGAACTTGAATGACTCAACGAGGACGAAAATGGATGCCAGACAGGTCATTGCACCAAACGCAAACAATGCAATGACAGCAACCTTCTGGCCCTTGGGTAAATGAAGTTTCCCAATTTCGATGGCGGGCAGAATAAGAATGGCGCAGTCGATCAAAACGTGCGTCAAAACCGTCGAGAAGAAAAACGTCGATTCGCGGATATGGCATTTGGCATCCCTCGTTGCTTGGTCTCCATCCCATAATGCTGTGAGTGGTAGACATTGCAAACACACCATGAAGAGTCGCAGCAGAAACCATGCCACTGTGATGCATGACAGGACCTGAATGGGGATTCGGATGTCGGAGAATTGGAAGAGACGCCAGTAAAAAGCGAGGATGGCGAATTTCGAGAAGGCGATGGCGAAGGTGTAAGTGAAGCTCGTCGTCCACATATGTATCCAAGCCAGTCGGTTTTTATCGTGAAACGTAAAGTCGTCCGTAAGTCCAACCTCCATTGGCTTTCCCAGTCCATCCTTGATCCATATCATTCCGTTCGTCAACAAGGCCAATGAGCCCAACTTGAGCCATGTCAGAACACATCATATCCATATGAGAGTTTAACATACCCAGCCAACAACGGCGAAAGCATCATCAATGCCATATCCAGCTTTCGTGATCTTCCTCGCAATAAGTCGGGCAATAAGAGCCAAGGTCGCGAGAGGAAGTGTTATGGCGGCCGAAGCAATGATATTGGGGGTATCATCCCTCATGATGCATCGTCGGCAGTATTCCTAAGGAAACAAAATGGAGTCCCCCGCAAAAAAACGACAATTGAGAAGTGGGAACCAGATCAAGAAGAGAGAAATGGGGAAGTATTAAAGAGTCGATGGCACAAAAAGCAGACCACCAGTTTGGCTAAGCATTTTCCCCGGACACCGACTCATGGAAAAACCGGACCATGGACCCAACGGTTGGGCTTGAAACCATCTTGTAAGGGGGGGCAAAGTGAAGAAAAAAACCGCGCTATCAACGCCCCTAGCGCCCCCCACGGGGAGACTTGATGCTCGTGATGATATCGATGCTGGGTCTGGGGAGTTTGGGAACTCGACCCATTTTTGAACTCCACTGAAACGGAACGACAAGCGTTGTGATTAGACAAAGTCAGGTGCTCAATAAGACTATCCCCATTTTGACTCTTGTTTTTGGAGAATTGATATGACGATCATAGTGGCGAAAAACTCTTCACCACCGCGGCAATTGAATGTTCAACTGCGAGGCATTGTCTACCCTGGTAAATGGCGCCTCGTGCTGACTATGAGCTGCCGCTTCTGGCGCTGTCATGGAACCAGAATGTCACGCATTGATCGCCTGTTGCCTCGTCTTCAGCTCGGCTTCCATGGGTTCCAAGAAGCTTCAAACAACCTACCTATTCGGGCGTAGTCACCTCGACACTTCAACGAACCAATGATGAGGTGGACCGCGACAACAAGATGGTTTGGGATAAAGTCACGTGCCTGCCTGCCTGCCTTTCAATCAGCATTATGCATTTGATAACCATCCTGTAAAAAGAACAAGGACATGCATGTCTCGCGATAGGGGTCCCAGCCCATGCTCTAGCTTATCTCGAATTATGGATCTGTAAGCTTTAAGATAAAGCCAAGGAAGCTATTCGGACCTTTAATATCCAGGGCCGCGAATCCCGCAGGGGTTTTTTAAATATCAACTTGCATATTCCGAGGCTGCCGACCGGTTGGTTACTCGGTAGACAATGAGTTTGTAATCAACAAGAAAAGTTTGACTGCGAAAATTAAACTACGGTGGATCGTTGCAGAACTTGGAAACTTAAATGTCTCGGGGAACTTTTTCGGGATGACGCATGCCGTTGAACTTTGAAGGTGGGATCCCGAGTCTCTATCTGCTTACCTAAAGTTGCAACTTCAAGGATCAAACTATTGAAGGATGTTCTGGAGACGGACGAGACGCTCCTTGGATCAACTCAAGGTCAATGAGTTCCACTGAGCTTATCTAGTTCCACAGTCGAGACCCTGAGGAGGATCTGCTTGTTCTTCGTTCTCATTGGATATAACCGTAAACCCGGGTCATCCCCGGTGGCGCCTCACTATCCAGCCCCATTCTTGGTAGAGTGGACCATTACGGTTGGGAAATTGGTTAGTGAATATTCGACGACATTATTCTCCGAGATTTGGTGGTGAAACAGAAGAAGAGAAGCAAGAGAGGGACATACGCATTTTGGTCAAGTTAGCTTAGCACTGTGAATAATGATCATATGATCTTTTTTATCCTGACCCTTATTATTGAAGCTTGAACTCAGGTGGGAGGATTCCATCAGCTTTTTATATGAAGCTCTTGTTCTCTTCTCGTGCTGCAACAGATAGCATTCCAGAAAATAGCTGCTAGGCTTGCCAGTTTGTCTTCTGAAAGCGTTCATATGATAGGCAATGGTAATAAATCATGGCAATGCTGGCATTATTATTACCATATTCTCACTACGAGTATATCATCAGGTTTAGGCTGGACTCAGCTTTACACTAAGTCTCGAACGTTCTAAATGACAAAAATGACCAAGTAAACGCCTACGCTATGCACGACTATCGAGAATGCGAACACCCATGTCAATAGCTCTTTATTCAGCATGTCCATTAATTCCACCCTTGATTCCTTCCAGAATTCCAGACCATTGACCACCATGTCGGATCTTTGTCACATCAGAGAACTGATCGCAGGCAATCTTGCGCATGACAAGCGTATCTTTTGCCTTTTTATGCGTCTTTCCGTTGCCATGGAGCAGATACTCCTCGAACCAGGCCTCCTCAGATTTGTCAAAAGGCAAAAAGGTGAGTTGGCTGGCGCGCTCGGAAAGCTCGTCGTTGGGGCTATCCAATACAGAGGCGATCAATTGACGGAAGAGCAACTCGCGAGTATGGGGAGGGTGCGTTCGGGAGTAGAACAGCGCTTCTGAGATGTTGGTGTTCGCCATTGCACCGAAAAGAAGCTCGAGTGCGGCTGAGGTCTTGAGAACTGGCTGCACGGCGTAGAAATATGACAGCGCAATGCTGTAATCGCGATCCTGAGCAGAGTGGACGAGCACGGTCATAATATCGTCGGCAAAGTCGGGAATAAGAGAGGGATGCGAAATGTACTCGAGCGCTCGCTGTAAAGTCCTGTCAGTCTTTGTTTTCGCAATCGCAAACGCAAAACATACCGAGAATTCCTGACGATCCAGATACCACAAGCCCTTCATGAAGATCTGATACTTCTTTGGTATACCTGACGCATCCACGAATGCATCAGAGACGCTCTCGCGGCCTGATGTTTGGTCGAAATCGAGGAGGATGTAGTAGAAGATCGAGAACTTGTGATGCGTCGACATGATGGCTTCACAGATTTGCTGATGCAATTGCTTCAACGCATTGTCGGTCTTGGGAGGGTAGATCTTAGCTACAATCACAAGTTAGCAAGTCGCAATCAGCTCGTGCGACAAACTTACCCTTTGTTATGCCCACAGCCCGTAGGACTCGATCAATGAAAAGAGCGCCATCAAATGTCTTGCGCGAATGTTCAATGTCTCGCTGGGTCTCACGATCGTACGGGTTCGCAAGACCCTCCGCGAAGACTTCGTGCAGGTTGGTGTAGTCAAACATTTTGGCGACGGGATACTTGACTGTTGTCGTAACACAAGCCAATGTTTTGATAGCTCGTCAAGAGCTTCAAAGCTATCGCGAAACGGGCAATCAAGGATCCGTCGCGAGATCACGTGACGAGAGCCGCCCCGCGGCCTGTGTTGGTACGTATTGTTTACACGACCGATTTGGACATTTCTAAACAAACCAACGCGGGGCGCAACCAATCTAATTTGTACAGCTTCCCTCGACACAACAACCCAGTCGACCTTGGTTACACCGACCCAAGCTGTCGCTTATTTGTACTATTCATTGTTTGCATACACTCCTTCGCATTTTTCTCTTGTCTGTGACGAGAGTATTCCTTCACAATGTCTTCCCCTGTTCGGCCAAGGCGCGCAACAAGGCGCACCGCCATTATCGATTCTGACGACGAAGACGATGTTTCCAACCGCTCTAGAGTCCAGGATGAGGAGGAGGACTTTGAGCCTGAGAAGCCGGCGCCCCGAAGACAGACTCGTTCACGCAAATCGACGACTCCAGCACCTACGCCCGCTGCTGCACCGAAGGCGAGAGGGCGTCCTAGAAAAGCGCCTACTCCAGCTGCTTCAGTAGAGGCTAGCGAACTTCTCGATGCCGATACGACACTAAAGGCAGAGGCGAGTTCTCCTGCAAAGGTTGCGTCGCCTCGTAAGCGGAAGAGCACAGCGAGATCATCGATCTCTTCAGTTCCCGACCTGGCCCCTCCTACACCGAAGCCAGATTCACCGACAGCTTCTCAGGAAGCTTCTGCATTGGCCGATATCACTGATTCTAGTGTGAATACTTCCGTTGTCGACAACACCCAGGCAACCATCAAGCCGATCAAACCTATGGATACCATAATGGAGAAGCCAATGGATATTGTGCTCAAGTCACGGACATTAGCTGTCCCTGTTGTTGAAGACACAACGCCCAAGTCTCGAATTGTTCTGACACATCTTATACTCAACAACTTCAAGAGTTACGCTGGCCGACAAGAAGTCGGTCCTTTCCATGCTTCATTCTCATCAGTTGTCGGACCCAACGGTTCCGGAAAGTCAAATGTTATTGACTCTCTGCTGTTCGTCTTCGGTTTCCGAGCTAGCAAGATGCGACAGGGCAAGATCTCTGCTCTCATTCACAACTCAGCAAAGTTTCCGAATTTGGATCATTGCGAGGTCGCTGTCTACTTCCAGGAGGTCATGGACCAGGTAAGGAAATCCTTGTTCTTTTGCGATCCTAGACTAACTTTCCCAGCCCGGTGGCGGCCATGAGGTTATCCCTAACTCCGAGCTCATCATTTCCCGAAAAGCTTTCAAGAACAACTCCAGCAAATATTACATCAATGGCAAAGAATCCAACTTTACGACAGTCACGACTCTCCTTCGCGATCGCGGTGTCGATCTTGACCACAAGCGATTCCTGATTCTCCAAGGTGAGGTCGAGTCGATTGCTCAGATGAAGGCCAAGGCTGGCAACGAACACGAAGACGGTCTCCTCGAATATCTTGAGGATATTATCGGCACCTCTAAGTACAAGGCGCCCATCGAAGAATCTGCCACCGAGGTAGAGACCCTCAATGATGTCTGCATGGAAAAGAGCGGTCGCGTTCAGCACGTCGAGAAGGAAAAGAACAGCCTTGAAGACAAGAAGGACAAGGCGATCGCCTACATTCGCGACGAGAACGAGCTGGCTATGAAGCAATCTGCTCTTTACCAATTGTTTATTCACAAGTGCAACGAGAATATTGCTGTTACAGAGGAGGCTATCAGCCAGATGCAGGCTCAATTGGACGCCGAGCTAGAGAAGCACCACGGAGGCGAACAGATCATCAAGAGCCTCGAGAAGGACTACGCCAAGGGCGCCAAGGAGTTTGAGGCACAAGAGAAGTCAACACAAGCCTTGGTGAAGGAGATGGCCAAGTTTGAGCAGGAGCGTGTTAAGTTCGATGAGAAGCGAAAGTTCTTGGACGACAAGCGTAAGAAGCTTGAGAAGGCTATCGCCAACGCCGAAACGAACTCTGCTGAAGCCGACGAGACCATCGAGCAGTGTGGAGAGGAGATCGAGAACCGGACCCAGGAGATTGCGGAACTCGAGGAACAGATCCAGACTGCTGAGGCTGAACTTGCTCAAATCAGAGAGAGCCTAAAGGGCAAGACACAAGCTTTCTCCGATCAGATTGCTGCCAAGCAGAAGTCTCTTGAGCCTTGGAACGAGAAGATCAATCAGAAGCAGTCCGCTGTCGCTGTCGCTGAGAGTGAGCTCAACATTCTTCAAGAGAAGGCCAACGCCGGTGCTGTCGCCCTGCAAGAGCTTGAGACCAAGATCGCTTCCATTGAGGAGGGCAAGACTGCCAAGCGCGCTGAGCTCAAGTCCTGCCAGGCCGAGAAGGCCGAGCTTCTGAAGGAGGCAGAGAACATGAAGTCGGAGCTCAAGGTCCTTTCTGAGCAGGAGCCCAAGATTCGCTCAAAGATCTCGAACGCACGCCAAAAGGCTGACGAGGCCCGCTCAAGCTTGTCTAACACACAGGCTCGTGGTAACGTGCTCGCTGCCCTGATGCGCATGAAGGAGTCTGGTCGAATCGATGGCTTCCATGGACGTCTCGGCAACCTTGGTACGATTGATCAGAAGTACGATGTCGCCATCTCAACAGCTTGCGGTGCCCTCGACAACTTTGTTACTGAGACTGTCGAGGCTGGTCAGCAGTGTATCGAGTATCTGCGAAAGAACAATGTCGGACGTGGTAACTTTATCTGTTTGGATAAGCTGAGAGTTCGAGACATGTCGCCCATCCAGACACCCGAGAACGCTCCTCGATTGTTCGACCTCGTCACTGCCAAGGAAGACAAGTTCCGAGCTGTTTTCTACCACGCCATGCAAGATACTCTTGTCGCTGCCGACCTCGCCCAAGCGAACAGAATCGCATATGGCGCCAAGCGATGGCGAGTCGTCACCCTCGATGGTGAGCTCATTGACAAGTCCGGTACCATGTCTGGTGGTGGCTCAACTGTCAAGAGAGGTCTCATGTCCTCCAAGCTCGTCTCAGACGTCAGCAAGGAGCAGGTCGCCAAGTTTGAGAGTGATCGCGATGGCTGGGAGACCAAGTTCCAAGAATTTCAAGAGTATCAACGCGAATGCGAAACGCGACTCAGGGAGTTGGGCGAGCAGATTCCTCAGCTAGACACCAAGATGCAGAAGATTGGCCTTGAGATTGAGAGCGCCGAGCGAAACATCACCGATATGCAACGACGCATGAAGGAAGTCAGCAAGGAGCATCAGCCCTCAGCTACCGACAACAGTCGCATCGCTGCTTTGCAAAAAGAGATCGCCAAGCTTAACAAAGAGATTGAAAGACTTCACGGGGAAACATCCAGCGTGGAGGATGAGATCAAAGCTCTGCAAGACAAGATCATGGAAGTTGGTGGTGAGAAGCTTCGTGCGCAAAGGGCCAAGGTCGATTCTATAAAGGAGGAGATCTCTTCCAACAACGAAGAGATCTCTAATGCTGAGGTCCGTAAGGTCAAGGCGGAGAAGCAGAAGATCAAGCTAGCGAAGGATCATGCAAAATCGTCCAAGGAGCTTGAGGCTGCTACCCGGGATCTTGAGAAGCTCGAGAACGACATCAACAACCAGGGCGAGAGAGCTGAAGAGCTTCAAGCACAAGCTGAGGAAGCCGAAGAAGGATTGGCCGCTAAGAAGAAGGAGCTTAAGGCGCTCAAGAGCGAGCTTGACGAGAAGACGGCTGAGCTCAACGAGACAAGAGCGGTTGAGATTGAGATGCGCAACAAGCTTGAGGAGAACCAGAAGGCTCTTCTGGAGAACCAAGCACGACTTCGTCACTGGGACGACAAGTTGTCGAAGATTGTCCTGCAGAACATTGACGACCTTACTGGAGGTTCTTCAGGCAGCCGGTCCAAGAAACCCAAGTCGCAACCCAAGCCTCAGACGGATGACGATGATGACGTCGATATGGACGATGCCCCTCAGGATGATGTGGACATGACCGACGCTCCCCAAGAAGACGAAGAGCAAGAGGAGGATCAAGAAGAGGAAGAGGACGAGGAGGAATCTGTCAATGGGCAGCCAAACGAGCTTCCGAGATACACACCCGACGAGCTTGCTGATATGAACGAGAGGACACTCAAGGGCGAGATTGCGGCTCTTGAGGAGAAGACTCAAAATGTCAACGTCGACCTCGGTGTTCTGGCCGAATACCGAAGACGAGTGGAAGAGCACGCTGCTCGTGCCTCAGATCTCCAGACTGCTATTGAACAGCGAGATTCTGCCAAGAAGCGATGCGACGACCTTCGCCGTCTACGCTTGGAAGGTTTCATGGAAGGTTTCAGCGCCATTTCCCTCCGACTCAAGGAAATGTATCAGATGATCACCATGGGTGGAAACGCAGAGCTCGAACTCGTCGACAGTCTGGACCCCTTCAGCGAAGGTATTCTCTTCAGCGTCATGCCCCCTAAGAAGAGCTGGAAGAACATCAGCAATCTTTCCGGTGGTGAAAAGACGCTCAGCAGTCTGGCTCTCGTTTTCGCTCTGCATCACTACAAGCCTACTCCTCTGTATGTCATGGACGAGATCGATGCTGCGCTGGATTTCAGAAACGTGAGTACGACCCTAACCCAAGACACTCGGCTACAATTCGACCACACTCGCGCGGGCATTCCACATGCGAATCCACCTTCAATTCTGATTGAACCACTATGCTAACACTCAACGCAGGTCTCGATCGTCGCAAACTACATCAAAGAGCGTACCAAGAACGCCCAGTTCATCGTCATCTCGCTGCGCAACAACATGTTTGAGCTTGCGGCGCGGTTGGTGGGCGTGTACAAGGTCAATCATATGACCAAGAGTGTCACTATTGAGAACAAGGACTACATTGCGAGACCGCCGGGACACTCATCGCAGCAGCGGACGCAGGTTGGGGGTAATACGACGATATTGCCCTTTCGGTAAGGGTGAGAGGGCTTGTATATGACGATGATGATGACTATGGATATGGCTTTGGCGGGTATTTTAATGATATGGTGGCTAGACTTATGATATATCCAATGTTTGGTGTTTTCTGATATCCCTCATCTTTGACCTCTCCTCGACTCACCGATACAGAACCTCATCCGTCTGGGAACAATCCCGTTGTGTCCAGCTAACCTTCACATGCCAAGCCACTCTAACTCATCTTCCCTTTGCCATCTCCCAATACACCGTGAGAAAGACTCAACCTGAACCCGGTCCTCCCCATCCCGCCACTCGTATCACACTCGCGTCCCACGATCCAGGAACCAACTCCCGTGTCACCGAGCGCGTCTAGACCTGAGAACCTGGGACATTAAGGATCCCCAAGCGAACCCCTGCAGATACCCGCCTCGATCTCGCAGATGTAGATGCCGTACCACGCACCAAGTGCCGGTCTTCTCGGCTCTGTATGTGTGTCTCGGCAGATTATACGTGGGCGGCCTCGAGGACTGAAGATATTGGGATATGGTTGCTGTACGTCCTATAAGTAACGCCTACAATCAAGCCAAGCTTTGGCTATTCTCATTCATCGCTATACACTCGTTTACGCATCATGTTGATGCTACTCCCGCTCGTCGTTCACTTGGTCACTGCCTTTCCTGCAAACTGGAACGAATCGATCGCTTGTCCACATGATGATCTTTACTCATCACTCATTCAAGATGATGGCGAGTTTTGTTCTAGTGTTCTTGAGGGGAATCATTGCGGTGCGGGATATACTACGCCTGCGGAGTATGTGAGGTATAATCAGACAAGGATAGCTTCATATGTGAGTGGCTCGTGATAAGTTTGGATGATTGCTTATGAGTTTCAGTGCGAGTGTATTGTGACGAGTGCGAGTTTCAGCACTACGAATGCAGATGAGCCTAGGACGAGGGGGTATTCGGATTCGACGGAGGTGTCGGTGGGACAGCCTGGGTCGGGGACGTATGCTGAGACGACGGCTGGGGGAGCGTATTCGACGACTGAAGCGTCGTGGAATCAGACTGCAGCGTCTGGTGGAGAGACGACAGCACGAGAGACGACTGGAGATGTTCCCAGGACGACATACGCCAACAGCAGCAGTCCAACTACAGGATCAGCCAGCGAAAGCCTTACAAGATCAGGTTCAGCAGCTTCATGGAGCACCACCACAGAGTCACCAGCAGATACCCAAGATCCCTTCTCAGCATCCTTCTCAAGCCAAGACCGAGCACCTACTTCATCTCACTCCCAATCTGGCAACCGGACCCAAACTCTCCAGTCCAACACGGGTGTAACATCCCAACTATCAGATACCCGAACGACACGATCTGGCACTGCAACCGATTCGCCACCGTGGTCTTTTCCTGGTATCTCGACGTCGAGTCCTGTGGAGAGTGGGACACGTCCGACTGGGACATTGACAGGGTGGAACTCGAGTATGACTGCCCCGAGCGGCGGTATTTCTGGGACAGGGCCTTTTGTGCCTATCCCTACAGAGTCGGCTCTAAGTGTGTCTGTGACCACTGGGTCTAGGACAACGGGTGAGAGTGTAGGGCCAGGTTGGAATACGACTTCAGCCTCAACAGCGAATGGTTCGATTCCAACTGTCAGTCTCTCAAGTGGGAGTTTTGTACCATTTCCTACAGGCTCGGACTTCACTAGTTCTGGGAGCTCGTCGAGTGGTAGTGTGGCTCCAAGTTGGAACACCACGTCAGCGTCGAGAGGCAATGGATCGGCTCCGACTACCGATATCTCCGGTGGAAGCTTCGTACCCTTCCCTACAGCCTCGGCTTCTACCATCACTGGGGCCTCATCTAGTAGTACTATATGGCCAAGTTGGAATAGAACTACCTCTGTTTCGATGGGTAATGGCTCAGTACCAACAGTCAGTATCTCCAGAGGGACGTTCGTGCCGTTCCCAACGGCCTCGGTTTCCGCAAGCTCTGGTGGTTCATCAAGCGGGAGTGTAGGTCCAAGCTGGAATGGTACCACGTCGAGAGGTAATGGCTCGGTACCGACACTCAGTATCTCGAGTGACACATTCGTTCCGTTTCCAACGTTGTCTCTATCAAGCCAAGCATCTTCGGTGGTCACAAGCTCGGGGAGTAACTTCGGACCCAGCTGGAATAGCACGTCTCTTCCTTCTGGAGGAAACACATCTGCAACCGTAACTAGTGGTTCCAGCGGGAGCTTGGTCCCTTTTCCAACGTCGTCAGCTTCGGTCCAAACGTCTTCAAGGGGGGTTACTTCAGGGACCAGCTTCAGTCCCAGCTGGAACAGCACTTCCCTCCCATCAGGTGCTAACTTGTCAGTACCAACTGTAAGCACCAGTGGTTCATTTGTGCCATTCCCAACGGTATCACTCCCAGCTTCATCATCCTCAGTAGAGGCGACGACAGGGAGCAGTTTGTCTCCGAGCTGGAACACCACTTCTCTACCTCCTGGCGGGAATTCCTCAGTACCAACCATCAGTACAGCCAGCGAATCTTTCATACCGTTCCCGACGGTATCACTGCCGAGTCAATTCTCGTCAGCTGAAGCAACATCGGGAAGCAGTCTCTCGCCAAGCTGGAACAACACTGCTCGACCATCCGGTGGCAACGTGACTATACCGACCATCAGTATATCCCCATCCCAAACCTTTGTCCCGTTTCCAACTCAGCCTTTCCCAAGCGACACGCTCACAACGGGCCCGGAGACTAGTGGTAATCAGTTCCCCAGTTGGAACAGCACTACCGCACCAGGGGTTAACTTCACTATACCCTCCATCAGTATAACTCGGGGTGGGACGTTACAGTTTCCAACACTGCCGTTGCCGAGTGAGTCGATCACGACTGAGCCTGGGAGTGGAACAAGCTCGATGCCCGAAAGCAGCGCAGTTCCGAGCTGGAATGGCACCACTTCTGCGCCTGGAGGTAATGTCTCCGTCCCGACGACCAGTTTATCGCAGACTGGGACGTCATCGCTGGTTCCGTTCCCAAGTGTATCTTTGCCGACCGTTTCTCAAGCAACGTCAGGCTCGGGCCGAAGTGAGACTTTGGTGACTGGTTGGAACACAACAACTGGGCAATCTGAGGGCTCTGGTTCTGTTTCGACTGCCGGCTCTTTTGAGTCTGGTTCAATCGTGGCTCTTTCAACAGAGTCAGAGATTCTTACCAGTTCTCAAAGCGGCGGTGTTGGCTGGAACATCACGTCGTCCATCTCAGGCGTCATCTCCCTCCCAACCATCAGTGTACCAACCTCTGAAATTCCAACGCCGCCTTTTCCAACAGGTTCTTCAGAGGTGCCCAGCACTACTGCCAGTGAAAGTGCTGTTCCGAGCGGTGACACTACGGGCTCTGCACCAGGAAGTACTGGAACCGTTACATCCGTCTCGAGTCCTGTGGCTGCAACTTCAACGTCCGGCGCCTCCAGCGGCCCCGCGTCACCAGGCAGTAACGTAACAACAACTGGCGTTCCCGAGTTCCCTGCCGCCAACTTCACCCACGTTACACGCACCGCAGCCATCTCGCAAGAAACATGCTACACTCTCCCCAACCCAGACGGTGATTCGACCCGTCGAGCGTTGCTATACAACGCCAGACTCCGAGAAGACAACGTCTCAATCCCCATTCCTTACATCGAGTCTGTTGAGTTTGAGAAGGATGGCGTTAATCCGCTGTATCTCACTGTCCGCGATGAACAAGGCGGGATTTACTATGTCGACATTTCTCATCGTGGAAGGCTTTCGGTCGTTGATCCTAACGGGTATCTGGTCGCGCTTGATGCTAAGGGGATTCACTTCTCGGGGAGTAACTGCACGTACGACATATCAATCTCGATTGACGATATGTACGAGCAGATTGCCGACTTGGCGGGTGTACAATGTGCTGCACTCAAGCACGAGCGCGCCGAGGACTTGGACTTCAGTCAGGTTCTGTACCTACATGACCAATGCGGGACTCCCGTTGACAGGTCGGTCAGACAGTATCCTCAGCTTCTCGTAGGCGATACAGTCTGTGCAGATGTCGCTGTTGACGATGATACTGGACGTTGGGACTTTGAGTGTACGTTTCCGGGATCTGAGTCTGGCTCCTTGAGATGTCAGTTGGCGATCAAGAACAAGGTCGTCGACTTCATCTCCACAGATCCGTTCGGCGGTGCATGTCCTGACTTGTCCACTGTCGTCACCACGCTTGAAGAATCAGGACAAGACATCGTAGACCCTGAACAGCTTCGCAAAGACTTTGCCAACCAAGGTCTGTCCAGCGACAGAGCAAAGCAAGAGGCCGATGCAGCTGTCGTGGCATACACTCAACTCTGGCAAGCTCTCGGAGCAATTTTCACCAAGAGCACAGAGGCTTCACAGGGTGCTTTGGAAGATTACATCGACGTATACAACACCCGTCGAAGCTTCGAAAACGACATCTGCCAATCCCTCCACGAAGGCGAAATCCCCCTCAACCTAACCCTCATCGCCGGCGCAACACGCATCCCCGCCATAACAACCCTCAACTGGGCCCCCGAAACAACAAAACCCTACAACATCACAGTTCAGGACTCATCACGCATCGCCTGCTGTCACAACAGCGCTGTCGCAGAAGGAGAAGGCGCTACATGTTCATATCCCCGCGACGCTGTCATCCCAGGCACGGGCTGTGTCTGCGGTAAGAGTGCTGCGGGTGTAGGCATTGCATTTGAGTGGACAGAGTGTACGAATTACAAGGGAAGTTGTGAAGCTGATGGGGATTGTGGGGATGGGTATTTGTGCTTGACGGGAAGCTGTTGTGGTGGGGGTGTTTGTGTTGATGCGTTTGCTTGTTCGCAGAATGGGACGGATTTGGTGCAGCAGTTTGATGGAGGGTTTTAGGGTAGATTGGGTGTATAATATTTAGAGAACAATCAGCAACGCAAGGAGGAGTAATTCGTTGAATAATTTTATCTAGGCATCGTCGCCTTGCTTGAGGATTTTGCTTTATGTGTTGATTGGCTTTCAATATCTAGTCATGGTGCGCTATGGGTTGGTTGTCGCAGAAATGTCATCTCAATTTGTGTATAACCTCATGTTGGCCCATGGAGTTCACCACAATAAACTATGAACACTCAAATTGCAGGACATAACCATGGAATCGCGCACAGAAAAAGAATGGTCGACTTCTACATGATCTTCAAATGCTCCCACAGCAATTGAAACATCCAAAGTAACAGCAAATGGGTGTCCGCCGACCGGCAATATGAGCCTGGCAACAGTTTGCTTATTGGGATCATATCGACGCCTTCATCTACAGGTCATTGGATGCGACGTGACACTCGGCCGCATACAATCAACATTTAAGCCAAAAACAGTCACATCAATCACACAAAGCGAAGGGAGGAACAGCAAGATATTTGTCAATGACGTGTGGACATCAAACGTCGTCCGATTGAATTTTGGAATCTCTTAGACTCATAATCCCAAAGGTATTCATCCCATCCGTTATTTTTTGAATGATGCTATCATAACCGGACTCCATCCCAAGACAAGCCATATCAACCCATTTAAGCCTTAGGGGCAGTAGGGACGATCTTCTTGCCGTCCTTGTTGTAGCGGACGCGAGGGGGAGGGGCACGGTTGCGTCGGCCAACGACGGATCGGACACTGTGATAATCTGGTCAGCTCAAATTCGGTGGGGAGAACGTACTGGGAGTGTGGCATCAACTGCGCAGCAGGCTGGGAGTGTGTATGGTTTCATAAAAGTACTCCAAGGCTCATCTGAAGCACATACGCAACCAGGGCGCAGTTGTCACACTCCCGGGGAGGACAACGTACCGGACAATCTTGCCGTGAATGGCGCAAGAGACGCAGTACTGCAGCTTCAGGTACATCTTGGGCACGGTGTACTCCGCGAAGACGGAGGCATCCGAGATGTCACCTGTAAATAATTGTAAGCGAGTGATCGAGAGAAGCGAGGAGTGGGAGGGGACGTACGAATAGCAGCAGACTCAACCATGTTGCGGATGGTGAATCTCTTGATCGCCTTGTCCTTGGGGGTGCATCGCGAGCAGTTGCTGCATCGGATGGGCTTGACGTGGCCGCGGCCCTTCTTGTTTCGGCCGCTGGAGAAAGCTTGTTAGTAACTCGGTTCAAAGTGTGAAAATATGTGCCGTTCAATCGTTGTCGAACATCATCGCGACGTTGGTGTTGTTCGTCTCCGTCGGCGATGATGGTATGCGATGCGATTGCAGGCGGATGGGGGGGGAAGTCGTACTTGTTCTTTCTCTTCTTGACCATTTTGACGGTTGCTGCTGATGTAAATATTCAGGTCCACGCAAGTGAAGAGAAAAGGAAAAAGAAGAAGAGAAGAGGCGCACTCTGAAATGTGCGTTTAGTCGATTGACGTTGAGGGCCAGTCCACTTTTTCGGTTTGGTGGGCAGTAGGGCAAAGCACTCCCGAATCTCAAGCGGATCGCCTGCAGAGACGGCTGAGGTCAGCGGATCCACCGCACCAGTTGGACGAGGGGCGTGCTGAGTGACCGCAAAAAAGTGAAAACCCTGAATCATGTGACCGACCCCACTGGATGGGCTGGTTGTAATTTCTGAACGGGCGCTGCCCTCCACCAAAAGTCGATCTTCTTCAACCCCAATTCGCACCATCTGAGGATTGCTTAGGAAGGCAATAGTTTTTATTGTCGAGGTACGTCTGAAAGATGCTGCAAATACCCGTCTCTGTGAGGGCTTCATTGCCTTTCACTTGAGGATTGCTCTTTTGTTATTTCGAATCGCAATTCTCTCTGCGCGCATGCTCGACGCTTTTTTCGACCTTGAGCCTCTTTTCGTTCATCTTCGAGGAAAACTAGAGTCATCGCACAAAAACGAGACAACACTCCGCCCGACGCAGCCGGACATTTGTGCTTCATACTTGGGAGAACCTGGATTCTAACCGTCTCAGTTAGGCAAGATGCAGATTTTCGTCAAGACCCTCACGGGGAAGACGATCACCCTTGAGGTGGAGTCTTCCGACACCATCGACAACGTCAAGTCCAAGATCCAGGACAAGGAGGGCATCCCCCCTGACCAGCAGCGACTCATCTTTGCTGGCAAGCAGCTCGAGGATGGACGCACCCTGAGCGACTACAACATCCAGAAGGAGTCCACCCTCCACCTGGTCCTCCGCCTCCGTGGTGGTATGGCCAAGAAGCGCAAGAAGAAGGTCTACACCACCCCCAAGAAGATCAAGCACAAGCGCAAGAAGACCAAGCTGGCTGTCCTCAAGTACTACAAGGTCGACTCCGATGGTAAGATCGAGCGACTTCGACGCGAGTGCCCCAGCGACACCGTAAGTTCCCTGCATCTCTGTTGGTTTGATCATTTGAGACTAACTGACTCTCTAGTGCGGCGCTGGTGTCTTCATGGCTGCCATGCAGGACCGCCAGTACTGTGGTCGCTGCCACCTCACCTACGTCTTCGACAAGCAATAAATGCATGACCAAGGGACTTGAATTGGGATTGATGACGGATCGGATTGGGTGCCAAAAATGGGCGTTGACGGGCTTTTGTAGCATAAAGCACATCCGGTTTCTGAGATAATGCATGCTTGATTGAGACGACAAACTTGTTAAATCACACAGCCGTTCTCCCCTGTGACTTTCCCTGTGTATGGATGTCTCTGTTTGACATGATCATTTGCCACTTAAAGCTGCACCAAAATTCGCCGTCTGGGATGCCCTTTGTGCGCCTCCATCGAGGCCTGCTCTACAACACCCCAAACTCATTGCAAAATTGCCAAGACCCTCGTAATCGATCATTCTTATCAGTCCTTATCAGTTGAATTTCGCAGCCTCGCATGAATTTCTTGGTGTCCACTGGTGAATTTTTCATCCCGCCAGAGCCTCGTTTGCCCTGGTGGGGCATGTCCTCAACACCAATAAATCAGACATGGATGGCTGGAGAGCACAGCAGAAGGTCTCAGATAGCATACGTTAGCTACCATAAAATGTCACTCATTCAGTTGCTATTGAGTCTGTCTTGTACACCATCAACCATTGTGTCTTCATCCACACCATGACAGCGTACACTCACAGCTGTCCATGGCCTACATTCACAGTCCCAATCACGATAAACGTAGTCTTCAGTGAATTTGCATGTTTTTGTAAACAAAGGGTATGAGTTTTCCCTCGTAGTGAAAAACAGTCTTTTACAATCAAGCCAAATGCCCTCAAACGCCCAAAAGCCATAAGCCAGAGATCAAGATCCTACAAAAACTCCTCAAACAATTGCGCAAGGGCCCTGGAAGCAAGTCTCCCGCGCCATCCATCGCTTTCGCCGCCCTGAGACAGGGCGGTGCTTCTGTTGGAGCGAGTCGTGTGAGACTCCGCGCGAGGAGATTTTGCTGGGCGGGAGACGTTGACCAGAGTCCGACTACCCTTGCGCAACGTCTATCATGACTGAAGATGCATCTCCCATTATCCGTGTTCCTGGAACGCTCTGCCGAGGCGACAGCATAAACCAGACGCTCTCAAACAATAGGAAGAGCTCTACTCGTCATCCGCAGCCTTGGACTTTCTCTTCTTCTTCTTTTTCTTCTCGCCGTCTTCCTTCACGGCGTCGGCTTCCTCCTCATCCCTCTTGCGCTTCTCCTTCTTCTCCTTCTTCTCTTTCTTTTCCTTCTTCTCCTTCTTCTCCTTCTTGGACTTCTTGGTCTCGGGCTCAGGAGCGTCAGCCATCTCCTCGTCGGAGCCAGCATTATCACCGTCGTCGAGGAGGTCCATAACACCCTTCTGTAGAATAGTTAGCATTGATCAGTGATTGCGCTTCAGAATACACATACCATGACATCGGTGTTCTTGGCGGGCTTCTTGCCAGTGGCGTAGAACTCTAATCGGTCCTCGACCTGCTGCTTGAGAGCCTCACCGAAGCGGGTTGAGGGCTCCTCGGAGAAGTTGTCGATGCGGCTGGCCATACTGCACTTGTTGGCGAGGTATCGAGAAATGCGACCCTTGTTCTTGGGACCAGCCTTGCCAATGAAGCTGCTGTGGTAGATGAGACCGTACTTGGGGGTGTTGCTCTTGGTCTTGAGAGCACGGAAAAGAGCCTTCTCGGCACCGAGGATCTGGAGAGTAGAGGCAGGGTACTTGGAGAGGTTGGTCAGAGAACCAGCGTGAGAGATGAGGCGGGCGGCAACGGGAGTGCCAATGAGAGTCTGCAGGTTGGGGGCGATGTCGGACATCTTCTTCTCGAGGTAGGCGGAGGTGGACTTGCGGTTGTCGGCCTGCTTGACAACAGCCTCAGCGAAGCCGTGGACAATCTCGAGATCAGCAGCAGAGATGTCGAGACCCATGGAGACCTTGGCGGCGTCAATGATGGCCTGAGCCTTCTCACCATCCTCACCAACGAGGGCAGCAATGTCGTGAAGCTTGTCATCGTTCAAGCTCTTCTTGTCGCCAATGGCCAGAACAAGCTTGCAGTAGGTGTAGTTGTCGGAGACAATCTTGATCAGCTCAGGGAAGTGCCATCCGTACCACTCGCGAACGCGCATGAAGAACTGGTTGACGCCCTTGTCCTGGAAGTCGATGGTCGCGCTGGCCTGGATGATGTGGTTGTCGTTGCGGGTGACGCTGAACTTGACCTTGGCACGGGAGTAGGCGTGACCCATACCCAGACCGGCCTTCTCGACGTCGCCGTACTTGAGTCCACCGAGAAGCTTGTCGGCGTGGAGTCGGATACCGCGAATAACGTCGCCGACAATGTCAGAGGTATCGGCAGTCTCGCACTCGAGGCCGGGGAAGAGGCCCTTGATCGCGCCAGCAAGGTTCTTCTCGGAAACACCGAGAACGACCTTGGTCTTCTTGCCGCTTGTCTGGGGAAGGTTGAGTTCGAGGACAGACTTGAGGTAGTCCGAGACGATACCCTCAGTAACGAGGTTAATGTTCTCAAGAGCCTCGACGTGACCCCTTTTTTGAAGTGTCAGTTATCGCGCGTCCATCAGCATCGCACATCCGAGTTGGAAATACCTGAAAGGGCTGAAGTTGGCCAGCTTGACCATCTTGCCGAACTTGGCGAGGTCGTTGACGGCGGCCTGAGTCTCCTTCAATTTCAGGCCCACCGCATCCTGCTGATGCACCACCTTGAAGAGGGCATAGCCCACGGGGGATTCGTATAGAGCGTAGTCGATGTGCGACATCTTGTCGTTCCCTGCCGGTGCCGCAATTGGGAATGATTCCGCGTCGAATGGTTTGGTGATGGCTCGAGGCTTAAGATTTTCACACTTTTTTTCCAGGTGGAAATTTTCTGGCAGCTTGCGCACGGACCAGTTGAGGCTGGTGTGGCTAGTGAGTGGTCACGTGGATGGATCTAGCCGGCATCGATTCGATGAGACTTTATGAGATGAAGCATGCAAAAGTATTCGTGAACTCAATATTGTGTCTTGGTTCATTCTTGTTGAGGCCGTGATTTATTCATACTGTTCATTTACTTATGTTTCTCCCAAGAGTGGAAGCGTCAACCTATCTCAACGCTCATCTTACTCCTTGACCCACCAAATCCACTTCGCCTCAATTGTCTGGGAATCCATTTCGCAAGTTATCATACTTGCTCGCAGGATACTCAATGCAATTATCCTGCCTCATAAGTGCACCCGGTCCACCAAACCCATTCACAACAGTCGTGATCAGACTTTGTTCACCAGTCTTGTCCGCACTGCTCTCCCACCACATTGCACCTCCGAGCTTCCACTTCTTGACATACTCCGCCTTGTCCCAGGCAACTCGCGGCGTGTCGTATGTGACCATGGTTCGTGTCTGGGGGTTGTAGCAGTAGCTTGCGCAGCATCCTCTGTCCCCATACTCTGTAGCACCCTCGAGGGGAAGTTTCTTGTAGTCGTGGACACCAGCTTCCCAGGTTCCTCCACCTACGCCTTGGTAGGGGCGGCCTGGACCGTCGGTGTTCTCGAAAGCTCGGCCGTAGAGGGGCATGCCGAGAACGATTTTCCCGGGGGATACGCCGCTGCGAACGTAGAAGTCGATGGCGGCGGACGTAGAGAAGGGTGTTGATTGGGGGTTGTCGGGAGATGGGTACAAGTTCGCCTGGTGGCCAGCAACAGAGTCCCAAGACCCAGCATAATCGTAGGCCATCAGATTCCAGAAATCAAGATATCGATCCATTCCACGAATATCGAGCTTCTGGAAGTTTGTCGCGCCAGCGGGACAAGCAACGGTCAGTTCGAAATGATAAGGCTGGCTCAAAGTCTGGGCATATGCATCCATCTCACGTCGAACCGCAGCAAGCAGCTCAACGTAATCTCTAGCCTCATCTGCGTTCTGAGGGTACTCCCAATCAATGTCGATACCGTCAAATCCGAGGTTCTTGAGAAGGTCAACGCAGCTCTTGGCGAAGGTATCGCGTCCTTGGGGTGTGCTGGCAGGAGCCTTGAAGTTGCTGCTGTAGGTCCATCCTCCAACGCTGAGAAGAACCTTGAGGTTGCGGTTACGACGCTTGAGAAGGTTGAGCTGCTTCATGCAGCCGTATAAGTTGGTGCCTTGGTCATTCCAGGAGTCGCCATCCCAGTGAATGTCAGTATCGGCCCATGAGTCGGTGAGATGGCTGATGATGTTAGCTGGGCTGCATTGAGATGAGAGTTGGGTGTGACTTACACTTCGCCAGAGTCGCTGCGGACGTTGGCGAATGAGTAGAGAACATGTGTGAGGTTCTCTACGGGAAGATCTTGAGGACGATGCTGTCGGGCATAAATGGCCCTGTTCTCGTTAGCTGAGTTCAATGTCTCGATACAGGGTAGTTTCATACCAGTTGACAAAGTAAGCGACGGTGCGGAAACCTTCAGGACCACCACCCATTTTGACTGAAGTAATAGACGTAAAGGTATTCGATAGAAATACTGCGATCAATACAATGAGAAGGGAGGTTATAAGAAGGACACTTGACCAGGTACAATGCCCAGCTCGTTGTCTCTGTGGAATATCCGTGATGATGGAGGGGCACTTGGAGGGGCCGAAGGTGGGGAATCACTTCAGCTTCAAAGAACAAGTGAATAACGAAGTGAATTGAGTAGGTCTTGAAGGTGTAGCAAACAAATAGTCAGATATAAGAAACGTGGAGGCATCCAAGCCTCTTACTCAGCAATTCACTGACCAGTTTCAGCTCTTCATGTCCAACTTCCAATCCATGTTTTGCGTCGTCATCTGCGGCTTGACTTGCTTTGGGGTCTGAGCGGCCAAGAGTGGCGGTGCTACAATCGTGGCAATGCTGCGTCCCTGGCTGGAGGGGTAAGAAATCGACGCTAAGCGACTAAAATACTGAGGCAGCTACAGGGGTAATATGTGGCAATATCTGACGAATTACTTTTGGCGTCTTTGCTGAAGATCCCAAGCTTTTTTATGCTCCTTAAGCCCAGGCAGCTGGGGTAAATGCATGAGCTAGACAACGCACCAGACGACGGGACTGAACGGCATTGGCAGCTTGGCGGATCAGTCTGAGAATAGCGCAAATACTTCAGTATCGTTGCCTTCGGATTGTTGAAGAAAGATGGAAATTTTGATGCTGAATCTTTGTATCTCTATGTGAACAGTCGCAACGTCATTGAATATTCCTGTGCCAGGGTATCAAAACACAAACAAGAAATCCTCATTCTCCAAATCCGTGATGTCACCAAAGCCTTTATCTTCATCCTTCCGATCCGCTCTATCCCTTTCAAAATCTCCCGACTCAGTAACCCTATCATCCTCATTCTCTTCCGCCTCACGCAGTACCCCTCCACGCAATGATCTCTCCATATGCTCTATCCTCTCCGCCTCTTCCGCCGTCTCCAGACTTCGATCGACAAGCACGGCACTCTTTCCAAGCGCGACTCTGCGCTGGCTGTGAAGGCGGTTCAGTCGAGTGAGGTGCAGAGAAGTGAGTACCACGAGAGCGATAACGATGATGTAGAGTGCGAGGTTCGCGCGAAGACCGCGGGTGTAAGCTGGTGCTTCATCGGG